GTGAAGTTTTAAAAATTTTTATTTTTTTATTTTTTTGGGTACCTCAAAAAAAAATTCACTCAAAGTGGGTGCCCAAATGTATTTTAAGCCATTTTGTAAAGTTTTGAAATTTTTGATTTTTTTATATTTTTGGGCATCTCAAAAAAATTAAATTTCATTCAAAGTGGGTGTCCAAAGGTATTCTAAGCCATTCTGTGAAGTTTTGAAATTTTGATTTTTTTATATTTTTTGAAAAAAATTCAGCAAATTTCCTATTTTCCCGAAATCTGACTTTTTTTTATTTTCTGGAAATTTTTATGAATTTTTCAAGAATTTTTCAATTTTTATGCATTTTTTGAAAAAAAAATTAGTGAGATCTCAAAATGTGTTGTAAAGGCCACAAAAAAGAGAGAAAATAGGGAGAATGCATTCTGGAAGAGAGAAGCTACAAAAGGTAGCTTCTCTTTTTCTTGCCCAAAACTCATTCTAGAATAAAAAATGTATTCTGGAATCAAGAATGCATTCTGGAATCAAGTATTTTTAATAAATGCATTTTTATTCTAGAAAGCAAAAATTGCTCCAGAATGTATTCCGGAAATTTTTTAACAAACGCATTTATGTTCCGGAATGCATTCTAGAGTAAAATTTCTACTCTAGAATGGGATTCCACGCGCGCCCTAATACATGAAGCCCAGAACACCAACTTCAACTGAGAGCTTGCTTCCATCACCAAAGGCCCCTTCACGTCCGAGGCTTCACGCTTCCAATTGAGGCCGCGCCGGGACGCTACCGTCGACAGTCGGCTAGGGCCGCGAGCGCTGGCGACGGACTGGAGCGGCCTTCAACCGCGGGCAACTCCGGCGAGGGGGATGGATCTCCGATGAAAGGGGCATTCATCCACGGATGCTCGGGAAAACGATTTTCATGCCACGAAATCGAAAGAAATCACAGAGTCAGTGTTGATTCAACAAGAATAAGAACAAAAAGGCATAAAAACTGAGTTCCAAGCACCGATTCCACAAAAAATCATTTGGACTTCTATTTGGACATTTTGTCGAACATGCGGTATGCAAGCTGAGATACACGTTCTCGGGTACGATTCAATGCGATTTCTAGCTTTAAACACAATGTATACAACTCTAAACGACCATGTATGACGACAAATTCATCTCAGTTTACATGAAAACGTTCGAAACTTTCAGACCCAAACTCAGTGCTCAAAACTTCTAAGCATTTCGACGAACAGTTAGCATGCGACTTAGGATGCGAGGTCCGAATCTGATTCCGACGTGATTCTTGGCCTAAACATGATACTTACAAACCCAAGTCGTCATTATACACTACGATCCAACTTTGGTATCACACGATTGGGTCACGACACCACCTAGTGAACTTGGTACGTGAGACTACCGAAATGCAGGGGAAAGAACAGGGCGAGTAAGTACTTGGTTCGGTCGCCGAGTTCCAGATCAGTCGGGCTAGTGTCGCCGGCGCGTAAAAATGCTCCCGATGATCGTTAATCTTCTTGCAACGAAACTCAGCTCGGTCGAGAGGAGCTCCGACGGTCAACAATGAGAGAACGGCTAACTCGGGTGTTCGCGGGCTCTTAGTGCACGGCGGAGGGGGCTCGACGGCGATTGGGACGGTCCTCTGACGAACGAGCGAAGCTTCGTCTTCTCCGATTCCCCTCAAGATCTCTCTCGTTGTCTCTCCTCTCACTCTCTGTTCTCTCTTCTTCAGTCCTCCCCCGAAACAGAAGCCAAAACAAACCCCCTGGTTCACGGTAGACCGAGGCAAGGCGTGCCGGCTGAAGATTCGGCGAGGACTCCGGCGACCAAATGAAGCCCTGGTCTCCCGTCTCTCCTCTCGTTCTCTCCTCCGTTCAGATACAGCCCCGCTTCTCTCTTCAAGCTTTTTTTTCTCTCCGATCACTCCCCCCTCCGGTCTCTCACTCTCAGCCCCTCTTTATCCCAGATCAGGGCCTCCATTTTGGACCACTGTACGTGCCTGACATCTGCCCAGAACGCGCGCGACACCCGCTGCTGCGGTGCGACGTTCTACTCTGCAGCGCGCTCCCGTTCTGCTCTGTACCAGCGCCTCCTCTTCTGCCTCTTTGCAGAGAGAAAAGGTGAAGGGGACAGGAGGTGGGCTGGGCCGGACCAAATGGGAGAAGAGTTGGGCCGGCCCGCGCGAGAAAGGAAAAAGGGGAGAAAGACCGGGGCGGGCTGATATGGTCCAATCGAACCAGGCCAGACTGGGCCCGATTTTTTTTTTTCGAATTTTTTTAATTTTTTAACCAAAAATATAGATATGTCTAATATACCCCATTAATGCCAATACACCTAATGTCATGCAATTCAATGAATTTTTTTTGGGTTAAAAATTAATCCCTAATTTTCTATGTAATTAAACCCTAAATTACTAGATAAAATTTAGGTGTCAACACCGGCCGCCTGGCCTCGCCCGGACTAGGCTGCCATCGCCCATCACAGACGAGGCCCCGCCGACCCTGGCCTGGGCAAGGGAGGGCAAGCCCCGGCAAGGCCGACCCTCACCAGATCCTACGAGGCCGACCCTCGCCCAGGCCACGGCGGCCTCACCGAGCGTCGCCTTCCCTTGGATGACGTCTAGCGAGGCCGCTGTGGCTTGGGCGAGGGCCGGCCTCGCTAGATCTGGCGAGGGTCGGCCTCGCCTCGCCTAGGCAAGGGTAAGCCCCGGCGAGGCCGACCCTCACCGAGGCCACGGTGGCCTCGCCAAGCCGGGCCGAGCCTATGGCGGGCGACGGCGGCTTCGTCCGGGTGAGGCCAGGCGGCCGGCCAAAGGTGGAAGAAAAAAAAAAAGAAAAGAAGGGAAAAAAATCAGAAAAATATTTAAAAAATCAAAAAAATATTATTAAATATTATCCCCGTCAGCGCCGACATGCCTACGTAGGACTGAGAAATTAATAAAATATGACCGCGTCAGATTTCCAGCGACTCAAATCGGAGTTGGCACTTAAATAATCATTTTTTTTTAATGGCACTTAAGTTATCCGGAAAAAAAAATTAATACTAAAGTGGGCGCCGTACACAAATTTTGATGCTTCTAATGTTCTTCTCGCACATCTCATTCATCCATCAGGTCCCAAAAAACAACCTGGGTTATCTTCCTCGCCTCACAGCTAGCCACGGTTGTCCCTCTACTGATCGCGTCACTGAGACTGTCTTTTAAATTATCGTCATCGTTACAGTCCCCAGATTTCGTCCGAGTCCTATAAGACGATAATGAAACTTTTTTCCCCGAACTTCATGGCAGTTGACAGTGCGGGGCAGAAGATGATGTTTTCGCTCTGCACATCGCCCAGAACAAAGCAGTCGAGTTTCCCCAAGATTTCAGCCGTGAAGACACGTAAGTCTGCTGCTCCACATTCCGTGATCCGCTTTACTCGCAAACGCCAATGGATCTAGTTTTGTGATAAGCCCACCTAATGTACTGTAGCGTACGTAGCGTCCTTTCGCTTTCTTGTGTCCGAGTTTCAGACACTTAAGAAATGGACTTGTTATGCCCTTGGTCCTTTCTCTGGACGTTTATTAAGTAGAGGAGGTTCTTTGAGAAAATGCCTTTGGGTTTGACCTATTTCTGACTTTCTTTCTAAACTGAGAATGAGGAAGAAACAAAGAAACAAAGTGTTTCGTTAGGACTTTGATTTTTATTAAAGGAGGCAAGATCTGTGACTATTCCAAACATAAAATATTACAGGTACACAAGAAAAGCGATAATTTTACCTCAAATGGAATTGAAAGTACGCAAAGCCTGAGAACTTAAAGATATAATATCGGAATTTAATCGATAACGAAATCTAACAACTACAGCTAAGATATACTCCAAAATTTAATCGACGACAAAATATATGAGAACTACAGGCATAATTGCAGTGCAGAATTTGAAAGCTGACAAGTTTTGTGTGTTGTGCGTGGGGCTCTTCGGTAGACGAACACAAGTATTTATAGTTTTCACTGCATAACTGCCTGTGAGCATGTTCTCATGTTGCCAAGATCTTTTCTTCAAGTGGTTGTTTTCTTAAAACCACGCCTCGATCTTTCGAGCCTGTTTGCTGCCACTTTGAATTTCTTTCATGTTAACTTTATTCTTCCTCCACAATCTGATGGACTTCATTGCCTTGTCAATCTATTTTAATCAGTATCATTGCCGTTCAACTATGTCATCTTAATCGTCAACCAAATGCTATCGTGTATTGACGGCTGGTTCATGATCATCGATGTATATCAATATTGACGACCACTCTTATGGTCATCGACAATAGTTCGCACGTACAGCATTGATAGCCACCCGTCCACAAGTCACGTGCTTACTCACGCGCCGGGGACCTGATTAATTTTTTGTGCAAACAAAAAAGAAACACATGACATGAGACATTCGAGGATCAAAGAGATATTAGCTCTCATCTCCTGCGCTTCTATGCATAATAGTTTCTTTCCTTCCATGGCGACTTAAGAAGATCGGTCGCTGCGACTGCCAGGATGTGATATTGCCATATTAGATATTTTCCAACGGGAAAACACCTACTTCTTTTCTTCCAACAAGATACCATATTGTATTAGTTTTCAAGGACTTACCGGTATGCTTAATTTTCAGAAAAAGTAGTCATCTCTCAAGGACAATGCGAACCCTCCTCATCCCAGAAAGTAGCCATTCCTCATAAGCTCCAACGAGTGCTCTCAACATCTTGATAGTGAGGTAATCCACGACGAGTGCTCTTGAGAAATGGATGTGAATCAATGGACTAATTCTCATTTGGTGGTCATAGTTTCTAAGTGGATTTTGGGATGCAACAATTTTGACAACAATCATCACCAGAACAGATGGATACAAGAGACTGCGTGCACGAGTGAAGCTAGAAAAATTCCTCTTCACAATATTACTTTTGCAGTGACGTTATGGAAGTTAAAAAGGTCACAACAAGACTGTTATCTATCAAAGCTAAACCATACCAGAGCAGGTGCAATAAGAAGTAAGAAACATGTAGAAAAGAGTATCCATATACTTATAGACAAGGGTTAAATTCCTCACACAACAAACTAGATCCATCAGCCCTCTTCAGCAGTGAGCTGCATACAAGCTTATTTAACATAAACTGCACCCCAGCCGCATAACTGTGACAACTCCAAGCCTGACATTAAGACCAATTTCTTTCAGCCATAGCAACGAATAGGATCATTGCAACCTTTAGAAGCAGATTGTTTGAAACCAAAACGGCCTCCTTTAGCGAGATACTGCTGGTGGTATTCTTCTGCACGGTAGAACTTCTTGGCGGGCAGAATTTCTGTGACAATCTTTCTGTTGAGGAGTTTCTGCTGTTGCTCCAAGGATTCTCTAGCTGCTTTCTCCTGTTCTGGTGTATAGTAATAGATTCCTGACCTGTACTGGGTGCCCACATCATTCCCCTGTTCAATTCATCATCAACCCATTAGAATGTGGGAGTTATACTTACTATATATGCAAAATAGCCAGAGAATAAATGGTTCTAACCAGTTTATTAGCAAGACATAGCATTAAATGGAGCACTATGGCACAATGTGGATTCATTTTTATGCACCATCTATACTAAAGAAGGGAGAAGTGGGTAAGCAGACCCGCACTATAGGTCACAGAATACATGGCCAAAAGCAAAAGGCATGCGGCCTTATATTGGGGTAAAACTTACAAAGATTATTTGATCATCAGAGAATCGCAGTGTGATTAACAAAAGATCAATAAAATCAATTCAAAGATAAAAGAAAGCGAGTGAAACTGACAAAGACAAGCAGAACTTAGCACTAACTAATTATCAAACTCCTCAGCCTTCTTCAGATAAGTTTTAAAACATCAAACACCTTCAAGGTGGTTGCTCGTCCCCAAATACTGACCCAATCAAAGAATAAGCACTTCCTTAAGTGCTGAGAATGCCATAATCCACTTCACAGTTCATATCCTGCGCAACAGATGGGGGGAAGTCTCATGTGGACTCATCTAATCCATCGTCGTTTAGCGAGATAACCGTAGACAGACTCGACTTAAGGAGGGAGAATGCGAGGAAAGCAGAGATCTAATTACTCTTAGGACCTCCAGGGCCAGTTTGATTTTCACGAAATTCTATTCACAACCCTAAAACATGCTCGCGAGCTCGCCGCCAGAAGAGTGCGATAAAGGGCATTAAGTTTTAACATTGCCTTGGCCAGAGGAGAAACCATAGAAGGGCTATGCTATTATCTTCAGCCTTCAATCAAAGCCTAAACCAGACTCATCGAAGAAGGAGCACAAAAACCCTGTAGCCGGACTGGAATATCGATACGGGTGTCAAAGAAAACCCAGACAACAGAGCCATCAAGAGCCACGATCGCGAGTACAACAATTACAGCATCACAAAGCAAACACGTCAAGAACCCAGCAAACTCCAGTCATACGGATAGAAAGAGTTCAATCACCCGACCAACCCTCGTAATCCAAGGACCAGAAATCATTCCACCTAAAAAGAGAGGAAATTGTCGTAGCCTGACGAGATTCACCTGACGATTGAGGGTGGTGGGGTCGTGGCGAGCCCAGAAGGCGTCGAGAAGAGACTCGAAGCCGCACTCTTTGGGGTCGTACTGGACCCGCACGACCTCCGAGTGGTTCGACGTCCCGCTGCACACGTCCTCGTAGGTCGGGTTATGCAGGAACCCCTGGGTGTAACCCACCTCGGTCTTGGACACGCCGGGCACCCTCTGGAAGGCCAATTCGACGCCCCAGAAGCAGCCCGCCCCGAATTGGGCGAACTGCTGGCCCGGCGCCGGGACGTCGTCGTCGGGGCCCTGGGCGATCGAGGAGTCCATGGCCGACGGGTCGGGGGCCTTGGGCCCGAACCCGAGCTTGTTGAGGATGTTCATGGGGGGCCTGTACGAGGACGAGGACGAGGACGAGGACGACGCCACGAGCCGCGAGCTGCGTGGGGAAGCGGGCTCGCGGAGGGAGAGCTTGGAGAGGGAGAGGAACGGGTTGAGGAGAGAGAGAGGGGCGGAGGGTTTAGAGAGAGAGGAAGAGACGAGAAGCAGAGGGGAAGACGATGAAGCTGCTGCTGCTCTGGAGACGGAGGCGAGCATTGTGGTGGTTAAGCCGGGGGGTGACGTGTGGGGCTTAGCAAATGCAAAGCGGGGGGTTGGGGATTGGAGAGAAATGCCTTTCTTTACTTTGCCTTGCGCTTCGATGTCACTACGATTTTCCTCCCCCCCCCCCTCTTTTTCTTGTTCTTGGTTTTTTTTCGGAATTTCGCATTTCCTTTTATCTGGTTTTCGTAATTCAGCGGTTGGCTGTGCCGTGCTGTGCTTGTAGGGTAAAAGCGTGAATTATCTATTTTGAATAGTTCAGACAATTGGAAAATGGATTCATTGTTGAGCTTCGTTTTGGTTCTTCATGGTGACCGTCGGATGTTCAAATGAACTCTTGATTTAATTTTTAAGAAGAGGGTCGGTTCCCCCGCTAAGTTGACTTCTTCTGATTTTAGTGGCAAGTGGTGTTTAGAGTGGTCAACGAAGGCTAGAAATTAGAATTCAGCCGGTCGCAATTCAATATCCTTCGGGAGCAAGGAAAGGTGGGAGAGCCGCATGAGCGAATCATTCATACGTGACGTGGCCTGCGCATACACCAACCAATCGCTGTGCATTGCCTGCAGCGCAAGAGAACGGTGGGTGGGGAAATCCACGGCTGCTACGTCGTTTCGAGGTTTGTCGAGAATCACGAGCCGCCAAAAAGACAATCAGGGAGGGTCGCTAGCCGGCCATCACAAATGTTTTCCGATGCTATAGTAAGATTGGTCTTGATAACTAAGGGTGCAAGTGGTAACCATTCTGCTTCAGAAATCAAATTCTTGCAAGAAATTGATTTCTGGAATTCTTGCTAGAAATTGATTTCTGGAATTCTTGCTAGAAATTGATTTCTAGAGGAGAAATCTGTTTGATAAAACATGACTAATTCTGTTCCAGAAATTGATTTCTGGAAGAGAAATCTGTTTGATAAAATAAGAGGAAATTTCTACTTCTGGATGAGAAATACATTTGATAACGGCGCGTCAGTTCTATTTCCGCAACAATGATAGTTCGAACTCAATTGCAAAATATTATTTATCTTAACCTACAATGCATGATATTCGAGGCAAAATCTAGTACATTTTTTTAAATCCTCAAATAAAAAGAACAGAAATTCCAAAATAACATGTCATTACAAGAAGACCTGATACCAAATCTTCAATTACACATAATACGAATCCTACAATACAACATTACATTACAGAAGGCAAAAAAAGCAAATAATCCTCGAATAATAGTAATGGAAGTACAATACAATATAGTGGAAAACAGTCAGATTTCGGGAAAATAGGAAATTTATTGAATTTTTCCGAAAAAAAATTCAACAAATCAAAAAATAAAAAATTTTAAAACTTCACATATTAGTTTAGAATACTTGTGATTACCCACGTTTAGTGAAATTTAATTTTTTTTAGGTGCCCAAAAAAAATAAAAATTCAAAAAATTCAAAACTTCACAGAATGGCTTAGAATACATGTGGCCACCCATTTTTAGTGAAATTTAATTTTTTTAGGTGCCCAAAAAAAATCAAAAAATAAAAAATTTCAAAACTTCACAGAATGGCTTAGAATACCTGTGGCCACCCACTTTGAGTAAAATTTAAATTTGTGGGCACCTCCAAAAATCCAAAAATTTAAATTTTCACTCAAAGTGGGTGGCCACAGGTATTCTAAGCCATTCTGTGAAGTTTTGAAATTTTTTATATTTTAATTTTTTTTGGGCACCTAAAAAAAATTAAATTTTACTCAAAGTAGGTGGCCACAGGTATTCTAAGCCATCCTGTGAAGTTGTGAAATTTTTAATTTTTTGATTTTTTTTTGCCATCTCAAAAAATTTAAATTTCACTCAAAGTAAATGGCCACAGGTATTCTAAGCCATTCTGTGAAGTTTTCAAATTTTTTATTTTTTGATTTTTTGATTTTTTTTGGGCACCTCAAAAAATTTAAATTTCGCTCAAAGTAAGCCAAAAATACATTTGATAACGGCGCGTCAATTCTATTTCCGCAACAAAGATAGTCCGAACTCAATTGCAAAATATTATTTATCTTAACCTATAATGCATCATATTCGAGGCAAAATCTAGTACATTTTTTAAATCGTCAAATAAAAAGAACATAAATTCCAAAATAACATGTCATTACAAGAAGACCTGGTACCAAATCCTCAATTACACATAATACGAATCCTACAATACAACATTACATTACAAAAGGCAAAAAAAGCAAATAATCCTTGAATAATAATAATGAAAGTACAATACAATAGTGGAAAACCGAATTTCATGGAATCTCTGGCATATGATTATCCTTAGCCATTTTATTGGCAATACGTTTCCTAATAATGTTCATCTCGGTTCCCTCTTCGATCGTTACTACATCGTCTGTACCCTGTTCAGTAGGTTCACACATATAATCCGGATCTCCATATATGGACAAACACTTATCCATCCTATCTTGCTCAATGATGTAGTTATGGATCGCACAGCATGCAATTACAATCTGTGTTTGTTTTTCAAATTTAAATGGAGGCATCTGTCTCAAAACAAAAAAATGATTCTTTAAAGCCGCAAAGAATCTCTCAATGATATTTCTTAATGAAGAATGCCTGTGGTTGAACAATTCCTTTACTGTTGTTGGTCCCCCACTTCGTTGAAATTCTGGTATATGATACCGTTCGCCTTTAAATGGTGTTAAAAACCCTAGACTTGAAGCATAACCAGAATCGACGGCGCGACGGCGTAGTACTTGCCTACAATAAAGTATTCATGGATTGATCATGAAATGCAATCCTAGCAAAATCATAAACACAAATACTCATTATATATCAAAATAGCACCTGCGGGTGGTCGAGGAAACTGTAGGTGAGGTGTGTCAAGTGTGGCCGACAACACCCGATAATCGTTGGCTGATCCTTCCTAACCAGCATACACAAAAGTAAATCGCATATCAAAGGAACACACACACAGCACGTTCTGAGTGGTTGTGCCTTTTCTACCTCTAAATCGTGGCTACATATGTTCAGGTACGGTAGCATGAATATGGGTGCCATCAATAGCACCTACGCACCCCTGTCATTTAATTAAATACATACATTAGACAAGATTGTGAGCAAAACTAATCAAATGGTGCAAGGAAATATACGAAAAATGTACCTTGAAGTAACGATTAAACTTTGGCTCAATCTGAATTTCTTCTTGGACAATATCAAACGAAGGAGGTACGATAATCTCCTTCGCCAATTCCAAAACAGCTTTCAACACCACTGCAAAGTACTTGCTAACAGTCTCTCCTGAACATCTCTCACATAAAGCTCTGTTGGAGTTCTTGTGACAAATCATTAATAAAAACATGGCAACCTATTCATCTACCCTAACATATCGACTGTCTGCCAACCAACCTCTTGACTTGAGCAAACCACAAAGGTTAAGAAAAACATATCTCTCCATTATAAATGCTTCGTATACTCTATCTGAATGTCCATGAAGAAGCTCGCTAACCCATTGGGGTCCTGTCAATACGCTGTCCCTAATACGTTCTGTCCTGTGCATGGACCTATGCAACCAAGCAGTACACAACCATGCCAACAATATTTTCAACTCATCCTCATCAAAGTCTTGTTCACCTGATACAATTGTTTCACTTGATGCTACTTGATCATTAGACCAGCTACTTTGACCCCCTTCCATATTACCTAGGCCATCATGCGAAAGAAGAAGACAAACTCAACATGTCAGTTAGGAAGCCAATACATTTGAACTGATATGTTGGGAATTTAATACCACTCAACAGACAATTATGGAATTCAATCACATTAAAGCAAAGTCTCAACATCATCACAAACGCATAGTCATAAAGACAAGTCAATGTCTGAAATACATAAGTGAAAAGCCGAAATAAACTCAAACATAAAACGGCATACTATAGCCCAATAACTACTCAACAGCCCCCAACTACTCATCCATAGCCTCAATAAAGGCAACTCTCATTTCGGGAAGACATGTCAGGAAGCCCTCTCTCCAAGAGGCATTAATGACAGCATGTTTCATAGCTTTGATGTAAAGAACCTTGTCCAAGTCATGCATGGCATTTAGGACAGCACCCACGGTTGCTATAGAGTAAGGGTCCACAGGTATTAAGGACTGTGAGGTGACGGAGGGACTTGATGTTTGAACCGTCTTAGCTTTGATCATCTCTTGAATAGCTTTGCAGGTCGCGTCAAATGAATGCGAACTGCTCTTTCTCCTCCTCTTGGCATTTGGAGTCTTATCCACCATGTGACTTTTTGGAGGTGGGCTCGCCGACACGTTAAATTGTTCCACATCAGCTTGGGTTTCGAAAAATAGTTCAGGTTCGCTTAGGTTGACATGAACATCATTGTCACCACCACCACCACTATCACCTGTACCCTCCGACGGTGCCACGCTTTGCACATTTCCTATTGCAAACTCCCCAGTGGCGTATGTATCCCCAAACACAACAAAAAGCTGTGAATACAAAGGAAATCCGTCCTTCCTGAACTTGGCCCATTCAGTATTAGCCTGCGCCATTTTCAAAATAATGTCAGGCAGTACTCAACATTTTATAAATCTGAAATTTGAGGTTACAATAATAAGATGACCTAAGTAAGTAACATCAACTTAATGTGATTTGCCCAAACAGTTTCATCGTCCACAACAACCCTCTTGCTGTCATCGTCCCATCCAAATCCCGTTGTTGAAAGCAGCTTCTTAAAACTACCATATTGTCTCTTCAGTTTCCGTGCCTTGTTCTTGAACTATGGTAGACTAAAGTAAAGTCCTGTTTATTCATTGAATTCTTTTTCAATGTTATTCCACCATACTCTATTGTAGGTACATGATGTGCGATTTCCCTTTTTTACCTCATCTACCATCAGACTTACAAATAATTCGGTCAACGGCTCAGTTCACTTTGCCATGTACGTGTATTTGGAGGATTCCATTTATGTAAAATCGATGAAATTTCAAGGGTAAATGCTGGTAATGGCGATTCAACAAACAAACAAGAATTAAATAGAGGAGCACATCTACAAAAGAGAACATAAATTATACCTGAGCAGAGAATTTCACACCCTAATGTCATTAGTTTCAAGCTATTGAGAAAGGAAGTACACCACCAGCCAAACTTGATAATCACTATTCAATCAAAGAGAACATAAAAGGTGCATAGTCCATATAGCAAATTATGTAAGGGGCTTACCTACTGGTGGAAACATGCAAAATAAGGTGCTGAACTCAGGTTAAAAAAAATTATGCTAAAATTTGAACCAAGTCCCAAGCTGAACTGCACCATCAACAAGAGAATAATGATGTTTGACAAGAACAACATAATGTACTATGTACTAGAATTGTAGAGGGGACAATCCCCAAGCCTTCAAAAGTTTTTCAAGTGAACACCTTTTTCAGAAGATTATTGCAAGTAGTTACAAGACTCAAGCCTTAAACTGAATATCATTGAGAAAATATAGATATTGCACCTGAGAGCTAATGAAGAGAGGAAAATCGTGAAGATTAAAATACTGATATTCAAAGGGAAAATACAAATAAAAAGGAGAAATGGGCCAACTTCATTCTCAAGATTATTGAAATTTGAAATGGTTCAAATAAACCATAAGATGGGAGGCAATAATTGATTGATACAGGCAATTCAAGTGAACCCTAAAATCAAACACATCGAACAGTCAAAGCAATGCATGCCTCAAGATTGAGCACACACAAGTCTATCGATGCGGAAAACTGAAGCTCCAGTCACACTTAAAGCTCGTGATTTCACACACTCTTTATTTGATTTACAAGATTTATAACCATCTTCAAGCCCTGAAAATAGAGAAACTCTACCAAAGAACTAACAAATAGTATAGCATAGGAAAACAGAAAGATTATAGTATGAGTCAAGGATAGCCTTCGAAAGAGATAAATTGAATGAAATGCCATGGTTTCCCCTCACTATCTCAGGTCGATAAGCTATCTTTCACTTGTAGGCCGTCCTCCCAATCCATAAAATTTAACCTTCCCGGGGTAAAACCATCATCTAGTGCCTGTGCTAAAACCAAAGCCAGTGCTCGAGATGCCGCCCAGAAATGATAACCCAGATAAAAACAAGACAAAAGCGCCAACTACTTGTGGCAATTCGCCGCGAACCGCAGAGCCAGACATGAATGACGAAACAAACCGATTTAGCCACAACCCACACATCATAGCCCTTTCGAAATCGAAATCCTGCGGCTCAACTTCAACCTCAACCTCAATCCGCAACATGCTAATCAAGTTCTCGCCATACCACTCCGCGGTGTCTCGTTCCCTTGTTCCGACTCGATCGAGCGAGATTCGCACGGGCCGCGTGCCCTAAACGGGCGGTCGCATCGCGCACCGCGGATTGCACCGAAGGAAAAAGCTAACGAGAGGAGGTGAAACGGTTGGAAGAATCGAAGACTCACCAGCTACGCATGAAAAAACGGAAGCAGCAGAGATATAGGGAGAGCCAAATCGATCGCCGCCGTGTGAGGTGGCGGTTTCGGTGCAGTCGCGAGGAGGGATGGAGGGCACAAAACTGAAGAGGCGGAGATATAGGGAGGGCCAAATCGATCACCGCCGCATGCAGTGGCGGTTCCGGTGCAATCGCGAGGAGGGACGGGAAAGCACGAAACTGAAGAGTTGAACGAGATGGAAGAGAAAGAAAGAAATTAGGGCCAGAATGAATTCCGAAAGAGAGAACGAGATGGAAGAGAAAGAAAAAGAAATTAGGGCCATAATGAGTTCCGGGAAGAGAGAAGCTACAAAAAGTAGCATCTCTTTTTTGGTGGAAAACTCATTCTGAAATCAAAATTTGATTCTGGAACCAAAAAAAGAATTTGTTTTTACCAAACGCATTTTTATTCCAGAATGCAAAAATTGCTCCAGAATGCATTCCGGAAATTTTTTAACAAACACATTTTTGTTCCAGAATGCATTCTGGAGCAAAAATTCTGCTCCAGAATGGATTCCATGCGCGCCCTAAGTGAAACAAAACCGCATCGTACGTATTCATGAAACTGAAACAGATGTTTCTGCTGGACAACATCATCATAAGTTTACACAGTCAACGAATCTCTCTAGTGCTTACATGCCCATGTGTCTCAAACGCAGAGGAGTAGTAACTAGCCATCCGTCAGGTGAATATCTCACTCGTAGATCCAAGGATGAAGGCTGCTTTGCCAGTTCACGGTCCCATCGGGGAACCACAGAGCTATCTCCTTCTTGGCGCTCTCGACAGAATCGCTTCCATGGATCACATTCCTGAGGTTTAACGGAAACATGTGAAAAAAGCATAAAGAGTAAGTCAATCGCAAATACCCGTTAGCCCTCGCTCTCAGTAGATTAAAATAGAAAGAGGGACAAATGATTTCGCTACAATCCCTGGTGAAGCAACCGAGAAATGAATTCAACTTCACCGGCGCCTTACGTATGAGTGCAGTTCTCTTCTCACACAAACGTCGAGAAAACTCGAATGTAGAAATGTCACTTATTAAGATATATATTTGCATTTAGGACCACAAGCAGATGTAGAGAAACTGATGTGGGACAACAAAATTTTAGTTAAAATATCACATCCACCCAAGTGACAAAAGGAAGGCAATGATGCCAGTCGGCACATTTGCAAAACAAACGACATCAAAGTAACCTTTTTTTCCTCTCCTCTAATATAGGTAAAGTTAACAGCTGTAAAGTTGGGAATTCCCATGTTGGAAAATAGTCTGCCTAATTCTCCCCCAGTTTACAATTGCTCACTCATTCTGTGGAACCCATCACACATGAAATGCATAATAATTTCAAAGACCCATCTAAAAACCATGTTTTAGCTGAACCTTTTAAAGCCTGTCATATGCTTTGACATAGAAGATGCAACGAAGAGCTCGGAATGAATTTGCACAAAGCAGACCAATCAAACAACTAGATGAAAAAGGACAACCAAATATTAGTCCATGTACAAGAGACATACCTTCCGATCTCCACCGCAAAACTGCCACGGATAGTACCAGGATCCGAGGCCGATGGGTTAGTAGCTCCTATGATCTTCCGACCTGTCGCAACAACATTTTTACCTTCCCATACCATAGCAACTACAGGACCAGATACTATATACTCGACTAAGCCCTCAAAAAACGGTTTTGAGGAGAGATCTTCATAGTGTTTCTCAGCAAAAGGGCGCTCCACGCTAATCAGCTTCATTCCTAAAATTCATTACAGAGTCTTTTAAAACTGGGCTCATAAAAAAAGATGAAGAAAGCAGATTATAATACTGATAGCAGCAATTACCTTTTAAATAGAAACCCTTCTTCTCAAAGGTGCTGATGATCTCACCCACCTATACCAAGTATAAGACGTAACTAAATGAGCAGCAGTAGTGAATATCCTCTGCACAATGCCAATCTCAAATACACTCTTCGCATACGCAGAGAAAAGTTCCAACGCAAATGAAATACATGCATACCAGAAACCAAAACTAGAAATCATTCACAAATTCAATGGGATATCATAAAAGCCACCTGGAGAATTAGATTTTTCGTGTGCCTATATGCTCAGAATAAAAAAAAAAATTGACAGGAAAAGGCTCCATGTGATCATTTAACAACCTTCGATTCCGTGGCTTCATAATTCCCATATGACTCTAAGCAACTCTGTAAAGGCAATCGACCCAACAAAAGCATGCGCACGCCTAGAAACCACATGATGCTCACAACTATCAACCTAAACTCGATTTAAATGGTTCAAACAAATTGTCCCGGATTCCAACCATTCCCCAAGCCAAAATCACCCATCTGCATGATATATACAGCACATCCCTATTCTCCCCGGTGCGGTACTAACTACAAGATCTCATTTTGCTTCCATTTTGCGAACAGACACGGGACGGGTATTGGTACAGAAGCTTAGCTGGGTCCGAAAGGGCTCAAATTCATAGAAAGAGAGAAGTTAGAACAAACCAAGCCTCGCTGAACACCGTCGGGTTTGATCATGATGAAAGTCTGCTCCATCTTCACTGCTCACTGAACCAAACCCACGACTACGAGACAGCGTGCGCTGGATCCTCCGCTATTATGTATGTCGGACGAGCAGAGGAGGGAGGAGGGATTAGGGTACACCTCTATGTATATATCACTCAGGTTCGTGTACTGTGGATCAGCTTCTTTACAATAAACGACGCACCGTTTTGGTCTATTTCCAGAGTGCGCTTTGTAAGCCCGACTCGAAAGGAATGGATTGATGTTATGTTTGTCCCCTTAAAATGAAGAAAATGTTTTTTTTAGGGTACACCTCTCAAAAAAATTCCGTTTGTTTCATGAAAAATAATTTTTGAAAAAACATTTTCTTCATTTTATAGTGTTTGGTTCATGCAGATAAACGAGTCAACATCTATGTTTAAATTCAGAAAAATGATTTCCTCTTTGAAAAATTGAAAAATATTTTTCAAAATATGACTAGGTATTGACTCTAAGGCTCCGTTCGTTTGGCGGAAAATATTCTCATTTTGGAAAATATTTTCCCGGAAGTCATTTTCCTGGAAAATGTTTTCCCGGAACATAATTTTCCGGTGTTCGGCGATCAATATGAAAAAGTTTCGGAAAATATTTTTCGCCGGCCGGCGGCGACCGGGCCGCGGCGGGCGACCGACGGCCAACGTCCGGCTACCGGGCGGCGGCGGGCGACCGATGGCCAACGTCCGGCGACCGGTGGCGGCGGGCGACCGACGGCCAACGTCCGGCGGCGACGGCGTCGGCCGGCGACGACCTGCAATGGCGGGCGGCGGCGACCGGCGGCGGCCGGCGATCGGCGGCGGCTGGCGACCTTAGTGAAGAAGAAGCTCCGGAAAATGATTTCCGCTTTTGAAGAAGCGGAAGTCATTTTCCATAGACTTAAGCTATTTTGTGAGGGGAGAAGGAAAATATTTTCCCACGGAAAACGTTTTCCGCCCCCCGAACACCGGAAAATCCGGAAAATATTTCCCGGAAGAATATTTTCCGCCAAACGAACGGAGCCTAAGGATGCGTTTGTTTCACAGAAAATGTAATGTTTTTGGAAAATGTTTTCTAAAAATTCATTTTCCAGGAAAATAGTTAGTTTTTCTTTATTTGGTGATATGTGATCGAAAATATTTTCTGGTGTTTGGATCTCATTTGGAAAATGATTTCAATACCATGATTTTATCTCGAACAAAAAAAAATCGATTTTTTAAATGTTTTTATTTTTAAAAATAAAAATAATAAAAGAATAAAAGAAAGAAAAGAATAAAATATTAATAAAGTAAAGGGAAGCAATTCCGGAAAGTGTTTTCACCTTCTTAAATTAGAGAATTCACTTTCATAATTTTATAGATGAATGTTTTCCTTAATCGGAAAGTGTTTTCGGTTGACTAATCATTTTCTACTAACCAAACAGGTGAAAGTCCGGAAAACGGATTCTCGAAAAACACTTTCCTTGAAACAAACGAGTGAAAGACCTGAAACTCTACGCTTTGACACGAAACCCCAACGCTGGCTCGTGAGTCCCCGATGCCTGGGCCTCGAGACCTCGACGCCCATGCCCGGGTCCATCGAGGCCGACCCCAAAGCCTTGGCGCCCGTGCCCGACGCCCCGGCACTTGAGGTTGGATCCATTGTACTCGAGCCCGGGTTCATAAAGCCTGTGCTTGGGCCCCCAACGCTCAAGCTCTACTTTCTAGCACTTAGGCCCAGATCCACAAAAGGCCGTGCACTAGGGGTAATCAGTTCCCAATACGGTTCGGTTCCAAGGTGAAACTAGGAATCGGATCAGTTTCCAAAATTAGGAATTGGGGACCGAACCAGTTGGTCCTAGAATTGGGAACAAGACAGGATCACCAGTCCGGTTCAATGGAACCGGTCACTTCTTTTTTTTCTATTACTTGATACAAATTCTCCGTGTTCCCCACTACTTTTTTAGAAAAAAGATCTAAGTAAAGGGACCCTAACTATATTCTACAATAAACAAAAATTTAAAAACAAACTTATAAATTGCCTATTGAAACACAATAAACTAAACCCATCAATCATCGAAAAATAAGGATTATTTTGCAACCATGAATGATCAAACATGAATAATGATCCTCAAATTGAAAAGATGAACAAAAAAACGTATTTCAATTAAGGTTTAGTTCACATTGTATTAATTTTTTTGAAGAAATAAAAAAATAAAAAATATATATGTAGTCGATCTTGTCAATTTAGTTCAGTTCGGTTCCCTTTGAAATCAATAACCAGACTGCTCAGACACTGGTTTCACTTTTAGAAATCGGGAACCCGACCAATACTTCTAGGAACTGGACCAAACCGGCTGCTCCGGGTGGTTCCTGATTTGGACAGTTCGTTTTGCACACTCCTATCATGCACGGGTCATTGGTTAATAAAGTGTTCATTCTAATAAAATAATAATATATTTTTTTTTAAATGTCAAATTTTTAATTTTTAATTTAATGTATTTTCTTTTCTTTTCTTTTTGCTTCTTCCTCCGTCAGTTGCCGATCATCAGTCACGGCGACGTCCGACGACCGGCCACAAGCGAGGAACGAGCTCGCTCTAAGCCAATGAGGCTCCACCTTGCCAGACAATTCGAGGTTGAAGTCGAAGGAGCTCGTTGTAGAGGAGGCTGAGGAGGGTTTCATCAGACATAAGAGACGCCTCACCAATTCCGATTACACCTTCGGCTCGAAGTCGAATGTGAAGTCCCCAAACCCTAGACGACTTTGGCGATATCTTCGGCATCAATGCGAGGAGCATGAGTAAATCGAAGAGCCAATGGGGCAAGGCTTGTTAACTGGAAATCGTTAACATGGGCGTCGGTTAGTCGTCGGTTCTAACATGGACAATCTTTGCATATTTTTTTGTTTTTTATGAATCTTTTCTACTTTTGATTTTTTCATGTCGCATATGGATGGCAGGTTGGCAACTAACCATAAGTGAGAGCTGGAGACGGCATTGTGGCCCTCGGCAGATCTAATGACCCTTAAGCAGGCCACAAGAATCGAGCCCCCTCCAGATTCAGTGAAGGCGAGGCTCACTTGTGGCTAGTCGTCCTCCATGGCCAAGTACCAACACAAGCGAATGGAAAAGAAAAGGAAAAAAATAAAAATAAAAATAAAAATTATCCATGCCAGTTTTGACCAACAATCGATATACACATAAGGTTTCCAACCAATTACAACTAAATTAGTAAATTTTCAAAAAATCTAGGAGTAAATTGACACAATTAAAAATTTTAGGACTAAATTAATAATCGTCAAAAGGTTTAAAGAATAAATTAGCACAATTTGAAAGGATTAGGACAAAATTAGCTGCCCAACAATAAATTTAACACTTTTTGGATAATTATTCATTCTAAATCTTAGAGTGTATCCTCGTATGAAATATGACAAATAAAAATCAATGCGCTCAGATTTTTTGACAAATTCAAAAGATAAAAGCAAAGCGCTAGGCATCATTAATCTTCATTGTACCCATTTGACACACATTCTGAAGCCATCCTGACTCAATAACCCAACCTACGTCCAGGGTCTCAAAACATCCTCAACCGTTTATCCCGAATTATCCCAAATCGATACATTTATGATAAATTTCACGTACGTAAGTTTTTATTAAATTTTATCGTCAAATTGAAATACACGTTGCACATGCGTTTATCATAAGTGTACCAATTTGTAATTTTTTGTGATATAAATCTAATTTAACAAAAACTAATAAAGTGTAAATTTAGGCCTAATTCCTTAAAAAACCTTCAACTTTAAGTCCAATCCCAATTTTAACCCAAATTTTTCTTTGTCTCAAGAAAAACCATCAACTTTCCCTTCAGTCCCAAATCTATACTGCCGTTAACCCTTAATCCAAAGTCACCGTTACTTGTCCAACGTGGCATTTGCACATCAGGAATAAATTCAGATCATTTGTTGACTTGGATTTAAGACGCTGTTTATCATCCCTATCCTCCCAACCTCATTCGGATCTTTTTTTTCTCTTTCCTTTTTATTTTCTTTTTTCTCCTTCTCCTTCTGACTCTGCAATGGGCGACCTTCGTACGAACATTTGGAAGTTGCGACCTCAAATTTACACCAGATCTGAGGTCAACCTCCAAATCTGGGTTTCGGAGCTTCAAGGGAGGGCTTGGGCTTGCTCCAGAATACTTTGATTGTGAGCTTGGTGGTGGTCGCCAGCTTCATATTCTAACGAGACGGTGAAGATTGGCCGACTACGCTTTCTTGACTCCACACACAGCTCGTTTCGGCATGGTACTTTCTTGACTCCACACAAAAGCACCACCATCACCACTAGAGAACTCTGGGCGTTGGGTTGAGCCGGTTCTTGCTCAAAGAGATGAGGCCAAGCCTCAGCGGTGCCCACGAGCAAGGACAAGAGAAGCTCGACCTATGGCCTCGTCGACCAAAGTAGTATCTTTATGTGAAGGCCGTTAAGGCTACGGAGGTCTCGACGCCGTTCGAGGATAGAGGCGAGTTGGTGGCTGAGGTAAAGCTAGGTTACGGGGGAATCATGAAGAGGGTCAATTCGGACTCGAGCTCGAATGGTGTTAAATAAACCAAGACTTTGCCTTTGCGAAGGATTGCACACAATCCTCAGTTGTGGAGGTGTTTGTGAAAGAGAATAATAAAAATGAGTTCTTGGGTCGTGTCTGGTTCAATCTCGATGAAGTCCCTTAGAGAGTGTTGCTGCGACCGCAGTAGTATCGAATGGAGGACAAGAAAGGCAAGAAGGCGAAGTCCAGGAGATGATGTTGCAGTGGCATGAGAGGGACGCCATGGAAGCTCATGACCAATTCCTTCATTTGGATCAAGCCCAAGCCCCCTCGACCGAAGCTTCGAGAGCCACGTGAAGATGATGAACAGTATCTTAAATCCAAGTCAACAAATGATTTGAATTTATTGCTGACAAGGAAACACCACATTAGACATGTAATGGTGACTTTGGATTGAAGGTTAACGGCGGGATAAATTTGAGACTTAAGGAAAAGTTGAGGATTTTTCTTGAGACAAAAAAATATTTGGGATAAAATTGAGACTAGACTTAAAGTTAAGAGTTTTTGAAGAAGTTAGACCTGTAAATTTATCACAAATGTTCCAATTTAAAATCTTTTATGCTCAAAATATTCGTTAATATACCAATTTGAGATTTTTTATGATAAAAAAATTGGTCAAATTAATTTTGGGTAAATCAGTGTATATCAATTTAAGGATTTTTCGTGATATTAACCATAATATTTATACCATTTTTATGTCTTTTTCAAGATGGTGCCTTTTTACTCTTGTTACAGTCACCGTGGGGGATCAAACCATACCTATCCAAACTTCCGAGTCAATGCTAAGAAAACTACTTGAGCATCGGCTCATAACAAATGGTCTCGCCATCAGCAAATGTACTGCTTCCATGGGAAGACAAATCAAGCCAAATCAACCCTTTTCTTGCCTTAAAAAAACTGCAGGACCAATTCATCTACAGTCCGTGCGATTACATTATTGATCAGACACTAAGAATATGAATGTTTAAAATGGAGATATCCTCAAATAACGTATCTCGTGTGCAACTTTTCAATCAAACGCTATATCCAAATAAAGGCTACAAGTTATGCAGTTTATTATAGAAGAAAAAAAGAAAGCCAAACAAGTGGATCGATCGGTCATCATCAGAATGGAAATGTTCTTCTCATCCACAGCAAATGCATGCTGTGTAGGAAGGTGTCCTAAGATTTTTCCAGATTTCATCACTTGATGCTGCCGACCCAAGGACAAACAGGACAGAGACAGAAAAATTAACCACCGAATCCAACTAGTCCTGTACCTTTGAACCAGCAAATAAAGCCAAAGACACATTGGACAAGTGTTTGATGCCGCATTTCAGGCAAGCAATTGAAATGCAGATATTACTGGGGTGTTTGGATTCTAAAGCATTCAGATCCAAGAGGATGGAAGTATGAAAAATCCATCCTCAAAGTCACAAGAGTTCGTCAAAGAAATGCTCCTAAAGAGATGGGGATTGCAAATTAAGATGATGATAATGTGAATTCCTAAAAGGTAGTCCAGAAAAACGAAACTTCACATGAATCACTGAATGCAGATTCAGAAGCAACTTAGTTTAGCATCACTCGATAGACATCTCAGATCAAGTGTTGGATTATTTGTGTTTAGCTTCATCCCCATCTTCTACAGCGAAACTATGTCATACAAAACCAAATAAACAAAACGCGAAATTTTGCAAAAAACAGTATATGCAACCAAAAACAAAGTCGAAAATCGAAGAAATAATCATAAAAAAGAGATCTTTATCGGGGGAGAAGAAGAGGGAGCTACTCAGTGGTGGCGATAAGAGTAATAGGTTCGATTCTGCCAGCGATCCGTCTTCAACTTGTGAGTCAGAAGAGGGAGCTTGTTATCATCATCGTAACTCCAATTTCAGTGAAAGCAAAATCAGATCGAATTGAAATAGCCTATGCACAGAAAAATCACAAAAGCTACTGATAATCCATCTATGCTCTCAAGAATTTACAGCAGAGAGCGAACGAGGTAGAGAGAGAGAGAGAGAGAGAGAGAGAGAGAGAGAGAGAGAGAGAGAGGGAGAGAGAGAGGCTCGGTTCAGCGGGGTTGTCGACACGCAAAGCCATCTCGAGAGAGAGAAAGCCCTGCATTCCGGTCTGTTGAGCTTGAATTTATGGAGTCGTCATCGCCATCTCTCCCTCGCGCCCTCTCTTACGCAAACAAAGCAGAGCAAAGAAAAAAGAGAACTGACCATCAAGATTCAAAAGCACCATAGAAAAGAACCATGAAGCAATCAAGACTCGACAATGGATAGATAGATAGATCTCCGAGAGAGGAGGCTCGGATGGAGCGACGGACGAAGAAGAAGAAGGCTGAGGAATGCGGCAGGGATGAGTAGTATTTATAGAACGCAGCTAGGGTTTTTCAGATTCTGAAGCAACCCTGGGAGGCGGACGGAACTTGGCAAAAGGAAATTTTGATAAAATCTCAAGAAAGGCCCCGAAATTGAGTCACTTTCACAAAGATGGCCCAGAATGGGCAATTTTTTCAAATTAGATCCTAAAATAATAAATATAGTCTCAAATAAGGGCATAAATTCACCGGCCAAGGCCTTTTCGTTCAAAGATGTTCTCTTTTCTCTTTTCTTTTTCTGCTTCTTTCTTTTTTTTCTGTCTTCTCCTTCGTTCTTCTTTTTTCCCTCCGCACCTGTGCCACGAAATAATGTTGGAAAGTTTCAAGTCTGGTCGTGCTTTTCCAGGGAGTAGACACCGGGATCACCAGCGATTCAAGCCAATCGAGTGACACTTAAAACATGGAAAGCTTGATTTTACAATGCTCATGCTGAGAAATCTTCATTGATTAAAATGGATGCGATCTTCATCTTCGTGGTATTTTGTCCTTCCCATTAGCCGATGTTTTATGATGGTGAAAGTTTTTCCCACGTGAGATTCCTGTTGCTACCGACGGAGATGCAAATCCAAGTAATCAAATTTGGAGTTGAAGGGACTTTATTAGATTAGTTATGCAAGTTTAAGGACTTAGCACACAACCCAAATGCTCAACACTTCGACTGAGAAATATATGCAAAGTTCGTAGACTAAAAGTGATTTTTCCCTGAAAATTACTTTTGTCTAATCTGTGATTGCCCACTTATTCACAATTTTTGTAAAAGATGAACACTCGTCTAAATCTTATATATCGATCTTAATATATTAAGAAATAATATATCTTTTCGTGTCAATAATCACAAAACTTTGAATTGCTCAAGTAGTTCGAGCTAAATGGTAACTGAAGTCACGAAAGTCGAAATATTGAAAAAAAAAATGAAAAAAAGCGTCATGTTCCAATCTATTCTTGTAATGCATGCTATTCGTGGAACCAAATGATATAGCAGGTGTTACATTATTTAGACCAAATAACATGAAGAGCTATTATAACTCTATCATGTTACAATAGGTCTTATTCCGTTGCTACGATTAGATGGCTTAGAAGTGTCCTCTTGACCACAACGTAATTGATCACAGTGAAGTATAGTCATTACAAGGATACACCAGAAGTCGGGAGGATCATAATTGATAAGGACAACTGATCCACATCTATATCACGTGTCGTGGGGATATGGGTTGATGACCGATTGCCATGTGCCATTATGACATGAGTTCATATCAAGCCCACTAATGAGGGTTGAAGGTACGTTAAGTCATCCTTAACGAATCTATTAATTCAAAACTCTCCGAAACATCTTTGCAAGACTATTAGTTCTTGATATTTGTCACCAACCCTATGCCATTCTTATATACATGAATACTTTTGTGAATACATAAATATTTTTTTTTAACCACTGAGGGTTGTTTCAGTGGCCACCCTTTCCACATGGGAAAGGGAAATCCACATCTCCTCAGGGGAGATGGGGATGGAGACGTTTAATTTCAAATATGGAGTTCGACTCTCACGTTCTAGGGGTAATCGGTTCCAGGGTGGGTTGGATCCAGACTTGGAATCTGAAACAAACCCTGTTATAACCGGTTCTCAATTTTTGGAACCTGAAACCTACCCCGCTTTCCCTGGACACTGTTTTGAAATCGACCCTGTTTTTCCGGTCCGGTTTCAGGGTCTACCCAAGAGCCTATTTTTTTTTGTTCCTTTTTCTGGTTTCATTTTTTTCCAGCAAAATAATATAGGTAGTAATGAAACGATTCAAAGTAAAAGATCTACCGGATCGGCGAGCCAAAAAAACGGAAAAAACACACACACGGTACGGACGTTGAGATGACCAAACCCTAGCCCTCTTCAACATGCAGGCAGGCGACGAGCTGGGTTGCGCTCTTACGGCGACTGAGGAGGCGATTGCGAAGAGAGAAACCGTGAGAGACAGAGGAGGTTGTGAAGAGAGAAGAGAGAAACCATGAGAAACAGACTGGGTAGCCGGGTAGGGTAACGTGATCTAGGGTTTTTACTTTTTTTACATTATCTTAAAACCGGTTTTAAAACCGGTCCAGGTCGGTTTTTACTTAGAACCGGAAACCGGAACGGTTATAACTAATTCCCAAAAAATGGAACTGGAAACCAGACCGGTTCTTGTTAGAACTGGTTCACGAACCTGTTTTTCGAGTGGGCCGATCCGATTTCAGGGTAAACCTAGTCCGGTTACACACCCCTATCACGCTCTGCAAAGAGATAGGGTAAAAGTTTGAGAATGAGTTAAAAGTTAGAGTAGGACAAGACTATAAAAAAAATTAAAAAATAAAAAGTTTAAGCTTTGCATTTGTTGGTAAAGTCATGAAATTTCGATTATGGCCTTTGTGACTGGCATTGAGGTTTTAATTCTCTCACTAACATTCATATTCAGAAGGGGCTACATTTGGTTTAAAAACGTTGATCCTATATATACACATTGTTTTCTTTGCATTTGGCATTATTTTTTTTTGGTTTTTATTATAAAAACAACATAGCAATGAAAATTCGAGCGGAAAATTTCGAAAATTTCGAAACCTCTGTGAAGAGGGGAGGGTGGATAATCTCGAAATTGTTTTTTTTTTTCTTTTCTTTTGGTCGATCAAAATTGGTTTATTTTCTGGTAATTTTCATCCCCCCCAAAATGGAGGTAGGTCGGTCACTTTCTTTTAAGATTGTGCGTGGTGGTGGCGGATAATTTGCAAGTGGATATTGCGATGGCTCCATTTGTGGCGTCCACTAAAAGAAAAAAACAAAAGCATTAAGTTTTTTTTTTTTCATTTTGGTTACGTGGCAGGCAAAAAATGTTCAACGTCACACAACACTAACAAAAGAAATTGAATGTTTCAAAAAAAATAAAATAAGAAAACACTATAAAAAACCCGAAACTATATATCACTTGTGATAAATTTACCTTGAATTTTGCGACACGAAAATCCCAAATTATGTCATTTGTGACACATTTATCCCACAATACTTTTCCCAAGAGCATTTTCATATTTTTCCTTTTTCTATTTATTTTTTCTTTTTTTTCTTTCTTCTTTCTCCCCTCCACCGGCCATGGCGGAGGGAAGCCGACGAGGGCGACCCTCACCGGATCTAGCGAGGGCGACCCTCGCTTGTGAGGGCAGCCCGCGCCTAAGTCGGACGAGGGCTGCCCTCGTCGAACTCTGGTGAGGGAGACCCTCGCTTGGGCGGGCGAGGGCCGCCCTCGCCGGCTTCCCTCTGCCATGGCCGGCGGAGGAAAGAGAGGAGAAAGAAAAAAAAAAGGAAAAAAAAATAGAAAAAGGAAAAAGATGAAAATGGCCTTGGGAAAAATATTATGGGGTAACTGTATTATAAGTGACATAGTTTGAGATTTTTCGTGTTGCAAAAAAAAAATTCAGCGTAAATTTATCATAAGTGGCATAGTTTGAGGTTTTTGGTAGGTATTTTTTAAAATTTTTTTTTTTATAAAAAGGAAAAAGATACCTCCGAACTATTCTCTCTGTTGTCTCTGTCGCTGCCTCCTCTGTCTCTCCAAACTCTCTTACCCCCAAGAAGTGAATCAATGGCGGTTTAGTCAACGTGACGACCCACTTCGTTCTCTTGTTCCTGAAGAGAGAGAGAGAGAGAGATAGACTGACCGTTTCTGGTTCACCGATGATCTGTTCCGGTCGTATTCTGGCCGTGTCCTTCGCGGCGAAACCTCGGTGTCCCTGCAGCAATTCGCCGTTCCCCAGCTCCAGAGTCGGACGGCTGAAGCCCGGCTCCAGCTTCAGATGGCGATCCATGGCCACCGACCCCGAGTCTTCCTCCTTCGCCCCTCCCGTCGATTCTGATGCTCCCGATAAGACCGCCGCTGGGTATGCCTCCCTCCTGCTCCTCCGTGTGTCCATCATATGTTTGTCGGTTAGCCAGGCAGTAGCAGTTGCTACGGAACCCAATCATCTGGTCAGTTCGTGTTCGTGTCGAGTCGGAGCTGAGGCATGAGCTCGGTAGTAGTAGGCAAAGAAGGTTCGACCGTGGTGAACCCATATTGATGAGATTGAGATTCCATTGGAATTCCGATGCAGTCCATAGATGATCTGGCTGGTACTGACGTAGCCTACTTGGCTTACTCTCTCACGGGGCAATCAATGGAGCTTAAACTTTCCATTTTGCTATTAGAGTTAAGCTTGATTCGGCTCAATTTATGCTATTTATTACCTGGTGTCAGCTTCCTATTTCCTACACCTTTGAATAAGCTGAGCTATCTGACCAAAAGAAAAAAAAAACATAAACAAGAAGCCTGAGCTAAAGCAAGTTTCAGGCTTGGCAGTTCCCATCCACACTCTGTTTTCTTTACCTGCAATTTTATGTGCATGATGATAGTTAGGCAACAAATTGCATGCTGCATTGGGATATTAGGTTCCATGACTTGCCTGTGCAGATTTTGTATCATAGAAGGGCCCGAGACAGTGCAGGACTTTGCTAAGATGGAACTGCAAGAAATCCAAGACAATATCCGAAGTCGGCGGAATAAAATCTTTCTACACATGGAGGAGGTAAACGTGACAATGATGCTTTCATGGGAGAGATACTCTGGTTATGGATGAATAGTTCTGGTCTTAGACACGCGCATGTGGTGCTAATTGTTGTTCATTTTCCATGTCCCGACCTCCTGCTTTAATTGATGTCTTGTATTTACTTTTTTCAGGTGCGTCGGCTGAGGATACAGCAGAGAATTAAAAGTGCCGAACTTGGTGTATTACAGGGCGAGCAGGAAAATGAGCTCCCAAACTTCCCATCATTCATCCCTTTCTTGCCCCCTCTAGTGAGTTTTTCACATCTGTAGTAGCACCTTGTTTCTCCCTTTTTCCTTCTATTTTCCATATGCGACATTTTGATTTGTACTTGACAAACGATCGGGATGCTTATCATAATTTTACATTGTTGATGGATACTTGATTACAGAGTTCAGCAAATCTCAAACGGTACTACGCCACTTGTTTTTCTCTCATTGCCGGGATTATTATCTTCGGTGGCCTTCTAGCACCCACTGTAAGTTTTTTTTTTCCTCGAAGCACCCACAGAAAGTTTGTAGAATTAAATCCCAAGAATCTGCCCTTGAGCTAGCTTGCCAGGAGTCGGATGATTCTCATTCATGGTTTAGTTTTCTCTGTAATTTTTATTGTCTGTTCACGACCATGACCCATTGACTATGTCTGCTTTGATTAACTAGTTGGAACTTAAGCTGGGACTAGGGGGTACGTCTTATGAAGACTTCATTCGAAACGTGCATCTGCCTATGCAGTTGAGGTACTAATTAATGTCTTTATCACTCTTCTAACACCAAATTTCTTTGTCACTTTACCACCTTCATCTCCGTTCACAACTGTAAAACCACAACTTTTGATTGGCTCTCAGAGGTTACATGTAGCTGAGCGTTCTAATGCTTAGTGATGTAACAGGAGTCTGTATAACTTTGCAATTTTAAAGTTTAAAAAGCAAGTCAGGCTAGTTTCCGAGAGTTATTGTGCTTCCCAAATTGTTAGAAGAATTCATTTAGATCTTTGTGGTTAAGGAATGGGTATTTCTCAAATAAAAAAAATTGGTCGAAGAATATGTATATGCAGATGAAGAATTTTCTGATCTCTGGAAGGTTGTGATATGATGACAGGATCGGATATCTTTTTGTTGTGTCAGTTAAATGCTTTGGCTCGCTTGTGCTTTTTCACTTTCTATGCTCACCTGCATCAGCTGCAAATTTCAGCCAGGTTGATCCTATAGTGGCATCCTTCTCTGGAGGAGCTGTTGGGGTGATCTCAGCTCTGATGGTTGTTGAGATAAACAATGTAAAGCTGCAAGAGGATAAAAGATGCAAATACTGTCTTGGGACTGGTATAGCTGTGATCTGATCTCCTTCTCCCTGTCATTTTTTATCTCCTTTCTCGTGTGATTTGTGGTTCTTGATCTAGCACTGGCAACAAATCGAAGCATGGAAGTCATGCTTAAATTTGCCTTTAGATGGATGACTTTTAGGTACTCAAGAGGCTCAGTCTAGGGCAATGACTTCATTGTTTTCTCTCACGTGCTTGGTAAATGCAGGATATCTTGCCTGTGCTCGTTGTTCAAGTACAGGGGCCCTTGTTCTTATCGAGCCAATCTCATCATTCAATGGTAGCGATCAACCTCTGTCAGCTCCTAAGACAGAGAGATGTTCAAACTGCTCAGGATCCGGAAAGGTTAGCCTTCTACAATATGTGACGTGATGTTTCCAGTATGAGATATGCTCTGTCATTTAGAAAACGGAAAAGCCAGAGTTTCTGCTGAGCATAAAAGGCTTGCTCTGATATCACATGGTAGCTGCACATGGTATATGTTGAATAAACCTCCGATAAAAGTCTCGTTGGTGCTTGTCGCAGGTTATGTGTCCGACATGCCTCTGCACTGGAATGGCTATGGCCAGCGAGCATGACCCAAGAATAGATCCCTTCGATTAAGGATATGCCGCATTTTCGAATGAGAAGTTGAATTGTGTGTACACGAATAGATATCTGTGGCGCTTGTAAGTTGCATCATATGTGATATCGACAATTCCTTAAAGAAAGGGTAAGGAAGATTGCAGATGGAGCTTTGAGCTTGAAATTTATTTAACAGACTCATGAAAGGGTCTTCTCACAATTTCTATTTGCCTTGGAGCATTGCACTTGATAACTCCAAGCAGCCTTGCTCTCCTATAAATATACTCAAAGACTGTGTTTGGTCGTCTGGATTTCTATTCTAGATATGATTAGATAGGGTAGATATAAATCCATGGATTTTACTGTATCTTATCTACTATTTGTTGAATTGCAGTTATAAAATGGGATATTTTTTTGTTCTATCTTGTCCATTATTTGGTATAAACGGCATATAAGAGTAAATGAATCTAAAAATGCATGGACAGACATGTAAGAATCTCTCATGCTTCACTGCTAAAGAACCGCAAATGCACTGACGAGGATAATCTCAATCAATTTATGATTATTGTACGATATAAATCTCAAAGAACAAAGAAGCTCATTGCAATATTTCGGAGACACAAGTTTGATAATGACAAGAAATGTAAATGGGGTATTGCAACATTAACAAGATGGCTATGCCAAATGCAGTAAAAGAGAGAAAATACAATCATTCATTCACTTTCGCAATTCTGAAAAGCAATGTGTTTTGGCTCTCTTGTTATTTTCGTAAAACTTCAGCTTGAATCACAGAATTATAGAGTTCTGACTCACTGTTTTTGTGTTGCTCTGACATGAACCAAATAATTATAGAGGAGTCGTGAAGTTTCAACATAAACCAAAGATACAAAGGAAAATGAGACGAAGAGAGTAGGTTTTTTTCTTTTTTCCTTCAGAAATCCGCGAAAAATGATTATTCACTTGTATCAACACAAGACTCCAACTCATTGTTAGAATTCATGTTATATATTTATATTTGAAAGAAAGATGTTGATCTCCTTGCTTCTCTCATTCCTTTTCTTGCTGAGCCCCTTTCTCCTTCGTCCACAGAGACAAAGCGTAGGACTAATGCCAGAAGTGAATCATGGAAGGAAGAAAGGACTCACTGAGCCGTGATCACTAACTAATAGGTAATCTAATATCAATAGAATAGAAAATATTAGAATAGGAAAGAATTGTTTTTCTGTATATTGCCCCTATTTTTCGAGAATTAGAAGAAGTCCTTTAAAATTTGAATTCATTCATGTAAAATCTGGGTTCTTCTGCTTCATTTTTACTAACTCGTTTATTTTTTATTATTTATCCCTTTATTTTTTCTTTTTTCTTTATATTTTTATTTCCTTTCAATTCCCTTCCATCGTTGCTCAACAAAAATTTTAATAGATAATAAAATATACTAATATACCTAAAACACACACATATATGTATACACAGAATATATATTATAGAAGAGAAAGAAATTCAAAATATATTACAAAAATAGGAATAAATTAAATGGAAATTGTTGTTATTTTTTCTTTTTGTTATTTTGAATATTTTATATTATAATTCAAATATTATTTATATGTAGTAATTATTTTAATTTTAGTTATTTAATAATTTTGTTATCCGAGAAAAACAGTTTTTTAATTCCTATCCACTTTTATTCTACCTAAATATTTTTATTCGAATTATATCCTTTTTATATCCGATCATATGTTATCTTTTAGCAGATACCAAAAACGGGATAGGAATATGAATTCTTATCCAAGCTACCAAAGCCATTGCTTTTGGTGTTTGGAGGCCTGAGGGAATCGATGCCTAAAGGCCAACTTGAAATTTTGCCATCTTCCTTCCAAGCCCCCTTGGAAACTTTGCCTTGCCACCTTCCCATGATGGACTTTGTGATTCATCGGAGATAAGTCTCAGCACCAGCATCGCGATCAGAGAATGGAGGCACTGAGAGCAACTTACGGCGACGACTCCGACTCCTCCGCCTCCCCTCCGCCTCCGCCTACGCCTGGTCTGCCCCCGCCGCCCCTCTCCCTCCTCACCCCTCCCAATTCCCTCGGTACGTCAATTCACATCCTCTCTCTCTCCATTCTATCTTTGCCCACCATCTGTTTGATGATATGCTTCTTTCGCTCGTCTCACCTCAGATTCCTACCCAACCGGCCAGCCGAGTCGAGTCCGGACCTTCCCTCACGTCGAAGGCAATTTCGCCCTCCACGTTTATATACCCGGTCATTCTCTCTCTCTCTCTCTCCGTCGGGTTGCTGCGTATTTTTCTTTAGCTGAAATGTTTTCCTTTTTGCGCATCAAACGATGGCAGTTCATATATCGGGTCCGCAAAGAAAGGAAGTAGCCCTCTTCTTGAAGAAAGTCGCATCTGTGGTGCCTGGTCTTTTCGTGGTCGATGCAGACGTGCCCCTTGAGTTTCTGTGCCGAGATGATCAGAAGCTCGAACAAGTTGCTGTGGGGAGGGAATTCCACATCAGTCTGGGCAGGACTGTGCCCATCCGAGTCCACCAGATCGACTCTATGGTTTCCATGCTTCGCCAGAAGCTCCAGTTTCACAAACCGTACGCCCTCTTCTGTTTGTCCCGCCCTCTTCTGCTCATTTCTTCTTACATTCCATGAGGTGATTCCGGGATTCTTACTTGATAGTTCTCTTCTTTTATTGTGAAGCAGGTATTGGATCGATTTTGATAAATGGGAAGTGTTCGTCAACGATGACAGCACAAGATCTTTCCTTTCGCTCGAAGTCATGAGCCGAGGATTAGCTGAGGTATGTTGGTTAGAATTTTCTCCGCAGATTGTTTCTTCGTATCTAGTACCGAATCTTTTCCACTTGCAGCTCCAGAAAATCTCAGGGTCCCGTGCTTTTGAGTATGCTACTAGTGCGTTTAGTGTTGAGTGCTAGAATGCTACTTCAAAGAGTTCCTGCTGGTCCTTGAGAAATACATTCTACGAATTTAGCATCGATGGTTGGTCATAACTTCACAGGCTACGGGATTCATGCACGCAAATGTGCCGATGTGTGCCATGAGTAAGAGCATGAGCTTCTCTGGCTCACAAGTGGCTTTGTTCCATCGAGTAAACTATGCACTGGCCAAGTGCTTGAATCAGGGAATGCGTTCGTTCCTACTTGTCCTCTCAATGCAAACGCTATATTACCTTACCTTTCTATTTTGTTTTTGCATTGGGTTTTCTTGCTCTACACTTTCTCCCAACGGAGGAGGTATATGCAATGTCTTTTGCTGATACATCCATTCGATTGTGGTTCTTCTTCCAACACGAGTTTTAGTTTGCCATGCAGAAATGATGGCTGAATGTGTGCAAGATGAAGTTATATCCATCTAGTAAAGTTGTGCCTGTGTCGGTTGTGCTATGAGGTCTCAACTTTGTTAGTTACTTTACACATCTTTGGAAGCATCGCAGGCAGTTCTGCAGCTGAGCATTCTCAAAAGCTTGTCTTCCTGACTAGCTTTTCCTTTTCATGATTGTGTTTATGGAGTGAGAATCACAAGTAGCAGAGAATGTCACGTTCGCTGATTGTAAGCTTCCTTTGACTTGCATTTCAGATTACAAAGCAAATACAATTGGTCAATGACGTTTATAGGCGCCACAATCTTCCTGAGTTTTACAAGGTTAGGTTAATTCCGATTTCAATCCTTTTCCCTTTTTTAAGTTGCGATGCCATGGTTATATATATGTAGCTTGAATTGATATGTGATTGCGACAATCAAACAGGATCCTCGCCCTCATATATCTTTAGCTTGGGCCTTGGGCGACGTCAGCGAGTCCTTGCAGAAAGCGGTGGAAGAGATGAAGAGGAGCGCAAGCTTTGGGACACTATCTCCGAAATGTATCTTCACCACTAAATTTAGTCGGATCGAGTGTAGGATCGGTCACAAAACACACAAAATATGTAAGCTTCCAGACGAGTGAAGCAAATATTGAATCGGACAAATTATATCATGAAAAAGCAGCGCCATGGATTCACAGGCTGCACTAAGTATTCCCTTCTTCCAAATATGTAATGAATAAGTATACGAAGAAACCTAACTGGCTCTTTTCGGGCTAACAGAAAACTAACTTCTCGATAATGAAAAAAATTTATTAACTCGTAAGCGTAAGATACAACAATATCGGAAGTCTTCTGACACAAAGAAAATCTCATTCGAGAAGTAAAGGCTACTACATCTTCGAAAAATAGTTAGAAGAGCCTATTCGTATTTATCTTAAAAAAAAAAAGGACCAGCTCCAGCAAAGCGTCGCAATATTATTTCTTTTAACTTCTCTTCCAGAGACGAATTGCTTACTTTAAATTAACACTACAATTGTCCAGTGAGTATTACAAATCAGAGGAACTAGAACTCCAACATACTGAGCCCCAAGAACTGGGAAAGAATATTCGGTTGCCGTTCTTCGTGCTCGACTGTGTTATGCAACTTTCAGAGCCAGGTGAACCAAACCGAACAATTTATGATTCAATAAAACGGGCAAAGGACCAAAAAATGTGGTTTATAGCCCTGGAATGGATTCAAGGTTGTATTTCTCAGAAGATGAAACTTCACCCTCTCGAATTTCTAGCAATTTCGGCTTCTGGATTGCATCAAGAGATTGCAAATAAGCGTAGGAAGCACTCCGACTCGATGAAGGGCCTGGATTACTAATTCTGCTAGCCAGGAAACGGCGAATGAGGCCCCTAAGGAATGGAGCCATGGTATCTGGCTCATGTTCCAAGTAGTACATTACTCCTCCCATACAAGCACAGAACAAAGCCACCTGCAGAAGTGAAACGGGCATCAATTTGTAACGATTTCCTTCTAAAGATTCATAGGAAGCTGAAGGAGAAAGCAGAAATGCAAATATCTCTATATAGTGCGATATTAGTGCATTCCAATTTCATATCAAGCAATGTTAGATACTTTTTTGCACCGGATAAGTTTATGTTGACACCTGCTAAAAAGTACTACATAGTACATACGGCTTAGATAAACAGGAGATACCTCAGCATTCTTGATATTAGGAACCAGATGGCGGTTTATTAAGATATACCATAAAGAATCTCCAGCGCGTGGCAATACATACAAAGCAAGTTCACTCCGTCTAGATTTTTTCTCCAGCAGAACAGAAAGAGCAGAAAGTCCACCAGCAAGCCAATACACAAGCTTGTGGTCCTTTGACGCGATCTTCCTATGTGAACATATTACTCCCTTGCACCATTAAACAATTATTAGAACATTCTTCCCAAGTTAGAAAAAAAATATTGCAAAATAAATAAGTGAAGAGCTACCTGAAAAATTCCAACAAAAGCAGACAAAAAGGCCGTCGAGCGAACAGCACCTTTAAGAGCCAGCCAACAGGTACGAGCAGGTGAATCCATGAACTAGAATTTGTTTAAAAAAAATATATTAGAAGTAACGGAATATTGGTCCTAAAATGTCACATAAACCGTTGCTGATAAAGAAAGACAGAATAAACAATTTTAACTTCCAAAAGCTGCATAACATTATCATGTTAAGGCCAAGGAAACAGTAACCCACCTAACCATCTTGACGATGATAACCATCAGATTCATCCAAATTTTGGATAGGGTTAGAGTACTAAATTTTGTTCCTAATATACATCACATAAAATGTTGCTGATATAGAAATACAGAACAAACAATTTTATCTTCCAAAAGCTGCATCTCAATAACATGTTAAAGCCAAGGAAACAGTAAACTAATCATCCTGATGATGATAAGCATTAAACTAATAGATCAGCGGCAAAAGGGATAGAATTAGAGTACTAAATTGTGCCTTCATTTTTTTAGTTTGAACTGTTTAATGAGTTGGAAATGTTCCCAAACATTCAACAAGTGACAACAATGGGAGTATAGATGTAATGATCAAATCAGCCTGGAGAGGAAGTTGTACCTTTTGCAGGTGGAGGACGACAAATGGCACGAATGTTAATGAGAAGTAAAGCGGAAATGTCTTCCTAAAAGTAGCTGAACTTGCATTCGCATTGTGAACCAAACAGGAGTTCGTGTGTGGATGAATTATGGAGCATGGAATTATTGAGGGGAACTCTTCCAACTTTACATGATTGGACACTCCTTTTTTAGCCAAGTATGCTGACAATGAGGCAATGTCCAATGGCAAACCCCTACAATTATCCCTTACAGCTCTGTACACAGGCTGTGCAACTGGCCCGGTCTTCTGGATAAAATCTTGATATGATTTCGGCAAGCTTTCCGGGCGCATTATGAAGGCATACATTACCTAAAATGAGTTGTAAAAAGTCAATAAAAAAGAATGAGAAAGACACCAAGAATGAAGTCCACACCATGACAGAACCTTGTACAGTAGTCAAGTGATGGCATCTGCTTGTATAAGAAAACCGTTTTGTTGGTTCTATGTGCTTTTTGTTTAACAAATGAAATCTATCTTCACAAATGTTTAGTAATAGATATTGGGAATTTCTTGAAGTACATGGTCACTTATTATTGAAGGTAATTAAAAGACACTAACAAGATTGGCCATCATAATGCAGATATATCATAAATCACGATCACATCCAATCAGGATTTCAAGGATTATAGTCTGTTTGAGACAACAGTATTTGACGAGTCATGCATGTTAGAACTCATCGAGATTCTTCAGCAATTTGTATCGAATATATAAACTGTAAAAACTAACAAATCACACCGTATGTTACATGGATCAGACAAAACTTCAGGAAGCTTACATACTTCCTGATTACACCTCAAGTTGCTTCGTTTTGCATATTAATCAAATTAAATCAATATAATCATATGCTTTCAACAGCATTAATATTCGATGAAGATGACAAGAAAAGCATACTAAGATATACCACATTCATTTCATCACGGTTCAAGTAACAATATGATGAAAAAACTTGACATTATATTACCTGGGCACATGCCAGGGCAAAAAGCAAAGAATCTCCATGTCTCCAGTGGCTTCCCCAGAAATGGAACTTGTTCTTAGACTTTGCAGAATTATAAGCACACTGGTGTGGAATTTATACATTAGACTTTCCATGAAATGTAAAAGAGGAAAGAATGAACTGCTAACACCAAAAGAATGCTAAGGAATAGAATGTATACTAATCTTTTACGCACTTGAGCTACCCTGGCCAGAAGATAGAGAGCAAGTGTACGCCTGCGGTTTGAACCATCCAATGCTAAGATAGACAAACCCGCAATTGAACCTGATAAAACTCTGTTCCATCATCCCCTCAAACAATGTCACAAATAAGGAACTGGCTCTATTGTGGCTAAATAGCTTCAAACCCTTCAAGAAACAGAGTACATAAATTGCAAACTTACACGTTCATCGGTGTCTCTTTCCTTCTCAACTTTCTAAACAAACACCGAAGAGCGTGATAGGAACCGGTAAACCCACCAAAAAGCAGACCAACTCGACATGCTTCTTCTCTTACTATCAGATCCTTCTCGGAAACAAGTTGCTGCCAACAAAGTACATAAATCAACAGCGAGGCTGTAAGTACGTAAAAAATATTGGCACCATCGCATGGATATGTCAAAGAGACAAAACTAGCGCAAATAGTAGATTAGGGAAGGAGAAGAGACTCTCCTAGAGAATAGATAAAGAAAGAAGAGTTTCAGCCAGGTGGCATTGTGGCATTAAAATAAGCCAGAAGTTAAGCTAGCAGATGACGATAACAAACAACAATGTCAAAGTTCTCAAGTGAAGATTTAAGGATATTAGTCCCGATCACGTGCGTCAAAAAAGCAACATCATCTTTACCAAAAAAAAAAAGCAACATCAGTGTAAACTCAAGTTTTTAACAAAAGACCTACCCAAATTTGCCACTGTGGAAGGTACTTTAATCCGAAGTTAGCATGAGGGATACCGCCTGTTTATATATCACCAAGTTGTCTAGTATATCCTAATGGGAATATGCCAGTAATCCAGAATGCTGATACTGCTGAGGTCAATGTTTAGGAAATTGCTCGGTGTAGTCCAAAGGAAATATATGTACCTAAAAAGGACCTTGATTTAACCAGTGGACCGTATGTAACATGTCAATGCTCAAGTTGGATTTTTTCTGCACTGTTCAGTCTGCCACGTTCTTGTCTCTCAGAAGACAAGATTCGGTAAACTCAGCACCAAACTTACAGAAATTGCGGCTCCTAAGAAGATAAAGTGGCTCGCATCCATGAACGTAATTATCATATAACTAAAGTAGAATTCCACTACAATTAGCACAATGATGTTATAACAACAAACTGCATCAGTACGGCATGCATAAGTAAGAAATGGAGGCTTCTTCCTGTTTCGATGAGCACAAGATATTAGCCATCGTCTCGGCCAACTAAGCAGTAGTACACATTTGCATGGTGCTTTCCTCGGGATCTAAAACCAGTAGCTCTAGCAGAAGTACATTCACGAATATAATTAACGAGAACTCTTAATCAAAACGAAAATAAAACTCACGATCAAGTATTAGCAATCCGAACAACCATTTCCTGTCAAAATTAAGCTGGAACTGAATCCTAACAGCCACGGGAAACCATGTGCTAGGCAGGCGGTGATGAGGCGGAGAAGAGGAATCGGATCGTAACCTTGAGATCGAGGAGCGACGAATAAGACTGTCCCTTGGCGAGCTTGAAAGCGCGAAGCAGGATGCCAATCCCAACCCTAACGCCGTAGGAGAGGAGGAAGCTCTGGCAGAGGTTGCCGATCGCGTTGGCGACGCAGGACTCGTCGGGCGAATGGTGGCAGGGGGGGTGCGGGGGGAGGAGGCCGCCGCCACCGCCGCCGCAAGCGGCGGCCCTGCGCTGGCGGCGCTGGAGCTCCTCGATGGCATCGCGGAGGCGCTCCTCGGCCTCCCTCAGGCGGCGCTCGGCGTCGGAGCTGTCGCCGGCGGGAGGGGGAGGAGAGGGCGGCGGGGAGGGGAAGGGTGGGTCGGAGACGGAGTGCATTGGGGTTCAGCTGCGGAGGGGAGAGGAGGATTTGGCATCTGCGAATCGCGAGTGCAGCAAGTTGTTGACTCCCACCCAATGCTGTCATGCTTTTAGAGAGAGAGAGAGAGAGAGAGAGGACCGATGAAACGAATGTCCCATTTTGCGTGCGCTTTTGGAGTTTTCTTGCGTTTTAAATTTGGCTTATAAAACTAACAACTGGATGGTCGGTTTGCTCACAGACGAGGGCCCGAGGAAATGATTAAGGGTGCGTTTGGTTCAGCATTTTAAAAGCGCTTTGAAGATTAAAAGCCTCTTAAGAAAAATTTGGGATGTTTGACAATAATTCTCCATGAGGCTTTGGGGTGAAAGCTGGTCTTGGGAAGGCTGAAAGCTCAATGCTGGTCCCTATTAGTATTGAGTATGAATTAATGAAATTTTGTCAGTTTCCTGTTTTGCCCTCAAAAACTTATTAAAAGTCCAATTTTGCCCCTTTTATAAAATAAAACCCTACAGAAGCGTTCTGCCTCTTTTGCTCCCCTCTCCATCACTCAACTGCTCCTTCTTACGTCGCTCTCCCTCGCTCGAATGCTTGTTCGCTCCGCTCGGTGCTCTCCCTTGCTTAGATCCGTGCACTCCTCTCTCTAGAATCGAAGTCGAAGAAGCTCTTCAAATCGGAACAGAAGACCACTGAGCACCATCTGTTGCATCAAAACTCGAGCCCCGATGAAAAGATTGATATATTCGATTTCTATGTTCTTAATTCTCATCGTTGTGTTTTGCAATGATGCGACATATTTCTATTCGATGCTTCAATGATGGACCCATGAATATAAATTATCATTTATGATATTGATGCTGTCCGATAAACTCATTTAGTATATGATCGGTAATATCTGTACAATTATTCAAATTAAAAGGAGAATCGTCATTCAAATAGTGGGTGAAAGCTGGAACAATGAAATCAGTATGAACCATCAGTGTCTGTTTCATTTTGATTGCACTTATTTGTGTACTCTGCATAGGGAGTGACCGGGGCATAATTCTTCAAGAGATGGCTTGGCTTAAAGATTTGTTTCAGTTACAAAACCAAAGAGGTCTGGAACATTAGTCCAAACATCAGCCAACACTGCAATCACATCTTCTCTGCTGAAGAATCTGAAGCACTTGCACTTCCAGCTTCATCTTGCCATGAAGCTTGCCATTGCTTGTCGTAGAAAGTGGCCTCATCCACGAGCTTCCTAAACGTTTCGATGTCTTGGTTTCGCCTGAAGAACAGCACTGCAACCACAGTCGCGAACACTCCTGCCTTGCACAGGACATTGCCTGTCTGGCCTACCACGCCCATCCCCGTCAAGGCGTCCACCATGTATGCCATGGAAAACCCGAGCATCGCAGCTCGACCTGTGTAGAGTTGGATAATTCACAAGCGTAAGAGAGCCTATATGAACTCAGGAGAGAATCGCAATTGAATATCTGTTGTGAGAGGTGGTCATGCGAACCATTCAAAAGCTCTGCTTCAGGGAGATGGGACCGGCGTATCCATGCCCACCATGGTATTATGGAGCTCCTGAGCAGCACAGGATCTTCATTTGTTGCGGCTTCTGGATACACTTCAAGAAAACTCCTCCTTGCTTCTGTGAAGTGAAACATGAACATCCAATTATGCAGGAAATTCACCAACAGCTTAACAATAACTGCTTTTCTAACGAGTAAGCCCAATCTTGAGGAGCTCATCACTTTGTTAATTAGCATTCTGACCCAAGGTAAAAGTAAGGTGGATTCAATTATCTCTCACCGGCAACAATGACTCCATCCCAGTCCATCTTTCCGTCCTTGACAAACATGTTCAGATCCCAGGAACCGTTCGTCCATCGCTCGTCCTTGAATTTGATAGCGGAGGATTCTAAAGACCGGCCCTCCTCTGATTTATCCCCAGCAACCCTGAATCTATCTTCTCCTGAAGCTGCATTATCCTTATGTTCAGTAACATTGAGCATGAGCCCTTTCGCCGGACCCTCCCCATCCACGGTAACCACATTGGTTGCTTGCTTCATCCCCACTGAGTGCCGGAGTTGCTGTCTCCTTGGGACATGATTCAAGCTACAAGCTCTGTGCAGTGATGCAGAAATGGCAACGGAAGCCATGGCTATCTGGAGCTAAGATGGCTGTTCCTTCGTTTTTGTCTCTTGTTTCGTTAACACTCTCTCTCTTACCACTTCACTGGGTCATGTGACCGTGGGAAGCATGTAATGAGGCCCATGCTGAAAATAAATAAGATTATCTTCCAACCGCTGCTCGTGTCAGTAGAGTTCATGGGCAAAGCTCTACAATCCTGATCTCCCCTGCCTTCTCTTTTTCTTTAACCTTCTCATCCCAACTTTGTTAGGTATCGTCCCGGACTGCCTGAGTTGAGCCACATTATCCGCTGATGCTTTCACTCTATGACCACAACTTGAAGTAATAGTTTGATTTGGATGAGAGTAAAATTCTGAGTATTGACTATTAGATAGCACCAAATTCAACAGCCAAGACATTATAAAGGAGTTTGATAGCAATTGATATCTTTGGGGATATGATGGTCCACTGATTTTAAAAGCAATACGTCTCATCATAGCTCAAGCAGTACTATCGCGACCTGCAGGAATGTTGAGTCACATGGATCTTCAAACTTGGCATGCAAGCTGATGTGCATAGATGGTTTTTGTTTGAATGAAAATGGTGCCACGCTGATATCAGCTCATGCTCATACTCTTCTTATTTCTCGAACAATATGTTGCAAGCATCCAATGTAGTGATTCCCGCCAACGAACACAAAAGGTTCTGAGGGTTAAAAAATAAAGCAAAATGAAAACAGAAAAAAAAAGGCTCTTCTTGGGCCGGTGAAAATGATTCCGTCAGCTGTGATTTCCAGATGCTTCCATGGCTGGGATATCTCCACGAAATGTTACTGAAGAACAGGGATGCGAACAAACAAGGAAGAAAACTATGCTTCCCAACCCCTTAAAAGGGTGGCTCGTGCAACCCTGTTCACCCCAAGCGTGAAGGCACCCATCCGCAAGTTGCAGTCATGAACCTGGCACATGTTCTTGATGTTGTGGAAAGCTCGAGTCATGTATCTCTGAAGCTCGCTGTTCACCTTATCTTCATCCCACATGAAACCTTGGATGTTCTGCAAAGAAAAATAAGCTACTTAAGTGACCCGGATTTCATAAAAGCTTAAAAGACTGCGTTCAAGCATGCAGTCAGTGATATTGTGAATGTTTCTAATGAAGTGTCTTGGAGGACTAAGACAATTATTAAATGGTTAGCATCCATCCCGATTCGAATGAGGAAAAAAATGTAAAAAAGCATCTCCAAACGACCTAATTGCCAGTGCAAGAAATTTGCACAAATTTGAAATAATAATCTATAAGAGTTCCCACTTCCAAACCTAGGAAATAAGGCAAAACAAATTAAATGCAGCGAGCAGCACTCTTATTCTGTTGCCATCCTTCTGTATGAGAAACGATTGACAAATACCTGCCAATCAGGGTTTAGGTTTCAGAGGAGATCTAACTGCTTAGATAGGGAGGTTGGAACATTAAAGATGAACATGATCCAGAATTATCCTTTACCTGAACCCACTCAAAATAGCTAACAGTCACTCCCCCAGCATTTGCATATATATCAGGCAGAATTACAACTCCTTTCTTCGATAATATCTGCATTGACAAGTTGCAATACAATCAAACTCTTTAGAGACCGAAATCTTTAAGTGAAGAATGAACTAAATTTTACCTCATCTGCTTCTGGATCAGTAGGATGGTTGGCCGCCTCAATAATGAACTTGGCCTTTACATCTGCTGCATTATCCCTACAAATTGAATTAATACACAAGGAAACCGGTCAGACTTTGTCGAAACACTCCCTGAACTTAACTAATAACCAAATTGACAGCATCTGACAAACTTTTTTAATTTGCAAAATCATCATGAAGTACAGAACAGCTTAGCTAAGAGAAGTAGCACACCTGTTCAGAACTCCCCCTAAAGCACAAGGGATAAGAACATCACATTCATGTACAAGCAGTTCATCAGGATTCATGGAGTCTCCACCTTGGAAATCTTTCAGACTGCCAGTGCTTTCTTTGTGCTGGAGCAATTCTGGAATATTGATACCATTTGGATTTTTAACTGCACCGGTGACGTCACTGACTGCTATAACCTTACCACCTCTCTCATGAATCAGCTTTGCTGCCCAGGACCCCACATTTCCAAATCCCTAGAAATGTAGTGTGCAGAAGAAAAATCAATATCTGAAGTAGAGACCAAGGATATTTTAAGTACATTCGGGGAGTAAATGAATAATGACTAGTCACCTGAATAACAAATGTCAGATTGTTGATGGACTTCCCATGCTCGGCAAGCAAAGCTTCCGTAGCGAAAACAACGCCACGGCCAGTAGCAGCCTCCCGGCCTAGTGATCCACCAAGATCCTGAGAATCAAACCCAGATGGGTGAGAAAGAGTTCTGGCGTAAAGTTCTTCCTCATCATGAAATAATCAATCTCAAATTAATTGTCAATAAATTCCATCAGTTTCTAATTCTTACAATTGGTTTTCCTGTCACGACAGCCGGTGAGTGACCATGAAATTTTGAGTACTCATCCAAAATCCATGCCATGGTCTGCACATTCTCATACGTCATTACCTTAAACCAAATAAATCAAAGATGGTATAATGACATAGGCAGAGAAGTGATGATGCATGAAGCAGGAGCTGAACCTGAGCATTCGTTCCCATGTCAGGAGCGGGAACATCAGTATGGATCCCAATGAGGTCATGAATCTTCTGAGTGAATACACGGGTTAGGCGTTCCAACTCACTCTTACTTAAATCCCTAGGATTGCATCCAATCCCACCCTTTGCACCTCCATATGGAATATCCGCTACAGCTGTCTTCCAGGTCATCAACTGGGCCAGGGCATTAACTTCATCCGGGTCAACCTTTCAAAGAATATCAAGAAACCATCAACTTCAGGTTTCAAAACTGATAAGATTGGCATAGCACAACTCAACACGCTGGAGATGCTCGCACCCAGCACAAGAGAGCTAAGTAACTGCGGAGCGCATCCGTGAAGTGAACTGTGAGGGTAGTTGTAGAAATCTCTTGGACAAACATTTCATTGGCTACCAAGGTTTCTCCAATTAAGTAAGAAACGTTATTAAGATGGATGAAGGGCATCCAAAAATTTACCAAAATACGTGGGGCATTCAGAAACAGAATGCAAAATACATTGTATCTTCAGACTATATGCAAATCAAGTAGGCCGGTATAGGAAGAAGGAACGAGTAATTTGAAGCTACGAGGTTTCTTTAAAATAATATAAAAATCCCTACGAAGCCACGGCCAAAAGAGACATGTAGAGGAACAGATTCCTTGAATTCAAAGTAAGGCTGCTCTCTTAGAAACAGAGACAGAGTATCAAAATTCTCGACGACGCTCGATCATTCTTGAATGCAGCTGTTCTTCCTCCTCACAGCTTATTGAGTACCATTCTCAAGTAACCCACTCTTTGTTGACTAAAGACTAGCATAATAAGCAGGATCAGGCTAGGCCACATTTCAACGATAACCCCGGAGAAGTCATCATTACGATGCGTAATTGCCATGAATCAAACGACCGCGAACGACCGGAAAACTTCAACCAGGAGAACATGTTCGATTGGGCTTTACAATTGGAAAAAGGAGCTGCAAGCAGCACCTTTTGTCGCACTTCGAGTTTGGATATTTAGAAAGGGGTCGACCTAACTCACTTTCAGAAAGAAAAGACGACCAAGAAACGCCAGTAACGAGACAAACAATCGTCGACCTCAACCTGAAATCCGACTGACTACACGGACAAAACGAAAAAGAAGAGAGCCAACACTCCATCATCACAGGGTCACAATCTCCGGCGAAACAACCAAACAAGCTCGCGAGAGCGGGAGGGAACGCGAAAGTCAAGAAGTCAACGGAAAGCAGAGACTGTTTCATTTGGGTAGGGGGGGTGGTACCTCAGGATGATATCTGATCCCGCCCTTCATGGGACCGCGCGCATTGTCGTGTTGCACCCTGAACCCGACGTACGACACCAGGGTGCCGTCGTCCTTGGGAATCGTGCACTCCACCTGATCAGAACCGGACGACGCCGCAACCACCACTTTTAGCCACATTCTCAAGAACACGCGCACAAGAAGCCCGTGAACCGGGCCCCCGAAAGAAAAAAAACAAGAAAGAAAAAGATAGAAAGAAAAGGCAAGAGAAAGCAAAAAAAGGGAACGAACCTTGATCTCCCGAAACGGGATCAAGAGGCTCCGCTCCAGCTTAGAATCGAGCCCGAGAATGCGAGCCGCGTGGCGGAAGTTGCGGTTCGTTGCGGCGAGGGCGTTCATGGTCGATCTCAAGTCAAAAGAACAAGAGGGAGAAATCTCGAGGATGGAACGAGAATGCAAATGGGTTGTTGGGCGAGAGAGAAGGGGCGTGGGTGAGACGGTTTATATAGGGAGGGAGAGGGGGGGAAGGGAAGCCGTGGAGAGGAGGTGACTGGTACGGGACGGTAGAGACAAGGGAGAGGGAAGCGTGCAAATTGGCAAGTCAATTACTATTAGATAACCTTCTCATTAAGGAGGGAGCGAGCGAGCGAGCCATCAATTAAACAGCTACTTTTCTCAGTCCTGAGGATTCACAGGATTGCCCCTGCCCTTTCGGAGGTTTAATTCTTACACTCTTGGCTTCTTCGTAATTCGTTTCGTGGTTCCACTTTGTAGGCATTCTTTGCACATTTATTTGACTCGTTCCTAAGGTTCTAATTCCGATATATCAACGATGTATCCAATGTTTGGGGTTCGCGAGGAACGCGGAATGCCGACGGTTGCCGCCGAAGTCGTCGTTGCTAATAGTGTTCGGTTCACATGCTCCCTTCGAAACGAGTCTCGCTAAGTAATGACTCGAAAGGGCACGAAAGTCCGGGCCAGCAAAATCAGGGTCCCACACACTGCCAAATATGGGAAGTTGTGCTCAACGGGAAGGTTAAGAAGAAATAGCCAGACATTGCCATGAAGAGGGAAGCTCAAGTAATATTCTCCTGATTTGGGTATCTTGCGAACAACGTGTACACCACTTTGAAGACAACTTAACCCATAACTTTTGGTAATCACACAACGAACTCACTGCATTAGACATTACCATCTAAAATACCATGCTATAGTGTGAGCTGGCGAAGTGCAGGGTCAAGAGAGTAGTGTAGACAAATAGAGAAAAGGACTCGAAGGTGGTCGTGTAAATTGAGAAACGATCGGACTGATTATATGATAAGACAGAGGTCAAGAAAGAGGAAGAAGAAAAGAACAAAACAGTGCCCCTCCTTTCTGGTAGGTTTCTCGGAGAGGGCAGAAAACACGGGGGACAGAAGAGGCGTGGAGAGATTGGGGTGTTCCTAGCTGGTTGGGGAGAAAAAAAAATTAGGGACCGCTGACAACTGGGGGAGGTTCGCACCGATTTAATGTCACTACTTACCACGTTAAACGTTAATTAATTAATAGGTTTTGGACAGTTCGATGCCACGTCCGATAACTATCCTTATTGCCATGCGGCTTACGCGGGGAATGGAGGGCGGAGCAAAAGGCGATCCTCAGCAATCTTCCCTGTCGCCGCGTCCCGTGAGGCGTCAGCCCGGCGTGGACGTGGACCCGACCGTGTCAAAAGTTAGGGGCTTTACTGGCCCCGCTCTCTTGGAGCTTTGACCCGGGGTAGGTCGTTTGCTGAGATCCGAGGTGGCAGCCTCATACATTGCCACGTCACTCTTGGATGTTCTTATCTCCGAAATCTCTAGGATTGAACTTGTTTTCCAGAATGACTCGTTTTATAATGTGGCATTTGGCATTAGTAAAAAGTATATTCGCACAATCCTTATGCGAGTCAAACAGACCATGAAATGCTAAAAAAAAAAAAATACTGACCACGAGAACGTGGACGATTCACAACAGCCTCCGCTTTCATTAGAAAAAAGGGAGAAAGAAAACGTGCAGATGCATTTCAACATGTCTTATCTCTTGCGTGGCTTGCTCTTCTCTAGGAGTGGAGATGCAACCGCACACCGGCCACGTGATGCGTGCTTAGCCGGGGATGCGCCACATTGTCGTCCCTGCTTTGATCCTATCCAAATAATGTCAATGCTTACGATTGCTTCATTTTGAGCTTGGCTGTTGGTTAGAGATGCTCTTTCACCGCGGAAAACGAGAAATTGTAAACAAAAGTTAGGCAGCCGGCTTTGCTGATTCAAGACACGAAGGGGAAGCTTTATCCCAATCTTACTGACATTCTCAGCATTTTCAGCAAACACATTCGCCGAACCGCGTGCGACTAGGATGGAAACTGCCCATGAAATGAATATCGATCATGTAAATATTGAACCGGGCATTCGCGGTTAGTCTATTCAAACAGAGATTCATTTCATCAAACACGAGATGAATGGCTTACAAGAGAAAGTCTGTTCCAAAGTCCGGCCAACAATTAGATTACAGCTCATATATTTCCTCTGAAAGAAACAAAGTATAATTCACAGGTGAGGGGTACCGTAGCTCCAGTAGTTCAAATCACGACCAGAGCGACAAATATGCTATCCCCACTTCCAATGCAAGACCACAATGCTGTTTATCAACAAGATCAGCCCCACTGCAGAATGTGCATCGTCGCAAACTGCTCAGGTCAACACTCCAATAATCACCTTTGCACACAAAGCAAAAAGTCACATTCCGGGGACAGCCTGAAAAATAAATCAAGCAAAAACACTACCTAATGTCCTTGATATGATAAATTTGGAGCAAGAAACAGGGGTAGGAACCAGAATCTGGGATTGCACAGAAATTAGGAGAAAGATTATCCTAGAAAAATCAGTTCAGAACTCTCTTTGGAGCGCAGATAGAGCATGTGGAGACACAGTATGGCAGCCAAAATAAATAGCTTGATCCATTCAAGTATCAGAGAGATTAACATGAACCCAAAAATTCATGAAAGTACTGCTTTCTACAGTTGATCATGGAGGCATGAGTAGATTCCATCCAAGTCCGAAGGCATTAAAAACATCCAACACAGTATACAGCTAGAACTTCCGTGCATATATAGAAAGGAAAATTTCAGCATCATCAACTAGACCGCATGGTAGTAATTTAGACAGTGAAAAAACAGTTCATTCCCTCGAATTTTCCAATGAGAAATATTCAAAGAAATGGAAAAGGCAAAAGTCTAATGGCATGTCAAGGATTTACATCATTCAAAACATTGGGAAAATGTTTTTATGATTAACTGTGATTTTAGGAAAGTAAACTCCTCAAATTCTTTATAGCAGCCCCGTTGGAAAAATTAAGATTAGCCACCTCCGTGACTGGTGGTTCACAATCTAAAGACCTTCTGCTGCAAAAGTCTGTGAGGTACAAAATGACTCTTTTAGGGTGGTAGGATTCCTTTTTAAAGGTGGATTCTTTTTTCCTCAGTTGTATCATGAATTCTACAGCATCTAAAATTGGAGCTATACTTTCTAATGCCAACGGTTATATCTTTCACCATTGAAACTTTGACAATTAAAAACAGCAATAAAATCTGACAAAAAATATTATATAAAGTTGCAGCTTACTTTCGTGAAATGGCAACACTAGAAGGGAAAAAGGGGGCCATTTTTTACCCCAAAACCGCTGCCGCCAAGCCTTCTCACACTAAGTGGGGTACGACACAGATCGGCTTATGCCATCTCACTTTATCTCTAGCCATATCTTCCAAAAAACACCACCACCCCCCCCCACAAAAAAAGAGGAAAAAAAATCCAATACTTGCATGCTCTTATGGTCAGGAATGTGGGGATCCAGATGCTATTAAGGCTATTCGAAACTATACTGTTTAAGTTAAGAAATTGCCAGTCATGGAACCTTGAATAAAAGTGACATGATTGTCTCCTAGAAAGTGCTTCATCAAATATTCATTGCCATAATGACACATTTCTTTGACAGGCCAGACAATTGAGGACATCTAGCTGAAAAGTGACATGAATTTGAATCCATACGAACAAATCAACTGCTGGCCAAAGAAAACTAACAATCGAGTGGACGTTACAGAACTAACAAACACATTCAATTCCCCGTATTTGCTATTCTCAATGATGGTCAACTGAAACCTACTGGACTGTGCAGAGGAACACCTGCTGTTGCAGCTAACAATCATCCCGTGCAAAATCATAAAAGTGAACAGATAAAGGACAAATATGTCTTACTTCAGATTTTTTATAAAAATACTATGCACAAAGCATACAATCATCCAATAGATGGATCATAATTTCAGCTCAACAAAAGGAGTATGGCCGTCGAGAAGATGCAATTTCACTATATTTAAAGAAGCAGTGCAATAAACAATAAGCCCAGTGGGCGCTACACTGGGAAGTTCTAGAGGAAAGCTTAAATCACAAGGAGGTGACGTAAATTTGATGGTCACTGTTTAACTAAACTCTGAAAGGTAAAAATGAACACTCCGATGTGAATACCTCAATAAGTGCCCACCCTTCTCTTAAAATCTATTCAAGTCTAACCTTCCTTCCTGCATATATGATACCACATGCATCAGCATTCAAAGCATTCAATGTTTGAAGATTCAAGTGGGGAAAAATGCATAAACTGCTAAGCTAGAGGCTGAGAAGCACGGGTGCATACTTTCTCTTCCTCCGGTCAACTGCAGAGTTCCTCATGTCATTTTTGGCAAGAGATGATCCAGGCAGAACTCCGTACTGCATGGGAGAAAGGGCTGGAGGGGGAGGAGCAGTAGCTGCAATTGTAGCTGACATGGGAGGTGTAGGTGCCTGTGGTGGAGCTGGAGCAGGGGTTACAGCCGGAGGTTCCGGAAGAGGCCTAGGCGTTATGTGCTTCAAACGGTTATTTCTATAGTTTTTCCAGAAAAAGAATTGCTGCCGATGTGCCAATTCCTGAGTACGTTAAGCGAGCCAGAATAAGTCAGAACACCATCAAACATGGTAAGATTTTCATATACACCTCCCTTTACAGTTATCAATTCGCCCGATAAGTACATGACATATTGTAAAGGATTAGAAAGGGACAGTGAAAGTAAACCAATGTTATGTAGCATGTAGCAGATGCGATTGAGATCTTATGTTTTTCTTTTTTCCTCGACGGTTTGCATTGCCGCTGATATAGGTTTAATATTAAAAATATACAGAATTATGCATACATAAATGCTTGTGCGCTTTATTCAAATGAACTGTCACCGAAATGAGAAGTATCACAAACCTTGTTGCCAGGGTGCGCCATCGCATTGCGGAAGTTCGCATTCTGGAGAAGTTCCAGAAAGAATAAGCAATGGGGGTACCTGAGAAAATCATCGACAATCAATTCGCCAACACAGTCCATGAAACTAGCAAACAGCCTCTCTCTCTCTCTCTCTCTCTCTCTCTCTCTCTCTCTCTCTCTCTCTCTCTCTTAAGCTCACATTATAAACTTGATGTACTCGGGGCGTTGCCAGTACTGAAGATACTTCAGGTAACCAATAAAAGCCTCGTCTTCAAAGTATCGATTCTGAGCCAAATCTGCAAATTTCCAAAACCCTAGTCAAAAGCGTGATTCGGCCGCCCAAAAAACCCAGATTGCACAAGGACCAAGCAGCTAAGGAGAAGTGGAAAAAATCGAGCCTTGAAGGAAAAGCAGCCGGAGCACCATTACATACAGTGGATATAGGTGGGGTTGGCCAGACACTGCACGAATTCGAGCTCGAGCAAAAACCGCCGTCGCCCATCGCCTTGCTCCTTGAACACGTTCTTGGGTCTGCAAAATCAAATCGAGAAAAGGTTCAGTCTTTGCTCTTCTGTTGTTGTCTCCACGAGAGCACGAGATCGTCGTCCCTCGAGAGATCAGAGACGAGGAAGAATCGTCATGGCTTACGACGATGGAGAAGCGGGTGAGGAATCGTCACCGCTCTTGAGGGAAGCCATCGGAGCGAACACGCCTGAGCAGCGAAAGATGAACGAGAGGAACGATTTTGCAGGGTTGTATAGGGGTCGGGTCGGTTCGGGCCGGGTCTTGGGGGTGGCTTTTGTCGGGTAATGAAGAACGGTTCAGTTCAGGCCCATGTGGGCCCAATACTTTTTCCTGCTTTTATTTCGCATTTTCTTTGAGGGGTAAATGATTTTATTTTCCCATGACCTGCGAACTCATCTTAAATAAGTAAACCTAAACCTTAAAATCCTAGATAAATACAGTAAATAGAGCCGTGTAATTAATTTTTTTTTAAATGGAAAGGCATGATAGATATATCCACTCTTTTCACTCGTACATTGGATTTTAACATTTTACAATTATATATATATGTGTTCACGTGATAAATAATATCGAAAACATTCATTTTTTGAATGTTAAAAGTAATGTATGGGCGAAATTATTTCAACTCCCTATATGACTAAATTCATCCCATTTTGCATTCAAAATACAAAATTATTCTTAATCCTTCAATTGTAATTTAAAGTGGTGTCCCCAAATTTATTTGCTTTCCTTCTTTTTTTTGGTTAAGAAATTTATTTGTGAGAGTTTTATTCTCTTAGTGTGTCATTGTCTATGTTAATTAGCACAAGTGATGACACTTTGCTAATTGTCGATTTCTCCTATGTACCACCTGGTCCCTCTGTTCCGGGATAAGTCCCTCAAGTTGGGTGTCCCTTCAGTCATTCCAGTCTCACCAGTGCATATGGGAGTTGTACACGATGGTTTTGCAGAAGAAAGAGCAGGATCAATCAGCAACTTCACAGAAGGACAAAATGCTTCATAAACAATGCTCATTGCGAGGGAGTGGATACAAGTGATTCCCACTGCCTAGGACTTGTCAATATACTGTGCCCAAAGTGTCTTGGATCTTGACACAGAAGCCGCTCGAACCGTCTTCATCCTCATCCTCATCAACCTCTATCGGAAGAACAGGAATGCACAACATGAAGGGCTTAGTCTTTTGGAATCACTGATTCCCAAGACACACGACTGACCAGATTAGTTCTATTCTATGTATTCAGTTCTCTTTGTTTGGGGTACAATAATAGGTCCCTGAGGGAATGCTCAGATGACATGGCTTTGTCTACTCAAAGAACAGCTCATAGATGAGATATTCTCAGTTTGAGAGGTGTAGAAGCAGCATGTGCATCATCACTGCTAAATTAGAGACCAAAACACAGTAAACAAGCACCGTCTCAAGCAAGAATTGCAACCATGAATTCAACCCAAAATTTAACGACAAAATCCATAGCCCGGGAAACCAAAATCAAGAGTAAGAAGAGGGCTCAGATGGTTTTTGCTCACTCCGCGAAGAGATTCCGACGAAACCTCTTCTCGTAAGTCAGAGGTGTAGAAGCAAAAGCTCATCATCGCCCCCATCATCCATTCAATTCCCACTTGCCCAATACTTCCACTGAAAGTAACGGAAAAACATTCCACAAAGCACCATAATCTTTAAAAACAATGGTTAAGGATAAAAACTGCTAAAGTGCTAACCTAACAACCTAAGATTTCAGTGAATCGAAGAATGGCTTCAAAACCATTCATTCTTTAAGGTCTATCATCAGCAATGCCTCAAAACATCACAATCAAAATCCCAGGAAGTAAAATTCGCTCGCACCCGAACAATTCGCATGACCACCCTCCATCCATCATCATACGGACAACAGCGAAACAATCCAGCCGACTCTCCATTTAAACTCCTTCTCCATTCTTGCACATCTAACCCCACTTCTCTCTAGAGCCTTCAAGAAATCGACTTGAAGGCTTGATAACGCGCATGGGAAAGCTTGAAGTAAATAATAGCATGTGAAAAACGGAACCTACAGGACAAAGAGGACACCTCTAATCATCTCGCCATCTTTTGTGGAGCTCTTGGGGCGATTTCATTCATCGCAACGACCCTTATCCACATTGGACTCTACTCTGCAAAAGTCAAGTCTCTCTGGTGGGGTGCCATTTATCATCGCCGAAGATGCCGGTCCCTCCTCTTCCAGATTCATCCACGAACTGTTCACCTCCCACGAAAAGCCATGTGTCGGCATGCCACTGGCCTCGTGCGGCACCAATGTCAAGTGATTAACGGCCGATATCAGCGCCGGAGACGTCTACTCCACTCCAGAGACGTTTCACGAAATCAGACTTACAACATGATCAAGAAGGCTGATTCCACTCATTTAGAGTGCACGTGATAACGATTCTGTATCTGAAAACTGATTCTGCTAAAAAATAATTTTTTTTTATTCTGTGTTCGAAAACTGATTATGAGCATTTAAACGCGTTTGGTAACGGTCCAAAATTTCCATTCTTGAAATAGAAAAAGAACAGAAATGCGTTTGATAACGGTACAAAATTTCTTTTTATTAATAATATTTTAAAATATTTTAATATTTGTTTTTTTTTTCCTCCTCCTTCTTGGTCATGGCCGGTGACCGGCCACAGGCCGGGGCCGGCAAGGGCGTCGTAGCCCTCGCCGGCGAGGGTGAGGGCTGGGCCCTCGTGGCTTGGGCGAGCACTGCCCTTGCCGACCTTTTTCAGCTCTCGCTCGAGCCGACGAGGACTGCCCTCGAGGCTTGCGGCCTGGGCGAGGGCGGCCCTCGCTGGATCCGACGAGGGCGACGGCAAAAATCTAGCCCTCGCCGGTGGTCGGCTAGGCAAAAAGAATGAAGAAGAAGAAGAACAGAAAGAACGGGAAAGAAGAAGAAGAAAAAAAAATTTCTTTTTCAATTTTGATTCTTGTTTCCAGAATTAACAAGCTCCTTTTTTTTACTTTTTGATTATGTTTCAAAACTGATTCTGGGAATAATATTTTGCAAATTTATGCCCGGAAACAAAACGTTTACCAAATGGATTTCTATTTCAAAACTGATTCTGAAAACAAAAGAACATAAATTTTCATTGTTTAGTAAGTTGCCAAATGGGCCCTTAAAGTTTCCACTTTGATTTTATAAATGAAATTTCTGCGTCTTTAATCCTATTCGTAAGTGCCGGTGCTCATACTTGTATATAAAATCAGTAAAGACCAATCATGATGAATGTCGCGATCAAACATTACATTTGTTCAATTTAAGGATTTTCTTTTGGACAAGTGCATGTGAAACACATCATCAATTATAGCATTTACTATTTGTAGGACCGATCCCAGCTCAGTGTATGTTTTAGAAGGATCATGACAAGACCCTGACTTTTCTTTTTGATAAGGGGATGATGATAGACCCTTCATTGGAAAGCAAGGATGATGGAAAGAAAGGACGAATAAACCGTAGCAACCCAAGGTCAAAAATAATGAGATAAGTGCACTAAAAGTCCTAGAATTTATCACGAAAATACAATTGAATCTTAAAACTTTCAAAAAGTACAATCAAGTCCTAAAATTTTCAGAAAATACAATCAAGTCTTAAAACTTATTGCGAAAATGCAATTAAATCTTAAAACTTTTAAAAGTGTAATAAAAAGAAAACTTTAATTGAACTAAACTTGACAAGTTTTAAAAATTGATTATATTTTTTGAAAATTTTAAGACTTAATTACACTTTGTAACAAGTTTTAAGACTCGATTATACTTTTTGAAAGTTTTAGGACTTAATTGCACTTTAATGACAAGTTTTAGGACTTCCAATACACTTATTCCCTTTACAATTGTAGCATCACGATTCCTCGAATTATTGCAACCTTCCCACGATAGATAAGCTACTAACACATTGCACAGCTCAAGTAAGGAAGTCGCTCTGGTCCATAAGCAGTAAAGGAATTTCCTTCACTTACATGAAATAAACATTTTCCATCCTCAGAATGCTAAGTAAAAGTAACAAACTATCCATATGGAAATTAGAATGTTCTTCTCTAATGTAAAACAGTCCCTGTTGCTTACTATCTTCCTCTGAAATGTAAATAAACAGTTCCTCCATGGACCACAAATTAGAGAGAAAAATTCAAGGACCTTATCCAGGCAAATCGCCACATGAATTTGGTTCACACAAATAGTACAATAACTGCTACAACTCCAGAGCCCATGGTCGTTGATGCCATCTTAGCCACCCCAAACGAGATCAGTATGGCCTGTACCTCATCGGCCGCCGAAACCTTGGTACCCTCCTGCCCAACAGATAAATTAGTCACTGCATCCAGCAGAAGCATCGTTCTCTTTACGTACCACAGATGTGAAGTTCCTTACCCATAACTATAAGGAGAATAAACTGGAGCACCCGGGACAAATGGCCTCCGAGATCGAAAACCAAACGGATTGGGTCGCCTTCCTCGGTATTGTTTCATTCCAGGAATGTTAGTTCGCTTAGCAGATACCTGTCAATGATTGAAAACACCATCAGTGACCAACCAAATTGATCTTAGTGCAATATTATATCCACGTGATCTATTTCAACTACCTTTAACTGGCGACCATGCAATTCAGATTCATTGAGTAAGAGAGCATTTTGAACAGCATCAATTTCGACAAACTCGACGTAAGCAAATCCTTTGGGCTGACCGAATTTGTCTGTTAAGATTGTAACTCTGTTAACCGTTCCACAGGATTGGAAGTGCTGTTGAACTTCCTCAGGAGTACATGCATAGTCTACCTGAAGACGCAAGGCATAATATACTAATAAGTGCATAGAAAAGTACCAAAGAGTCATCTAGAAATCCATCACACGCATCCAGTTCGGAAGACATCCAGATGTAAAAAAAGACAGAAAAAGGTATATCCTTACAAAAAATTAAATACATTTAATCAATTAATGACAGGGATGGTTCCTTACAAATGAAGCCTACATCTATTATGATGCAAAAGTTTAACATCTCTCACATTCCAAACAACCACAACAATAGAGACAATTCCAGAACCAAAATACTTTTAAGGTCAAAACCTAGCAATTCAACTTTTATCGAGAAAATCGTATAACAACAATTGAGAAGTAACCCATTTATCTTTAAACTAGTCACCAAGGCGGTTAGATATATTCCCTGTCAGTCATAGAAACCTCTCTCCAACAAGTAAAACTGAGTAAGGATAAAAATCTCAACACTTGACAGGACATTTTGTAGCCAAAACCAATGACATGGCAGTGCATAGATAAAAGTAATCAAAGGGCCAAAAGAAAGTACTAGGTTTCCATCTCTGATTTTCTATTTTTCAGCAGTGCCATCACTATAAATATACACTCCTTAAATGAAGAACAAATTTTCATCAGCATTACAATCAATAGGTGGAGCGTTACTAACTTGCGACTGGACACACGATAAATCCAAGAGCATAAATAATATAAAAGAGACGAGACTTGGAAAAGCATTTGTAGATGGTGAACAACTCACATTGCCAACATAAATTGAGCGTGAATCAACCTCCTCCTTCTCAGCCATAGTTGCAGAGGTGCTAGAGGAATCTTCACATACGCCGAAACAAAAGGGTTATGTTCAGAAATACTCCAAAACTTTAATTGATAATGAAAAGGCACATAAAACCAATGGAAATTTATGAATCCGCACAAAAGCAATCATTTCATGGACCATCCTAATCCTGAGGAGATAAAACCACCTAGGACCGCATCAGTTTCAGTAAAGGCATAGATCTTAAATAAGTTGGTGGTGCATTTCCCAGTTCCATAGCTGTATTCCGTATTTATACTTTGCACTAGAAAGCTATGCGGACATGACAGTTTGGTATGGAGGGCATCGAGACTAACGGAGAATTAAACATCTACCATTTCCCTATAAACCGTCTTACTCTCCATTGGTGAATAGCCTTCTGCTTACGAGACTCCACATTTACCACGTAAACATTAGTTCGTGCTAAAAAAGAATATTATGTGGAAAATTTTCAATTTCAGCATCAAAACTTTCACAACTATTGCAAATGGCAGTATCTACAAACTCCAGATGTGTAAAGAACATGAGACTCTTTCACATTCACAAAGATGCACTCGGTGGCTTGATAGTTCCTAAGCTCTATTATTTCCATGTGGCAGAAAAGAGCGAAAACCGTGGCGGAAATGAACCTACTAAATAATAAGTTATGCGCGGGACTTATGACCACCAATTCACCTCCAATCCTGCAACCCTTGAAGGCCTCCCGTAAAGTTAAGTACCATTAATACGAAACGGGACGTGGCCCGTGTTTTTCCCATTTAGTCACGGAGTCAAGCAAACTAGTAAAAACAAAGGCTTTTAAGCAAGTTTACGTAATAAACTATTGATTGAACAACCTACGGAGTCACATTTCGCATGCCTTTGGCATTCTATTAAGGTATAAAACAAGACAAATTTGGCATACGGCATGCTGAACAATTCAGAATTGCAAAAGTGAAAACTTGTCATTAATATTGATTCAATCCAGCTCAAAGCTAATTCAATGCAAAACGGGAACAAGCGATAATAAAAGGAAGGAAAAAGTATCTAAATGGGAGCAGCGTTTCCGACTAATCAAAGCAAACCCGGCATGCTGCAGCACATTTACTCGGTCGGAAACCTTTCTAAGGACTATCAGCGTAGTATAGATACCTTAAAAGCTTTAAAGAATACCTAAAACCTACTTGCTCATTATATTTCTTGTTTCTTGCTCGCGACATGATTATGCAGAAGGCGATGCCAGACTTTAAACAACTAAAATATAATATCGAGTCCAAAAGAACACTTGCATAGCCCAACCCACAAATCGGATACTAGTATCAACAACCTGATGCATAACGAAACAATGGACTTCCAGCGCCACAAAACGAGGCATGGAACAAGCCTATTTCCATAGACACGCACGCACCCGCGCAGGCACATAGAGAGAGATGAAAGAGGGAGGGGGACAAGGGGGGATAAGAAGAGAGAGAGAGAGACCTTGGACAGCTCCCATCTCCTTCTCGACCTTAGCCTGCAACTCGCGTAGAGCGCCAGCCTCTTCGTCGATCTCCTTGAGCCGCTTCTTCATGTCCTCCAACTCCTGAGCCAAGGGGCCAAGAAAATCAAAGTCAATCTGGAGACACAGCCTCTCACACAGAAGAGAGAGAGAGAGAGAGAGAAAGAGAGAGATGGAAGGGGGTTGAATGGAGGGATACCTTGGAGCTGGAATTGGGGGCGGAGTCGTCTTCGTAGTAATCAGCATCGGCACCGGAAGACATGTCGACGTCGCCCTCGATTTCTCCTTCGTCGGGGATTTCGCCGCCGTAATCTTCGTGCTCCTCTGCTTCGTGCTCGCGATCCATCTCCCTCCCTCTCTCCCTAGCTCGGAGTTCTGGGTCTGGTGGCGGTGGTAGTGGCGGTGGTGGCGGTGGTGGTGGAGGGTTTCTCTTAAGCTTAAATGTCCGAGCAGCGAGAGTCAGTGGGGGCTCTTCAAATCCGCGTTCCGCAGCCAAGCCAAATAGCGACTGCGGGATTAGGGATCGAGATGGTCGATTCGTAATTTTCACCGCCCCTCGAGGGCAAATCCGGTCACCCGACCCCCCAGTTTAACAAGAATTCCCTCAATAATAATAATAATAAAAAGAAGAAGAAGAATCCCCTCGGTTTTCCTTTTTAACGGCTTTTTAAAATCGACTTTTCTTAGTTTTTTTTTTCCAGGTGTTATTATAGTTAGCTTATAATTCTCGCGATATATTTCATCGTGTTGCGCCATAGATTCTATGTAGTGAATGTGCTTATAAAATCGATTTATCTTTTTCCATATATATGGAATTTCCATTTTTATAGGAGGGTCCCGTCCTTATAAAGTAAGACGGGAATGTTGTCGAATTAGTAATAATGAAAGGGGATCTTTTCCAAGCACGTCACGATTTGTCCGGCGTTATGTAAGAAAGACCGAAAGAGGTAGGTCTTATAAGAGTCGAGAAAGTTTTTTATAGGACATATATACCATGTAAAAGTGATGATATAACTAATCAATCGCCATTGCTCCCGTGTATGCATGCATATTATTTTTTTATTAGTTGGTACGTCTCACCGTCATGTGATATATCCGACGGAGGCCGAATTCCCTTAAATTTTAGCCCAAATTTTCTTTTAACTTATGCAAGAACACCAATTTAATTCGAATCCCAATTCCGAACCTAACTTTTTTTCCTTCATGAAACGCACCAATTTTCAGTCGGATTCCAAATCTAGCTCTCTCGAGTTTTTGTTTAATGATGATGCCCTTGAAGATGCGACGTGTCATTCCATGTGCACTTGGCAAGTCATATTTGTGTCCATGTGGAAGGATGGCACATGCTCCGAGAGTTTTCCCTGTTCCTGGAAACCGCTGATAGCAAGTTGAAGATTCTATTTTTCTCGGCTTCTAGACGTGCATGGATAAGGCGAATCGCTCGTTCATGCATTGTTTGCCCCTAATTAAGTCATTTCTTTAGTGCATTTCGATTTTTGTCGCCCAAATCCAATCTTGAAAGCTCGCGTTTCCTCCTCTTTCTTGGTTCGAAAATTATCCAAATTCCGGCGGCCGCTCCGGCCACGGCCACAGCCACTCCGTCGTCAAACTCGAATGCTCCCGGTTTATTCGCATGCGACATCTGCATATAGAAAAAAAAAACAAGAAATAAAATGTGCCTTTGTTTGGGTGAGGGAGGAGAAATTCATAATTCTGGAAGAGTTGGGGTTTGAAAGTATATATACTGAATCCAAAAACAATGAAACTGGGAGATCGAAACCTCATGTTTTTCCATGACAGACTTTGCAATGCGGATACAAAAACGAAACCAGAACAAGATCTTTGTGCATTATAAGAAGAGAGAACGTACAGCGGCAGATAATTGGATCTTTTCAACTTGATAGACATGACCTAAAACTAAAAGTTATTACAGCAAAAGATAAGTAGGAAGAAGTATATGAGTCAACGTAGATATAATATGGATATCTTTAGTAATTTACGATTTATTCCGTAGATTTTTTAAATTTTAGGTGGAAAAGACGAATAAAAATTGGACCCAACCCTTACAGTCCTTGGATTTTCCTCAGAAAAACTCAGTTGTATCTAAAAGGAAGAACGTCCGAACTCCATCAGAAGCAGCAAGCATGTTGGATTGAACTTTGGCCGATTCGAAATGATAGTCCCATCATTAGAGCCACGAGTGCTGACATGCGACATGTGCGGACCACTGGAACGCCGCCGTGCCGTTGGTGGAGGAGGAGGAGGAGGGGCTCCTGATGAAACTCTTCCAGTCGCGGAGGACAGTGCTGAGATCGGCGGCTTTGGCTGCGATTGTGCGGCAGCAATTCGCATGGACCGTGATCACGGCCCTTACGTCTTTGCTTTCATTGCAGAACCCGCTGAAATAGTCAGTGTCCCAGTACCTGACAGAGAATCTCAACGTCCGCAACATGCCTTCCTGCTTGATCTGTGTCAACACATCTTGTTCCTTCATTCCTGAGGAAGCATTTCTCCTGGCATACCACTCGTCGAATAGGGCGATGCTCCGGTTGTTGGATCTGACCATGTAGAACCCAGTGTTCATGAAATTGTCCTCAGACCAGGGGTCGCCATTGAATTTGTCGACGCTGATCTGGAGATCCAAGCTCCGGTTTTGGTTCAGCCGAGGGAACGGATCTCTTAGCCACATTACATCGGTGTCCTGCAAAGAATAATCCTAGTTATGAGATTGAATCAACCACGAAGGGATGGAATCTCTAGGTAGAGATTGAGATGAAAGAAACTACTGCATCCTGGCTTACAAAACTTGGATTAACGATATTGAAAGCTCTACTCATCCGTCACGTCTGTTCGATTCTTCTCTGCTATAAGATAAAGATACACGCAAGTTCTACTTCCACTCTTTCTTGATTAATAATGCTTGGCTACTCTTTCTCCACAATTCTAAGTCCACATATTCAATGCGTGTTGCGTGGACTCGAACGAGCAGAATTAGCTAGAATTCGGCAGAATCATGCCCGGATGGTCTTTTTATGGTCCAGAAACTGTGTATGGCTAGAACAAAGCACAGTGCGCTATACTCTAAATCACCAGCATTGTCCACGGAGTGAAGTGCCCATCATGTGGAATTGCGAGTTGTCGTGAAAGAAAAAAATTAAGGATGGCTTGATATAGTTTTTTATTCATCTTCAACTTTCTGACCCTTCTACCACACTTTAATCTACAGTAGCGTGAATTGGAAGTATCATGTCCTGAAATATATCCTATTTAAACTATACATGTGAAGGAAACTGCATTTTCTTTTTCTCTACTACAAAGCAAATAAAAACTGAAACTTCATTTACTTCATGCTTGCCCGGGCAGTGTTGCTTCTGGTGCGGGAAAAAGGTACCGGGGGTTTTTGAGAGGAAGACTATTCCGAGATGGAAAAAATTTCGCATGAAATGGTTGATTCTATCCATGATTTTGGTGCTCGGCTTATTAAAGTACTTCAATACAGAACCTTCAATGAGTAGTTGTTGAGAAAACTGATTAGCTGCTAATAGAAAATTTATCCAGAGAGAATGTGACATGGATTGTCTTCAATTGTCGGATCAAATCAGGAGGGAGAAGGGAAGAAGGCCAAACGGAGACCCATATCCATTTTTCAAGTATATGAACTATTAAGGGTGACATTCTATTTTAGCAAAATTGAGAGATCAAATAACAAGTGATTTAGAATTTAGCAAATCATTCAAGAGCCAACGAAAGTCTTTTGCCGTCATCTTGCTTGACTACTTATCCTTTTTGGTTGAAAACATGATCAAGAAAGATCTTTGGAGACATCACGTTATATAACTGGGCACATGAAGTATGTTCTCTTGATGACAAGTTTTAACTCTAAATTGTTGTTTGCTATCTGAACTAAGTAAATCCACAAATGAATGATGTGAGATATCTTTTGCTCAATAATCGACGTAATATTTTGGAGGGGAGCAAGAATTTTTTCCCAAATAACTCGTTTTTTGAATTCCCACTAACGCAACGAAGCAAAACTCATGTTCACGATGGGGTGAGTGAGGGTCGCATGTACCGTGAATATGAAGTTGTAGCCTCGTTTGAGCACATTTCCAAGGAACTGGGTTCGACTCCACATCATCGTCAGAAAACCTGGGGTCATGTACACCTTCTCTCCATCCAAATCAACTTCTGTTTTGAGTCGGTAACAGTGAAGCCCTAGAAACTTGCACCTCTCAAAGGACGTACCGTCCATGGCTATGATTAATAGGCGGCGGATCAAGGGCCGAGTCCCCTCGCCAAGCCAAAACCCGTCCAGGAACAGATCGAGCATCGACTTGTCGCCCTCGATGTAAGCTTTGTTCACCACTGTTATGATGACTGTCTTGTTGTTTCCCCTTGATGCGTCGGCCAAGACTTTGCCGAGCTCATCTGTGTAACCGCCCACCGGAATATCCCTCTAGTTAACAATATAAAATCCATAGACTCAAAAAATAATATTCATTTGATAACTATCGCGTAGAAAATATGCAAATTATTCGCTTTAAAAGCCTAAATAACGAGAATCGAATGGTATAATTTTTGGAAGTATACTCATCTATTTGTTTGGCTATAAAATACATTTGGCCTCTATGTAGCGGACTCGACTCTAATATAATCTTGACAAAAGATTTTTCAAACTGCAATGCAACCTTTTTGGTCAAGTAGATGAACATACGAGCAAGTGAAAAGAGAATAAAACAAAAGAGAAATGAACAGGAAGAAGAAAATCGACAGATGAAATAGGAAGAGTTATGAATGGTTACTGATATGGAGCGAGGGAGCTGCTGCTCTTGGAATTGCGAGAGAACGGCAGAAGGGGTCCAGTTGACTAGCAAATACAACGTTCCGATGAACAAAGCGCAGAGAAGAGCGCACTGATTTACCCGGTCCTTCAAGAACTCCATGGCTGATCTGATCGTTGCGAGAAAGCTAACCCTAATATCAGTCACCTTTTAATAGCTCCGTCGTACTAGTTGACACATGTTGACTTTGCGTAGAGAGAGAAACTAAGGGGTGTATTTTCTTCATCTTGGATGTGAACTAGAAGCAAAGCCGCATGTATCGGTCCTTCCTTGGAGGCCCCGAACCCGCCTGTCTTGATGTCTCAGTTTCCGTTTGCTTTTCGTAGTTCTCTTCTGTTCTTGTCTAATTTGCTGAACTGGATCTCGAGAAGTTTCTTGAATTTCTAACTGCTTGTTTAGCAGTGAAGATTCAAACCCAAAAAGACAATAAGCAACGTTCTCTATACGATCGGACTTGTCAGCAATATTAGGATATTTAGATATCCTTTTACAGATATTTAAAAAATTTCCTCTGAATTTCTATATCCATTTTAATTATGCATATCAAATTCGATTTCCTTTGATTTCCTCTGTTTAAGCCTATAAATAGGCTTTCCAAGTGCTCTTTTCTATATATCAAGAAATATATTGAAATTCTCCAATTCTTATTTTCTGCTTTACATTTAACTTGACTAGTGCAATATATATAGATTAAATTCGTCAACTCCAACTTATCTCTTTTATTCCCCTTTATTGAGTAGCTCATAACTACTCATTTTGATAGTTTATAAAGTTATTATACACATCATATATCTAGCTTTTCTAGATAAAAAAAAAACGGGTCCTTCGGAAAGACAAGACCTATTCTACACACACATATATATATTAATATATGACAAGTAATCGATGTTTCTTTTGTTATGTAAAACTCAAAATGCTTCTCAAACTATTCGTTACATTATAGTTGATTTTGTTTTTGGTCAGATACATTATAGTTGATTGAGCAATATGTAAACTAGCTAATCAGTTCGAACTTTCCTAACAAAAGAAGGTTTGCTTCAAGAGCAGGACCACAACTCCCAAAGTCAAGTAGCTAGCTATCACAAGCTCGTTAAGTCGGTAAAATCTCATGGAATATCGTTTAAAATAATCTTCTTTAACCAACAAAAAAAAGAAGAAGAAAAAAGCTTAACTGTCAGACTTGATTATGACTTGCCTGCCGGAGATGAGGAATCTCTCTTCAAATAGTGTTTTAACTAAGCACACTTGTCAAGTCAACTAGATGATGTGCTTTAAAAGCAAGTTTAAATGTGTCTTTCAAGATATTGAAAATGATCAAGTGCAATAAATCTATACAACGATCGAAACCTGTAAATGCTGTCATTTCAAGTTCTTAAAAAAAGGTTATAGTTCAATAATTTTATTTTTCGTCACCAAAAATTTATTATTAAGTTTGAATTAGGCAGACCACTCGGGATGTCAAAGTATTAGAAACGATTCGTTCACATAGGTTCTTCTAGCTACACTTGGCATATCAAAGTTCCCTTTGTGTGGGTATTACCTAAAATTACAACCAACTCTTGCATATATCGTAACAGACTATAGATTGTTTTATCAACTTCAAAATATATAGGAGATTTTCTAGATAATCTCCCCATATTTTATGGTGACAAAACCTTAATTGATTTGGTAAGATTTGTATAAGGTTTGCTTGCAACTATTAAAGCTTAAAGCTGAGTATAAGCAAGCAAGTTGATATAGTCAAAACTTGGATACCATCTGTAAGCAGTAACCGCTAGACTATTTCTATAAGAGTACTTAAATATGATATGCGGTTAAGTATGAGCAGTTTCTTATAGACATAGGATGTGTAAAAAACTGGTATATGTCAAAGCATATAAGGATTAAATTAATCACAATCTAAATATACTTTAGTATTTCCTGCAGAAAGAATTTAGAGTGATAAAACCACATTTGCAGTATACTTAAACATCATGTTCTTGACACAAACTGATCTGCTGGATCATTATCTCCAAAATTTTCATCCTCAGGTTCTTCATCCTCACCTGCTGGTTCTACTGCCTGTTTTTCTTAGCTTCAAACTCTTTTTGAATCTCAGCCATCATTCTCAGTCCGCTGAAGAGTTTGTTCTGCCATACCAGGAACTGCTGGTGCAATTTCTTCTTCATCTTCTGCTTCTCTTTCATCTATCCTTATAGCAGCAAGTTCATCTGATTTCTCCTTTTCATACAGCTCTCTTCCTTTCTCTTCTTCCTTTTTCTCCGCTTCTCCTCTCTTCTTCTTCTTCTTCTTCTTCTTCTTCTTCTTTCTTTTCAGCCTTTCTTCTTCTCTTCAGATTAGCCACTATGTTCTTGATGGCCTTCACATTCTCTAATTGAAAGACTTTCATGGGTGGAGGAGCGTCAAGATTAAGTGTGGACGATGGAGCAGGGGTTTCCAATGGTCGATTCAACGGAGTAGGAATTCCACTTGAATATGTACTATGTTTGGGGCGCCGGATCATTGGGATATCTTCACTTTCAATTTCTGACTCTGTCTTGTCCCTTAGGTTGATGTGGTTGGGACATTGAGGAACCCTAAATTAACAGCTTATTGGCTAGATTCCACTTGTCAATCGTCAAGAAATTACAACAAAATGTGTCGTTTATACCAAAACACTTTTTCCCAAAGTCGGTTCCATGCCCAAACTAATAGATCTCACTATCTCACATAAAAGCACAAACCATAACACTGTCAACGCTTCTCGAAAAATTACATTTCAATGCTCTCAAAAGACAAGTGTAAGAATGCAAAGCTCTCTCTAAAATTAGATTTTTGAATTGCTTGATCAATCCCTTCTTTTGTTGTCTTGATCTCCCTTTATACTTCTCAGCATCCAATCTTCCTTTTGTAAAATCTTCAATAGGTTCAATCTCCAATCAGATCGTTTGATAATCGTTGAGCAGATCAGAGTAGCAATTGAAGTCGATCAATCATAATCCCCCTCGATTTGGTCGTCCATACAATTAAATCTTGGATTTCAAAAAATAGTGGCTCCACTATGGAAAGTCTCTTGCATTCAGAATGATTGTCAATCAATCAAGATATCATGCGTGATTGATTTATCCTGCGTATATAAACTTTAAGATTGATTTTCAATCAATTACTTTTGAAATAGGAATCCATATCATATCACAAGCTGTCAAGGGATGGATAAAATATCTCAAAATAATAATTTTAAAGTTCATGATAAGATAGTTGTATGTGTTCTGCTTATAGCAGCAAACCATGCTTCCTGGTGATATTGGACTTCAACTTACTACAAGCTTCTGGTTATATCAGACTTTCACTTAAGTCAAGCTTCTGGTCATATCAAACTTCCTGCTTAAATAAAGAATTTGCTGATATCAGGCTTATGCTTATATCAAACTAACAAAGGCTTCTATTGATATCAAATTTTGACTATATCTAACTGCTTCTCATTTGGTGCTTCGAATACGATGGCGATGTAGATCATGTAGACTATTCACTGTGGTACCTCCCAATCTTTAAGAACTTCCCATTCTTCTAGACTTTTTCACATATGTTCTTCCAACTGCTTTGAATCTTTACACTTGGCATAACAAAGTTCCCTTTGTATGGATATTACTTGAAAACACAACCAACCCTAGCATATGTCAAGATCGTAATAAATTATGGACTGTTTTGTCAACATCAAAATATACATGAGATTTTCTCAACAAAATCTTCCCGCCATGGAATCGCCTCTAACTTGCATAACTTTCATACTCGCCAGCGGAAGTCCTTGCACTTTCAGGATGATGCTTATTTATCATACAATATCAAAAGCCGCAATCGCTTCCTCGGTTGAATGGTGTATTCCACAACTTCTCACAACATCCAATCTATTTCCAACTTGGCGAATACGGACACATCAAGCAAACTTTTTGGGGACATGCACTGTTTGATCTCCACCTCCTTCAAAAATTCAATTCTTTCAAGCCATCAACGGATCTCAACACTTCACAATGACGTAGTTGAAGATGCTGGAAGTTTTTCATCTTATATGGATTGTTGCTTTTGGCAGATTGGAGTTTTTGTTGTTGCTTTAACTTTCATTTTGCTTGACTAAGAGATGGGTTGGCCACTTCCTGCTTTATATTTCTATTTGTTTTGTAGCATTCTTCTCGCCATTTTCTTGCTATACTATGTTGTTGTAATTGTTATTTGTCTTGATTGTAAATAAGGAGCTGTTTTATTATAGTTTGTCCTTTCAAATAATAAAAAAATGAAACAAAAAAAGAGAAATTGGCTGGTTCCTGGGTAGACCCGAGAATTGAACCAAACCAACAATGTCGATTCTAAAGTTGGTTCCAGGGTCTACTAGGTAGGTTTCAGATTCCAAAATATGGGAACCAGTCCTAATGGGGTAGGTTCTAGGTACTCACCTTGAAACCGCTCATCACAAATTTTGACCAAAACTTTTTTTCTTCATAAAAAGCAGCTTTTTTTTAGTTAGTATCGAAATCTGGCTCTCTCAAGTTTTCGTTCAATGATAATGCCCTTGAAGGTGCGACGTGTCATTGCACATGCACTTGACAACTCATAGGTGTGTCCATGTGGAAGGATTGTACGTTATCTAAGAGTTTCCCTTGTTTTTGGACGCTGCGGATTGCAAGTTCAAGGTTCCATTTTTCTCAGTTTCTAGACATGCTTGGATAAGGCGAATCTCTCGTTCATGCCTCGTTTTCCTTGGGTAAGTCATTTCTTTAGTCCTTTTCGATTTTTGTTGCCCAAATTCATACTTGAATGCTCGCATTTCCTCCTCTTTCTTGGTTTGAAAATTATCCAAATTCCAGCGGTGGCTCCGGCCACGGTCACTCCGTTGTCAAACTTGAATGCTCACGCTTATTCACATGCGACATCGGCATTAAAAAAAAAAAAAGTAAAACGTGCGATTGTTTGTGTGAGGGAGGAGAAAATGATAATTCGGGAACAGTTAGGGATTGAATGTATACTGAATCCAAAAACAATGAAACTGGGAGATCCAAACCTCATGTTTTTCCACCACAAACCTTGCAATGCAGATATTAAAACGAAACCAGAACAACATCTTTGTGAATTACAAGAAGAGAGAACGTACAGCGGCAGATGATTGGATCTTCTCAATTTGACAGACATGACCTGAAACTAAAAGTTATTGCAGCAAAAGATAAGTAGGAAGAAGTATATGAGTCAACGTAGATATATATGGATATCTTTAGTAATTTACAATATATTCTGTAGATTTTTGAAATTTTAGGTGGAAAAGATGAATAAAATATCAGACCCAACATATACAGTCCTTGGATTTTCCTCAGAAAAACTCGGTTGTATCTAAAAGGAAGACCATCCGAACTCCATCAGAAGCAGCAAGCATGTTGAATTGAGCTTTGGCCGAATCGAAATGATAGTCCCATCGTTAGAGCCACGAGTGCTGACATGCGACATGTGCCGACCACTGGAATGCTGCCGTGCCGTTGGTGGAGGACGAGGAGGGGCTCCCGATGAAACTCTTCCAGTCACGGAGGACCGTGCTGAGATCAGCGGCTTTGGCTGCGATTGTGCGGCAGCAATTCGCATGGACTGTGATCACGGCCCTTACATCTTTACTTTCATTGCAGAAGCCACTGAAATAGTTAGTGTCCCAGTACCTGACAGAGAATCCCAACGTCCGGAACATGCCTTCCTGCTTGATCTGTGTCAACACATCTTGTTCCTTCATTCCTGACGAAGCATTTCTCCTGGCATACCACTCGTCGAATAGGGCGATGCTCCGGTTGTTGGATCTGACCATGTAGAACCCAGTGTTCATGTAATTGTCCTCGGACCAGGGATCACCGTTGAATCCGTCGACACTGATCTGGAGATCCAAGCTCCGGTTTTGGTTCAGCCGAGGGAACGGATCTCTTAGCCACATTACATCGGTGTCCTGCAAAGAATAATCCTTGTTATGAGATTGAATCAACCACGAAGGGATGGAATCTCTGGGTAGAGATTGAGATGAAAGAAACTACTGCATCCTGGCTTACAAAACTTGGCTTAACAATATCGAAGGATCTGTTCATCCATCACGTCTGTTCGGTTCTTCTCTGCTATAAGATAATGAAGTATACAAGTTCTACTTCCACTCTTTCTTGATTAATAATGCTTGGCTACTCTTTCTCCACAATTCTAAGTCCACATATTCAATGCATGTTGTGTGGACTCGAACGAGCAGAATTAACTGGCCTGATCAAGAAAGATCTTTGGAGACATCACGTTATTCGTATACCATTTGGGCACATGAAATATATTCTCTTGATGACAAGTTTTAAATCTAAATTGTTGTTTGCTATCTGAACTAAGTAGATCCACAAACGAGCGATGTGAGATATCTTTCGCTCAATAATCGACGTAATATTTTGGAGGGGAGCAAGAATTTTTTCCCTAATGACTCGTCTTTTGAATTCCCACTAACGCAACGAAGCAAGATTCATGCTTCATGGTAGGATGAGTGAGGGTCGCATGTACCGTGAATATGAAGCTGTAGCCTCGTTTGAGCACATTCCCAAGGAACTGGGTTCGACTCCACATCATCGTCAGAAAACCTGGGGTCATGTACACCTTCTCTCCATCCAAATCAACTTCTGTTTTGAGTCGGTAACAGTGAAGCCCTAGAAACTTGCACCTCTCGAAGGACGTACCGTCCATGGCTACGATTAATAGGTGGCGGATCAAGGGCCGAGTCCCCTCGCCAAGCCAAAACCCGTCCAGGAACAGATCGAGCATCGACTTGTCGCCCTCGATGTAAGCTTTGTTCACCACTGTTATGATGACTGTCTTGTTGTTTCCCGCCGATGCGTCGGCCAAGACTTTCCCGAGCTCATCCGTGTAACCACCCGCCAGAATATCCCTCTAGTTAACAATATAAAATCCAAAGACTCAAAAAATAATTTTCATTTGACAATTATCGTGTAAAAAATATGCAAATTAGTCGCTTTAAAAGCCTGAATAGCGAGAATCGAATGGTACAATTTACGTAAGTATACTAATCTATTTGATCGGATATAAAATGCATTTGGCCTCTACGAAGCGGACTCGACTCTAAAATAATCTTGACAAAAGACTTTTCAAACTGCTATGCAACTTTTTTTTGTCAATTAGATGGGCATACGAGAAAGTGAAAAGAAAATAAAACGAGTGAGAATGAACTGGGAAGAATTATAAATGGTTACTGATTTGGAGCGAGGGAGCTGCTGCTCTTGGATTTGCGAGAGAACGCCAGAAGGGGTCCAGTTGACGAGCAAATATAACGTTCCCACCAACAAAGCGCAGAGAAGAGCGCACTGGTTTACCCGGTCGACCTTCAAGAACTCCATGGCTGATCGAATGGTCTTGTGCTGCGAGAAAGCCAACCCTAATTTCAGTCACCTTTCAGTAGCTCCGCCGTACCCGTTGACACATATCGACTTTGCGTTGAGAGAGAAACTAGGAGGGTACCTCACAGATCGTACGTATGTAGCGAGTGAGACCTGACGCGGTTGCCAATACTAAAATGAAGCCCTGTTCATTAGGAAACATCTTCTTCACCTTAGGTGTGAACTTCAAGCAAAGTCACATGCATCGCTCCTTCCTAGCGAGCCCCGAGAACGCCTACCTAGATTTCTCAATTTCCATTTGCTTTTCCTTCTTCTCTTTTGTTTGTCTTATTTGCTGAACTTGGGTCTCGAGAAGTTTCTTGAATATCTAATTGCTTGTTTGACAGTAAAGATTCAACCCAAAAAGAGAATAAGGAAAGTTCCCTACAAGATTGGACAATTTTTTTTTTTGGGTCATAATATTGGACTAATTGAGTAGCTCATAACTACTGATTTTGATGGTTTATAAGGTTATTATACATATTATATGTCTAGCTTTTCTAGATGGAAAAAATGGGTTCTCCCTAAGGACAAGATCTGTCCTGCATATATTACAAGTGATCGAAGTTTCTTTTGTTATTTAGAACCCTAAATGCTCCTTAAATGATGGGTTACATTGTAGTTGATCGAGGAATCTGTAAAATAGTTAATCAATTCAATCAATGAGATTCGAACCTTGCTTACAAAAGAAGGTCTGGTTCACGAGCAGGACCGCAAATCCCAAAGTCTAGTTCCTGTCCCAAGCTCGTTGACTTGATTGTGATTTGCCTGCCGGAGACGTGGAAGCTGTCTTCGAGACATCTTACGTTAGAGTTTTGGCCGACAACTAGATGATGTGCTTTAAAAGCAAGTTAATGTGTCTTTCAAGGTACTGATAATGATCAAGTGCAATAGATCTACACAACGATCGAAACCTGTAAATGCTGTCATCTCATATTCTCAGAAAAAAAGAAGAAGTTATATAATAATAATTTTATTTTTTGTTTCCAAAATTCTAATATTAAATGGGATTAAGCGGATCACTCGGGTTGTCAAAATAATAGAATTTTCTTGTTTTTCAAGCATGGACAGGGAGTGGTTGTCATCCTAGGGGAGGCAGCTAAAGCGTACAAATCAAATGTATAGAATGACATACGGATGAAGAACAGTACTTGTTTTATTAGTTGAAATGTGTCCGAGTCGACAAAATACCATTCACCGAACGTCGTTTGGTTTTTATTAAGAGAAGATGGGTTTTGTGACGATTTTGGATAGGAGTCTCAATGAATCACAAGGAATATATATGTTTCGTTGGAATTTAATCGACAACAAAAATCTGAAAACTACAACTAAGATGCATACCGTAATATAATCGGTGACGAGATATCCAAAACTACGATTATAATAAGGGAATGGAATGATAATTGAAAGATAACATTGATAAAAGACTACACATTTTTTGTTGATTGATTTGATGTGGTTATTTAAAGCCTATAATCGACGGTTACAAATCGTGGTTACAACTTTGGAATTCAATTAAATAAATAACATTCTACTGGCAATTACAAAGATTTACCACATTCACTAGCTCCTATTATCTAGAACACTTTTCCAACACTTTTCCACAAGAAGTTATTAACACTCTAAAATAGCGGCAATAAACATAACTCCACAACGATTATGTTTTTATGTTGATTGCTAGCCGTTGATGACTATCGATCAGTTTTCTAAGTCCAGAAGGCTTCGATCGATAATTTTTATGTTGTGTTGTCGATAACTTCACTATTATTCACCAAACTCTACTCTTATCGATTAAATCAAATGAATAATCGAAAAATTGATCATTTTTTGGTGTCAACATGCTGCAAAATTAATGTAGAAGCTAACCGGATCTTGCAATTAAATCAATGAGGAAAAAATCTAAGAAATAAACTAGAAACAATAAAGAATGCGAAAAACTGACGTTGTTCGGTTCGAGTGTTGGAACTTATATCCACGGAGAGAGCCAGCAGCAAATAATCCATTATAATCGGAGAATCAAGATTACAATCGCTCACACACACTCGAATGTTGTTAAGCTCAAATTCAAAGAATTTACAAATAAACCACTCAATGTGAATGTAATACTCACAGAAATAATCACCCGCGCTCAGATCTCTTCACGACTTGAACAGGAAGCGTCTCTTTTACCTCCTGTCTATTTTGTGCGGCTCCTTCGAGTTCAATGTGCGGCTTCCCTCAAACTGAAGAAAATCACGCCTATTGTTATGTGCGCTTATCTTTCCTCTTTTGTCACGTGCGTTTCAAGGAGCCAAAGGAGTTTTTCCTTTGTTGACCGACCAATCACAAAGTAAATTAGCAAATAAGTCCAATACTCGGTCAATAGGTCAAATTTGGTTAATATCTGGGACTTTCCTTGAACGTCTCATTTAATGCGGAATCGGTTTACATCCGATATTATATATGGGCTCAAATTCGAGATATAATTTAGCACAACATAGTAATGTCAATCTTAATTCACCACGTCCTTCAATGTCCATTTATCACCTTGTACCATTAGTTAAATAAGTCAATCTTTTAATTTAACTAGCCTAGCATTATCTTATTCTTAGGCTGATGAGATCAGAGAAGATCTTGTTGAAGGTTACAGGTGGTCTTACCGAAGACCCATCGACTAACTTTCATGGAAAAGTACGCTAATGGTTACAGATGTTCCGTACGATCCCTAGTTTAGTGTCATATTTTTTCGATCGCTTATTTAAATTCTTTCACTTGTTTGTATCGTCCGCTCGCTCGTCGGAAAAGCTTATATAGCACCGTGTAGGAGCAGCTTCCAAATCATTGGAGCAAGAAAACACAAACGAAACTTGAAAAAAAAGCTCCTTCTAGGGCTAGGTTTGATGATAGCCCTAGAAATCTTTGTCACTAGGGATCAGAGCGGCCTACCTGTAATCAGGTGGACTCCACCCATGCGTTTTGTATTTTAACGTATCGGTGTCTACACATCCTAACCCCTCAAGTTGGTACAATATATTCTTGCCCCATTCTCAGCAATATCCTCTTCTTTCTTTTACAAATCGAGAGTTGGTTATAACCTTTTAAAGGATTGCTAAGATCCATAAGTAGAGCATAAATGAGGACCATACGGAATAGGGGTGTCAAAAATACCCGCTCAAACATGACCCAATCCGAACCGACCCGATCCAAATAAGGAATTTTCGCATTGGATCGGGTTGACCTTAATTTGTTTGGGTAACAGTACAAACAAGGCTTAAGTTTGTTTTGAATCTACCCAAGCCCGTCCGAAACAAGCCCACCCAAAACAAACAAGAGCCATTTGTTCTTCTTGCTCCATGCCCGCCCCAAACCTTGTTTATCGTGATAGTGCGACGCGATCTGTCGTCTTCTTCCAAAGCTCCGGATCTGCAACCGAGTAGTGCGACGCAAAGGCAACTGGCGGCGACGATCGGCGTCTTCGCCGCCGGCGCCACCCTGATTGCGGCTGGCATCACCAAGTCGGCGAAGTAGGGCTCTGCAGTGATGCAGAAATATTCTTATGGGTTCGTGACCAGAAGTTCTTTGTTCAACGAAGGTGAATCTGCGAGGGAGGGAGCGAAGGAAGAAGAGAGAGGTCAGTCGAATCGAACGTGTGCCTTGAGATTTTGCTTTAAAATCTCCGCCTCCGGCTTCTCCTCCCCTGTATCGGATCGTTTGCGCTTCTGGGTTGGTCTCGGCTTCGGCTCCCCTCATCTGGGTTCAGGCGCTCGGCCGACGTTCGGTCTTCGGTTCGGGTGAGTTGGGTTGCTCTAGTCTCCCGCATTTGTATTCGTGGGTGATTCCGGCTCTCTGCGACTTGGGTCGTGCCCTATTTTCATTGCTTTTGCCTGTGCTGATGTGGGTTGAATTCTCGAGTTTGGTTTGGCTTCTCAACTGGAAGTGGAAGTGCCATCCTTTGTTGAAAGTCCTGTTCTTACCTTGCTGGCATTTGCTTTTCTCTTTTCCCTCTTTGTTGCGTGATGAATGGAATTAAAAGGTGTGTGATTGTATCGAGAGTTTTCTCAGTTCAATTTTTTGTGTACTTGTTGTTGTTCTAGCAGCTGATCTTCGCTCTGCTAGTGGGACTTAAGCTAGCACCACCTTGTGGTGTGATTTTAAGGCAACATCTGTTTGTGGGATGACCATGTTTTGACTGACCTCTGTTCAACAGAATGAGGAACCCATCTGGATGCTTACTACTTGTTCATATGCAATGATTGGTTGCTTACTACTTTTGGATGACTGATATAATTGATGTTTATTTGCAGTGTTGTTCTGTTCCCGATTGCGATCACATTTTTTATCACACGGTGGAAGGAAGCTATTGCAGCAGACCATGTAAAGTTGTTCTTGCTTCCTGAATCTGAACCTCCGGGATCCCCTGAGACCCAAACTGACTGCCAAGGATCTCCAGAATTTGGCGAACGCAGCATTCTTGGAAATGCAGAGAACCGGATAGTAAATGGTGGTACCAGAGGGAAACAGAGGAAAAGGGACAAGAAGAAAAGGGAGAAACAGAGGGAAAAAAAATCTGCGGAGGCCAGTTCTGCCTCAAGTGATTCATGATATGATAGTTAATGTGAGTTGCATGTCTAGAATCTTGGTCACTGGTTTGATTTCCTGTGCATAACAAAGAGGTCATAGGGAAAAACAACGGCGCAATGCCTTCTGGCAATTCCTTTAGAGTGGAGCTACTCCAATGCTGCCGGTATTGGGCTTTTGAGTGAAGATTGGAAGACGAACTTGTGAAGAGATGCTCAGTGTACTTCTTTGCTCTCTGTTCACTGTTCTTTGAATTTATTGTGGTGAGGGGGCAGCATCGTGCCAACTCGGAACTCCTTTTCTTCGAATAATGTTCAAATATCCGCGAAATAGCATAAATTGTTCGACTTACTTAGCTTCTACTAATTTGGCGATTGAGTCGTGTTCCCATGTGTCTTGGTCTATATATCTATGCATAACGAAAGCTATTGCCAATAGAGCATTCTTGAGAGCTTTGGTCTATATATCTAATTTGGTGTTCCCTCTTTCCAAAACACGAACCCGACCCGACCCGAACATGACCAGAACCGATCCGATTGTGTGGCTATATCATGTTCGGGTCGGGCCAAGCACACATATTCATTGTTTCGGGTCAGGTCGGGTATAATGAAAACCCGACCCGACCCGACCCATTGACACCCCTAATACGGAAGGTGCGAAACTTTCGGTATACCTTTTCCCCTAACATTTAATATGATGAACTAGATAGAGCGAGGGGTTGTAGTTTTGAATTTAAAAAAAAAGGGCATATTAGGAAAAAAAAAAGCCACTTGTTGGATCAGGTGTGGATATTGGGCCGCGTGTGTTAGGAGAAAGGGAAAGATGGTAGGGCATGCTTAGGGAAGGAGCTTCATGCGTCTTTTTGCTTATGGTTGGCTCTCCTCCACTTGAAGATCGTGGAAGAGTTCTGTTTTTTGGTCAAATTGTCCAAGGCTTAACGCCTCAAGATTCAATTGGATACTCGTCTCCTACCGACGTAGTACCAAAACCTTCGATTGATCCATATTAGGGGTGAGCATGGTTCTAGAGTAGAATCTGGAATCTGAGAACCTGACCATTGAAAACTTATAGGTTTCAGGTTCCAAAGTATGCAAGGTAGGTCCCACATTCCAAAAATTGAAGAACTTATTTTGACGGGTAAGTTTCAAGTTCTAGGTAGGTGGAACCTGGAACCTGAAACTTAAAGCAAATTTTTTTATGTTTTTTCTAGGTCTATATCTTCGCTTGATTTTGCGATGTTCCATGGCGTTAGATGATGATTGTATAATCTGGAACCACTAGATTAAGCTTTTATTTTATGATTTGTTAATGTTTCGTATTTTTCGTGTGTCTAAATATAAATTATAGTTAGTGGATTATAGCAACAAGTGGTGGTTATCCAAGGTGATGATTCACTGCAATTGTTCAATTAATAATACATGGAGAACCTAGGTAGACTTTGGAACTGATCCTGGAATCTGTAACATGATAAGTTCCACGTTCCGACGAGTAGATTCCAAGTTCCAAAAAATGTGGAACCTGTATCTAATGATAGGTTCTAAGTTCAAGTGAAACCGGTAAAGAACCTGGAACCGCTCATCCCTAATCCATACATTTGCTTTCTTAAACCAAACGTTGCTTTTGGTTATACAAATTTCCATATATAAGCTGAGAAAACGATTTGTAACCAAGCCCTATCACATACAAGATTTCAGAGAAAGTTTACCAGGAAAGCCATAAACCTATTATATGAATGTCAATTTAGTTTTAAATATTTTAATTTGATTAATTTAATCCTAATCTTTTAGCGATTTGTCAATGTAGTCTTTTCGGTCACTTTTGGCCAGCAATTGCTAACATGAACACTAGCTGCCTTACGTGGTACGACCGATGCTGACATGAATAAAATTTTACATTTATTAAATTTTTAATATTTTTTTCTTTTTTTTTCTTCTTCCTCCACCGATTGCCCTAGATATGGCAAGGCTCATCCTCGGCCTCGCCAAGGGCTGGCAAGTTTGACCCTCACTTATAATCGTTCGCCGGCCATGGCGATCGGCGGAAAATAAGGAAAAAAAGAAAAAATTATAAAAATAAAAGGTAAAAAATCATCCATGTCAGTGGCGCCCAAGCCATGTAGTACGTCCGATATTCCACGTGAGCGATTGCCAGCCAAAATTGATTGAAATGACTACATTGGCAAATCTTCAAAATGTTATATGACTAAATTGTCTAGATTGAAAGATTTATAACTGAATTGACATCCACTTATGACTTTATTTAGTAATTATCCTCAAGATTTCCATCTATTCATTAACTGGGTGTGGTCTTAATTAGACAAGTCTCTCGTATATAATATAAAGAAAGGATATAAGCATCTTATATAGCAAATTTGCCCAATGTTGGATTGGTTTTTATCATACGGCACGACTCATTCACACTGGCTTTCTTTAGGTGAGTATGATTCATATACGATGGGGATTTGACTAACAACGCAGGTTTTGATTGCGTAACGAACGGTGTGTTCAACAGATCATTCTCTTCTTCTCCATACCTATTGATGGAGCTTCCATCTTGATCTACCAGCTAACGCACAAGCAATCTCCTCTCTATTCTAATCACGTGAATCGCATCGTCATCGAGTGCTCAGCCAGAGAAAGCGACGACCCACGATGACCAGCGGTTGAGGAAAACTGCATGCAAGTTGCTTTCGGAGAACGATTCCAGCAAAGAATTCTAGGGCAGCTCACCGTCATCGAATTCTTTAATATGACATAACGCTTCAGGCACGATACGAAAAAATACAAGGAGTTAGGTAAAACATTGACCGTAATTTCAGACCTTAGCCCGGCTAGCTTTGTATTTAGGATAATGACACAAATAGTCCATAAACTATGACCCAATATATAATGTGGTCTTTGAACTTATAATTTATTCAATGCGGTCCTTGAAATTTAGCTCAATGCGCAATTTGATCCTTGAATTTTTAATTTGTTCAATGTGGTCTCTAATGTTTTAGTACATATTCAATTTAGTTTCTGAACTATATAAAAAATGTTTAATATTATCCTTCAATTCTTGAACTATATGAAAATGTTCAATGTTGTTGGATAACATTAAATATTTTTATATAGTAATATGTACCAAAATTCTAAAAATCACATTGAACAAATTAAAAATTTAAGGATCATATTGCACATTATGCTGCAGTTCAAGGACCACAACGAACAAATTATAAGTTCAGAGATCACATTGTACATTAAACCACAGTTGAGGGATCATTTGTGTCATTTTTCCCTTTGTAGTTCAATCTATCAGTTTAGACACAAAATCGGAAGGGTTAAACATCTCTTCATATATGACATAGCAATTTCAAAATTATGTGTTAAGTGTGATCTCACATCGCTTAAATATGTACTTATAACATGCCTCGAATATTTGTTGATCTCACTTGAATCCTAGATATTGTTCGTATAATCAAACGATGCGTCCGATTTGAGGATCGACTGCGACGAGAGGGTGTCGCACCACTTTGTAAGTTTGTAAATTGGGAAGGTGCTTTATTGGCCAAATACCAAAAGGAAAAAAAACACATTTTTATTACCATGACAAAATTGACATGATCTTTCAAATTTGTCAAAAGAATACGCAAAAGGTTTGGCCGTGTGAGAAAAATAATATTTGTCAGTATTCCGTCCACAGTCGAAAGGTCAGGAAGGTCCTATTATGTAAAAACAATTCATGGTACTTTATTTTAGAGAGAGAGAGAATTTTTGGACGCTTGTTGGCAGGAGGTGGAGAATGTGCCGGTCTCAGCCATTACCGTCGGCTAACCCGGACGTGGGGGAAGGTCGATAAGATAAATGCGAGAATGGGACGAAATAGTAATGTACACTATTGCTTTTTGTCGCAGTGGTGAAAGGTTAAACTTTTTATTTATTTATATATATATGAATATAAATGGTGAATTTATTTTTGAACATTTTAAATCGTGTTAAATTGGGGACAATAATTAAAGACGTGTTTCCATGCCATCAAGGACTATCAAAAGAAGTCAAAAGGTTACGAAAGTCTCTGGTCTTTAATGCAAATCCGTGGTTTTTCGCCCTTTTCCGTCCTCTCCTCTCCTCCCCTTTTCCCATCACCTTCCCGGCAGGACGTCACTCCGTTCCTCTTAAAAAAACTCAAGACTTTTGACTCCACCAAAACCAACTTCTCCTTCTCCGCCTCCTTCTCCTTCTTCTTCATCTTCATCTCTTCTCCTCTCCCCTCTGCTTCTCTTCTCTGAGATCTTGGCTTTGACAGAGGTCATTCCTTCCTCCATCTCCGCCCATTGCCAAAGCACCATCTTCACCTCTCTCTCTCTCTCTCTCTCTCTCTCTCTCTATCTCTCTGGGCCAGTTATAATGTTACTGGTCAACTGCTCCAACTGCCACACTGCATTGCAGCTGCCGCCGGGTGCCGCCTCCATCCGCTGCGCCCTCTGCTACGCCGTCACCCTCGTCGCCGATCCCCGCTCCCCGCCCCTGCCTCCCCCCGCCTCCCACTCCTCCTCCTCCTTCCACCACCACCACCACCACCACGCCCCCCACAACCCGCCTCCGCCGCAGCCGCAGCCGCCGCCGCCCTCCTACGGGCCGCCGGGCCTCCCTCCTCCGGCCCACGGCGGTAAGCGAGCCCTGATATGCGGCGTCTCGTACAGGAACACCCGGGACGAGCTCAAGGGCTGCGTTAACGACGCCAAGTGCATGAAGTTCTTGTTGATCAATCGCTTCAAGTTCCCCGAGTCCTCCATCCTCGTGCTCACCGGTGCGTTCCCTTCTTTTTTCAGCTCCTCTCCTCTCCTCTCCTCCCGTGAGGATTCGATCGTCTTCGTGTTCGATGGCTCCCTTCTTTCGGCGATGCTTCTTAATGAATTGCTAATCGCGCGTTGACTGTCTACTTCCCTGTTTCTTCTCTCTCTTCCATTATTTCTCATTTGCGCCTGCACGCTAATTAGCAAGTCGGACTTGATGAACGTTCCTAGCGTCTTGCCTTAATCGAAATTCTCTTTCCCAACTATAGTTCAGCTGATAGCATCGTGATCCATCATGACAGAGTTACGACGAGTTTGACATGGGATGGCACTGCAGTGTCGATCGATAGAACATTTGTTGTAAGAACAAATGTGTTAACCGCTTCACAAAATTACAGATTCCGCTCGGATTCTAGATGTTCAAGTTAGGCCTCCTTATCGATCTTCATCCTTGTGAATACTTGATAATGAATGTATGAAGCAGTTTCTCCGGCTGTTAATCTCGTCTTGTCTCCGGTTAGTCATGTCCCGTAATGATCCAGAAAGGATTCGCGATTAGTCGAAACTATAGAGGAAAAATTTCTGAAAGATGCTCTGCCTCTACGTGTTACAAGTTGTCTATTACTTAATCTGGAACGGCCAAGTGGGGCCTCATTAGTCTTCGAAAATTAATTCTGCAGAAGATGAACGCGATCCTTTGAGGCGTCCGACCAAGCACAACATAAGAATGGCGTTGAATTGGCTTGTCCAAGGTTGTAGGCCTGGGGATTCTTTGGTATTCCATTTCTCTGGTCATGGATCGCAGCAGAGGAACTACACTGGTGACGAGGTGGATGGATTTGATGAAACGCTCTGCCCTTCAGATTTTAGGACCCAAGGAATGATTGTCGATGATGAGATCAACACGACAATCGTCAGGCCTCTTCCTCATGGGGTTAAGCTTCACGCCATTATTGATTCTTGTCACAGCGGCACTATGTTAGATTTGCCCTTCCTCTGTAGAATGGACAGGTTTGTTTGTCCTTCGCGTGGTTCTTCACACTAAATTCCTAGATTTATCCATCCGGAGACAAACTTTGTTTGTTTTCATTTGCGAATGCAGAAGAGGTCAGTATATCTGGGAGGACCATAGACCTCGTTCAGGAGTATGGAAAGGGACAAGCGGGGGAGAAGTGATTTCTTTTAGCGGCTGTGATGATAATCAAACTTCTGCCGATACTTCGGTAAAGCTTTTGGACTTTGGCACTTTAATGGTTAACTAGGAATCCTAGAAAATCCTTTACGATTTCGAAACTAAGTAAAAGGTAGCACAAACTTAATTAGCCCGATTCTCTGTGCCAACAGGCTCTTTCACAGGTTACTTCAACCGGTGCTATGACTTATTCCTTCATCCAAGCCATTGAGCGTGGACATGCCACCACTTATGGGAACATGCTGAATGCGATGCGGGCTACCATTCGGAACACAGGCGGCGATGAACTTGAGGGTGGACTTGTAACTTCTCTTATCACGATGCTTTTGACAGGTGGGAACCTCAGCACACGACTAAGACAGGTATGTTATCCTACAGCAGCATCAGCTGCTTCTTTGTGAAAAAGTTGCTTCGGAGCCTCTAGCTTTGCACCAAAATGAAGTGCCGGAACAATAAAAAAAGAAGCTGTCACTGATAATTGAACCAACAGAAATTAAAATGGACAGGTGAATTTTGCCATAGAATGTGCTTCAGGTTTTTCTGTTTCATATTGAAACCAAACATCTTAGTGGAGAATAGGACTAAGATTACTCGTATAGCTTTGGTTGTCTGATTCAAACTTTTCTCTCGTGAGATGGTAGTTGGGATATACTCTCAATATCTAAATCACTTTTATAAAAGTCATTTGAAAACATAACATAAGGCGAGTCGGTGCATATCTATTAAAGAAGCAACTTTGGGACAAACTTGTTGATATTTACCCTGAAATTTTAGCTATTTTGTTTAATTTTATTTGGGTGATGCATCTTCAATGTACTCTTATTCTTATGGAAAGATGAGGAAGATCCTTAAAGCTGGTTTACATATTTGAAAAAGGCTAGAGAGTTTATTTCTTATGCAGACGGAATGTTCAATAATTCAGTTAAAACATGAGATTACATTATGGAGATGGAATAATTCAAAATCGTATAGAGATTTTCGCTAGTTCTGGAAAGGGTAAGACGGTTAGATGGTCTTCCTTGATAATTCACGTTTCCTACTTGATAAATTGGCTTCTTTGCCGAAAGGCCTTTATTTGTAACTTGTAGGAGGTTCTGCTTGATTAACTTGTTCATAGTTGTGTGTAAAATGGTAGTTGAAAAACCTATATCACCTAACACCAAAATGTTCCCACTTTGATCACTAAAGCATCCTTCTTATCGTCAGAGCACAAACAAAGCAATGTTTGAACTTGTTTTTAAACATACAGGCTTCTCCATTGTTCTTGCTTCCACCGTGCCTGAATCGACAAATCAAACTAGTGGACTTTGTTGAATTTCTGTTAACTTGGGTTAGAAAGATGCCCTGGTTCTTCTGCATGAATCCTACATCTTGGAGGCTAGACGCTGCTGTGCTGTGGAATACTCATAAGTACAACCATTTCACCCTGTTAATATTACCCCCACAAATTTTGCAGGAACCTCAATTAACTGCGAATGAGCGATTTGATGTGTACACGAAGCCCTTCTCTTTGTAGCGCGGTGGACAGAAGGCTTTTTTCAAGTTTGCATCGGTTCTTATTCATCATCAGGTCAATGGCATCACGGCTAACTTGGGTTCCACGTAGACGGAAATCTGCCTTGCGGTGTTCTGGATGAACGTGCAGAGTGTTTTATAGCTTGTACTACGTGTCTGAATCTCGATGCCTTTTTCGTGTGTAGTGGATGGCTGTTGTTGTGGAAACAAGAGGAGCAATGCTGTGCATATCTAGATCAGCATTCCAGCTTTTTTCACTAAGCTCTACATTCCAACACCAGCTCCCCCACAATGTTTACAGTGCTAGAAAGGTAAAAGAAATAGAAGAGGTAAAAGGGGAGGGCAGAAAAATTTGATGCTTGAGATGAAGGTGTTCTCTTCGACGATGATGTTTGGGTGCAGCTCACCTCATAATCACTCGCTTATTCAATAATACAGGACTTTGAATATAGGGCATATTGTTTACCGTGTTGCCTTTGCTTACCCCTCAAATTTATTAAGAAACCTTTTTAAGTATTGGAAAGTTCACTAAGAAAAAGTCTTGACTTACTTTCATATTGATATTAGCATTCCTAAATTTTTGAAAACTTTTGACTTTCGAGTATTGATATAAAATTGAAGTGGCTTGTCAAAAGCTACGAAACAATGAAAAACAATCATTTCAAGTAAATCTCTTATCTTCGATCAAAATAAATAAATAAATCTCTTATCAAAGTATCCAGTGGCTAAAATAGCAACAGCTTTCGACCAAAAAACAAAAGTAGCCAAAGCCACACGCGAAGGCCCTGGCAAGAAGGGGCCGTGCCCTTTCTTCAAATGTATTGACTTGATAGGCTAAAGTGTTCGTAAGATATTTTTTACTTATAATAATTTTTGAGGTTTTAGGATTCAATTTTTTTAAACATGAAATGTCGAAACTTACCAAAATTAATGGCAATACGACACTTTTATTGTTTTGTATATTCAACACGATACTTTTTTTTTATTTTAAATTTTTTTCGGGAAAGTCATTAGAAACAATTTAACCTCAGGCCTAAACAAAACATTGGAAAAAGAAATGACAAAAATAAGAAAGGAGCAGGAAAGAGGAAAATTTGGGAGGCACGAGATGCGATGAACGAGAAACGGTCGTGTCGCGATGACGTGGCAGCTGCCCCAGCCAGAGCCACTCTTCCTTATTTTCTTCGTTCTGGGTCTTTGCTGTCTAAACTCCAAACCAATCGAGCTCAAGTCAAGCGACACTGTCTCCGCCTTCCCTCCCCTGCTTCATCCACAAGTACACAGTTTTCGCAAGCCATGGCCGCCGCCGCCGCCGCCGCCGCCACAACCCACCTCCCGTTCTCCCTGCATCGCCCTCCTCCTCTTTCTCCTCCTTCTCATCCCCGTCTCGTTCAGCGTCCCCATCTCCTCGAGGTCCGGCCCCCGGCTCCCGGCCGGCTCGCCGTGAGGGCGCGCGCCATGGGGACGGACTTGCTGGGCGACTTCGGGGCGAGAGACCCTTTCCCCGCGGAGGTGGAGAGCGGGTTCGGAGAGAAGGTGCTGGGCAACGTCGACACCGAGCACAGGATCTTGATCCCCGTTGCCTCCACTCTGTCTCTCGCCAAGCTGGATTGCTCCCCTGTTTCCCCTGTCCAGCCCCCCATGTCCCTCGACGACGCTCAGAAGCTCCTCCGGAAGGTCGAATTTCCCCCTTCCTCTTGAAGAATCTATGTGGTTTTTGTTTTAATTGTTTCTCTTGAGCTACTGCTGCTACATGCTCATATCGAGTGTCAATTTTTACGAATGGGAGAACGTTTAGAAGAGCTGGAGTATCTGTTGATGCTGTGGTTTCTCTCATTAGGTTGTTGGGTGGAGACTGTTGGAAGAAGAAAGTGGGCTTAAACTACAGTGCTTGTGGAAGCTGAGGGATTTCAAATGTGGGGTTGAGCTGATTAACCGGATTTATGGCGCGGTCGAACCTACTGGCCACTTCCCAAGTTTGCACTTGGAGCAACCCAATCAAGTTAGAGCTGAATTGTGGACTTCTTCCATGGGTACGACTGTTATTGTTTCTATATTCAGATGGGTAAATGTGATCATTGTGAATATACTCTATTATAGTGGCCGCAAAATGCGAAACGTGGTGTAAGTAAATGGAGAGCCGTGGTTCCGGCACTTTGCATATTGCGACATACATAAAAACTAGAAAGTGATTGATAGGGCACTTTTTTCCAAGCTACTGTATCATTTTAGAGGGGAGCTTGAGAAGCACAGTCACTTGATAGGGAACTGTCGACTTGTTTTTTGCATAACATGACTACTCGTGCGACGAGATAAGAAAAACATGATGCTTCTAGTTCTTACTGTGAAGATCAGATTGATGCCGCTCCATATGAAAGGCGCAAAGTTTTCATATTTAATCCTCCTAGTCTCCGTTTTAGATCGCTTCTCCTGTTGTTCAATTGCTGTAAGTTTCCCAATTGCATGGGCAAAATTCTATGCTTGTCTTCACCTTTTGAGGTTGTAGAACTGAATAAAGTTGGTTTTATCATATACCTCATTTAATTGGTTTTGCACTTGACAATGCAGGGGGTTTGAGCATGAATGATTTCATCGTAGCTGCTAAAATTGACGAGATCAAAACATCAGATCTGGCACCTAAGAAGAGAGTATGGGCATAAGTCAAGAAATTTTTGCATTATAGGAGAAGTGAAATGCTCAAGATAAAGTTTTGTGCCATCCAGTTGATGAGGGACAGTTCTCCATTGTAAATTGATTCATAGACTGCTGATCCATTCAATGCTCAATCAGCAGATAAATGATGTCATTCACCATTATTATTCTTAGATTGGTGGAAACATTGACAAACTTCTTTTCCTTTTGAATGTCTATTCTTAGCCGTGTTTATTTTTCCTTCTTTACCTCCAATCCTTTTGATATTTTGTCCAAATTAATGGGCTATCCTGTTTTTGTCTACTGAATGCTTGAGACAGTAGTCCTGGACCGAAGGAAAGTTGTCTGTTCATACCTATCCAGGTTGTAAGAAGTTTGTCGTTCAAATGCAGTATGGACATGAACACAGATGTTGCTTGTATTGCACTCTGCTCATGCACTACCAGTAGGAAATCTTACTCCTGTATTAGTCCAGGTTTCCAGTACGGTTACAGTGGATGGAGAACATCTGTGGTTGTTTTTGTTGGAGATGCATGTTCTCGTTTTCAGATTCAGTCTGACCTTTTGGAAAAGTCCTATGGCAATGCAACAGTGCCTGTGCAAGGAACAAGCCCAATCGCTTCGTTTAAATCGACTTTATATTAAACTAAAGTAAGATACTTTATCGACTCGGGTTCTTGGGTTCTATCTTAGTTCGACGAGAAGCAACATTTAAGAGGTAGAAAACCCCTTATACAAGGTTTGGATGGCAAAATACATTTGCAGGTCATGACCCATCATAGGGACAGCAAATGACTTCCTACACCAATTTTCCTAAACGCTCTGTATTCTAGCGTTTTACCCAAAAAGTACAAAGACCTCGCGTTCGCGTCAATATAAATTATTAGTACCATATCTGGTAGGCTTCGAACTTGCGAAGACATTATCCTGTCTGTTGCGTTGTCCCTCGACTTTACAACATTCGGAGAAACGGACGGAGACATGGCCGCAACCGCAACCGCAACTATTTCACCGCCATGCGCCCTCATTCCTTACCAAGGTGGCTTTTTGTAACGCGCTCAACTTTCTCTAGCGAACCCCCGCTGCGCTGGTGCTTCGAGCTCAATCAGTTGTTGCTTCACTCGGTGTGATGGGACTGATGATGGTTGAATTGTAGGACTTCGTGGAGCTCTAGTCTCAACCCGTACCTTCCAATCCACAAAGAACCAGGTCTGCGTCTGCTTGCTCCCGATATCTCCTCCACTTTCGACTTTGACACGCTGATGTGCGAACCAACAAATAACTCCGCTTAAAGATGAAACAGAGCACATACGAAACTTGATAGGTGAAGGACATGGGTATTCTTTTGTTCGTCTTCTTATTTGGTCTTCCCAACCTCAAGGACCCTGGAGGTTCATTCTATGGAAATCTTTGTTCCGCCCGTGCCGGCGAAGAGAATCTTGCCTGGGAAAACAAGATGGGCGAAATAAAGTCGTGCACGTTATGTTCGACAAAATGCTTTTGTGGTGACAGCTCTTTACGCACTCGGTGTCAACTGAGCTCGTGCCCGACAGTCATTATCTTGAGGGATTTCTGGTTTTCTTTGCTTTTCCTCTATATTTCAACTGGAGTTATACCCTGGCAAAATAAAACAAAAAGGAGAAAAAAGAAGCTGGAGTCATTGCAGGCTTTACCTCAATAACCATGTTTTGTGCTGCAGAGACAATGTGGAAGGGCTGCTGCTGCTCCAATTTCTGCTAAATTTGACCTAAAGCCTCCACCTTATCCGCTGGTATGGTTTGAACACGTCTCCCTTTTGTTCTTTTTAAGTCGCCGTGGCTTGCATAAACTAGTAGTACTTCCTGCCTTTTGCCTTGTGTTGTTGTGTTAGTGGGATGGTTTGCTGATTTGGTGGAATTTGTGTATTTATTGTCAGCTGGTCCTTTATAACTAAGCTTATAAATGTGGCACAATGTGTTATACCAGTGTGTGTTCTAATGATGGTGATGGCGTTGTTGATTGGCTTCACATTGGTAGTGGCTCAATATACTTTCGAACAGTGCATATAACTGAGCTTGACTTAGAGCCTTGGGGTGCCGCCCGTTTGTGTTTGTCAGTGTTAAGGCTTAAGTTGTCAATATCTCTGCCTCAGGATGCTCTGGAGCCACATATGAGCCAGGGCACGATGTCATATCATTGGGGAAAGCATCACAGGGGATATGTTGAAAAACTAAACATGCAAATAGTCGGGACTGACCTAGATGGAATGTCATTGGAGGACATTATCATTCTTTCATACAACAAGGGCGACATTCTTCCTGCTTTCAATAATGCCGCACAGGTAGTAGATTTTAAGTGGTCCTTAAATTGTTTACTTTGTGATGTGTCATCAAATTAATTGGAACTCCTCGTGTATAGTTAATCCTTCGACATGCTTGCGTCCTCAGCTGGGTCCATAGTACTTATTCTAGGAGTAGGTAATTATCTCTCAATCTCGTGAGGGGCAAAAGGTAGGACACATTGGTGTTTCATTCGTTTAAGCTGGATCGGTACTTCAAAATTCTGGAAAGAGAATGCGTCTCTTGAAATTGCTCAACTCTAAGATAAGATCTTCCTGTTGCCTAATGGTAAATAAATCCCTTACTGTCTTATATGGGACAGCTAGCTTGCCCAATTAGGTATTTGGAATACTAGAACTTTCATATTCACTGTTTGGGATAATGCTCGAGAATGAATTGACATTACCAGAAGAGTTCTCTCCTCCTCCTCCCTTTGCCCCTTCCCCACCAAATGATCCCCCCCAACAGTGGCATTCCACTTCCCTTAAAATCCATTTACCGGTCGCACCTTTCCTCTTGAGGACTTCCAACTTGATTATTTGCTTACCTAATCTGCAGATATGGAATCATGACTTCTTTTGGGAATCAATGGTACCAAATGGTGGAGGAAAGCCATCTGGTGACCTTCTAGAACTGATTGAGAGAGATTTTGGTTCTTTTGAGAAGTTTAGTGCAAAATTCAGGTCAGCTGCGTCTACACAATTTGGCTCAGGTTGGGTGTGGCTTGCATGTGAGTGGAATTTTTTCTTTCACCTGCCTTAGCTGATGTGTTTCTGTGACTTCCACTTCTACATCCCCATTTATCTAAAAATCATTTTGGGTTTTGGTTACTGTGTAGACAAAGCAAATAGGCTCAATGTCGGTAATGCTTCTAATCCACGCCCGTCTGATGAAGACAAGAAGCTAGTGGTGGTGAAGAGTCCCAATGCTGTGAATCCCCTCGTCTGGGATTATTTGGTAAGCACGATCCGTATAATTGGTGTCTGTTACTGTTCATCGCACAATCATAGATTTGTATAATTCAGATGTCATGTGTTTATAGATCTTATTCTTCACGTACTGTAATTTGTGATGTTTAGTATCGCTGCTCTACTTACACACTTGTTAATCTGTTCTGGCAGCCTCTTCTCACTATTGATGTCTGGGAGGTAATCATGTTTAATCATATTTGCTTTCTTCATTAGAAGTCATTTATAGATTTCTTTCCCAGCTGTGAGAGCCATTTTTTAATCGAATGCTAATCCTGGTATGACATTCTCTCAACAGCATGCCTACGACCTTGATTTTCAGGTACCATAAATTCGCATTTTGGAAATAGCTTATTTGTGTTGATCTTGTAATGCATATCTGGAGTCTAAGTGCATCGCTTTCATCGTTTCACAGAGTCGGCGAGCTGATTATGTATCTATGTTCATGGAGAAGCTGGTGTCATGGGAAACTGTGAGTGCCAGACTAGAGATGGCAAAGGCTCAAGCTGTTGAAAGAGAACGGGAGGAGGAGAAGAGGAAATATGAGGAAGACAATAAAAACTCCAGCAATGAAGCTGTTGAGATGTATCTGGATAGCGACACCGAGGATTCAGAGGTGAATGACCAAATGTGATCCTTTTGGCTGCAATTGTATCATGATGGTCATCAATCGCTGGCACATTGGAAAAGAAAAATAGATCAGAGCCTGAGCATAGCAGAGGGTCCCTAGATTTATCAGCATGTATGGATCCTTGCCCCCAGCTTGATACCTCGCAACAGAAGCGCAGAGAGCGGATGAGCTTGCGAGTCGCTCGTGAACATTGCAGTGGATCAGTTTTGTTCTCTTGAGATCGGAAGATGGAAAATGCCCAACAGCACTTTATTTTGAGTGTTCTTATGGGAGTTGTGACAAGCCCAGGCTAAACTGTATGACTGTTCATCTTACCTTTTCCGATCATTATATGGGTTAGTAACTGTTGCGCTCAACCATTTGTTCAAGATGTTGCTATTAGGAACCACGTTTTAAGCAAGTAATTGACAGAAAAAGGACTAGAGACTAAACAGTTCGCTGCTCACGTTTCTTTTCAAGGGACGTTGAAAAATCGTGATTATAGTAAAAAATGACTGAAACTAATTGAAGGTTACAATGACCGAAATTCCATCGAAATCCAAGTGATAAACTTCCCAAATTACTAATTGAAAAACAAGAGGAAGATCTTACACGAAGAGGGACATAATCAATGTGGGGAATTTTTTCCCGCGACCAAGCTTCACTGGACAGAGTGATCCGCAACCTTTGATTTTGTGAGTTCCACAAGATCGAGGTCGTCATGCACCTAGTCTAAGAAGGTATTTCCCATCTGTGGTTTTTCGTGAGGATGCCTACTGAAATGACATATACACGTACCATGAATAAGATGGTGTCAGAATATCCAGTCCAAAAGCTGCAGTGGATTTGCAACAATATTTAGCACGCGACGTCTTATCCTCTTCAAAGTCAAAAACACAAGTTCCATCGCCAATTACAACCAAAAGAAAAGGCCATCTGGAAAGTAGTACAAAATATGGTCTTGCCATTGAAATGTCAGGAAATATCATCTATGATCTATTTAGAACTTCCGCGAGGCCCCTCCTACATCCCTCAACTCCCATGATGGTCTGGCCTCTTTTGCAATATCACTCTTGATTGCCCCTTGAATTGGCTTGATGATGAAGAAATACTGTCCACCCCAGGAAAAAACAAAGAAGACATTCAGACAGTTGTCATAAATTAAGTACACAGGCAAGATGAGAACTGAGAATTGTATCCAAAACCCAGACATAGACGCACTGGCAAGAAATCAAAACAAATCAAGAATGTACTTGCAAGACCTACTTGGAATGCTAAAATCAAAGGGATAAATTCTTTCCATCTTCTATTGGGATTCGGCCCTTCAATCAATTTCTTGTCCACCAATATACCCTTGCTTCCGTTTAATGCAACGTCCGTGATCGTTTTCACAAGGTTAGGAATCCAAGGAGTTCCATCTGGAAGTATCTGCAGCAATATAAAGACATTAGTATAAACTCAAAAGAACATAACAAACCCATATACACCAGACAAAACAAAAAAACAGGATAAAAGAATGCCCGGAGGCATCTACTACCTTTTCTTCACCCTCATTTTTGCTGCATCTCCCACTGTTCTCAACCAAAACAACAGGAATGGAAGACCCCTACAAGAAAACGAGGAAAATACACAATGAAGAATACAAAGTCTCCACCAACTAATTAATAATTCAACCAACCGTGAATTCTGGCAAATTTACCATCTCCACAAGTAACCCATCTGCTTGTGCTGCCTATTTATATAAAATTTGACCAAACTTTGCATCGCAATAATAATTAAACATCAGAACCGCATAAGATATGTATTCATGCACGCATTTGGAGATCGGCTCCTAAACAATTTGAAAGAAATCAACTATTAATTTCATTTCTAGCGGAGACAAGCCTGGAGTCAAGGGTCTGTATTCACCACTTCTACTGCCGAAATAATTAGCGCCCAATAATAGTGACCAGAAAACCTACATAGAGGGTTATATAATTAGGAAGTACCCCAATGCATTAAGGTAAGCCAGACACGTCACAATGGAGTTGACTACATTTGGAGGCAACTTTTACTATCCAACAGCAGTCACTCGCGGTCCATAAAGTTCTGTTTCCCCAGAAGCAAAACATAAATGAGCATTGGATTTAAAACTTTCACATGTAAGAGACTCCTGATCCTAGAACCCTTGGTCATAAGTCCATCAATCTCAGTTCTCCTCTATTAAGAAATCATGAATCATCAAGCCCGGTGACCACTCCATCAGCAACATACACGCAAGCCGTGAAACGACCCAGTAAAAATGATCAAAGTAAAAAGATCCAGTAAAACAGCGAATGCAGGGTACAAATCGCAGAGTAAAATAAAGGTCAACAAAGCAAGACATAACTACAAAAACCAATAGGAGGATCAACAAAGGTGATAAAATTAGAAAGCACAAGTACCCATGCATCTTGCTTCTTAATCCGGGCGCCCAACTTAACTATCTTCATAAGAGCCTCCGATCTTTTAGAGAAGAATAGATCATATTCCAAACCATCCGGTGGAGAGAGTTGGGCATGCGTGAGAACAACCAGCGCTCTGCGCCAGATTTCTTTACCAAAGCTATCGGTGATGGCTTTAATGACCTGCTTGTCCAAGTTATCCACCCTGTAAGCATCCAAACGGTCCACATAGAGGAGGACGTCTATCGTTCTGTCCAAAAGGAAGCTGCTCGACACACCCAACCAGAGGGAAAAGTTACCATGGCGAACATGACATTGTTTGAACCCGAAAGAGGTTTCGCGAGACAAGGCAAGGTGCAAACCAACCGTTTAATGATTTCAAGGGTTTGATCGTTGACGTATCCGCCTTCGATGAGCCCAGGAGTGTCGACGATGTTCAGCGTAAACCCAGCCCTCGAGCGCGAAATCATTATAGGTCTCGGGCCCTCCGACTAGCACACAAAAGCAAATTCCAAACCGGTCACGAGATTCAAGCACTCGCATGGAGTCGAAACGGTCAGAACGCAGGGAACTACCTGGAAAGCACTGACAGCAACGACTCTTTCGCCGACTACGGAATTAACGGTGGAGGACTTGCCAACCCCTCCTTTCCCCATGACAAGAACCGTCAGGGTGCTCACGTTCTGCAACAGGGCCACACCACATGAGCAGACAAGGCTAAAGAACTAGCGCATCGGGTGTCCACCAGACCAGGTAACGAAAAATCACCAACGAAAGAAGGGTGGCAAAAGAGATGGAGGGAAGGGAAGGGAAGGGAAGGGAAGGGAAGGACCTCGTGCTTGAGTTTGCCGAGCAAGTCGAGCAATTTCGTCTGGGTGGAGGCGGGGAATTGCTGAATGCCGACCCATTCGCGGATCAATTGAGACGCCATCTCCAACAAGCCTCGTCCTCTGGCGCTCCTCAAGAGATGCGCCAGCAGTCAATCAATAAGGAGATGGAGGGAGGGTTTCGGAAGGGAGAAAGCGACGCCACAACCATCATCGCTGATAAACCCTAAACCCCCGCCGCGAGAAAGCAAAGCAAACAGACAAATGGAAATCCGAAGGCGAGCGAGAAACAGAGAGAGAGAGAGAGAGATACCTGAAACCGAAAGGCAGGGATTGGGATTGGGATTTGGGATTTGGGAATGGAGGAGATAAGGAAAGGCTTTTTTGGCTTTTGCCTGCTCCTTTGTAAAAACCCACCCAGAGCGCTTGCTGCTCCGGCTCCTTTCTCACTGAAGGCGGCCCCCAGGGCTATATCTGTCATTTCACGCTCTCTCGCTCCCTCTGTGAATTCGGGTTATTTTCACCTTCCTCCTCTTTTACCCGAAATCGAAGCGGGTCGGGCGATGCCCTTTATTAGGCCCGATTGCGCGATGTCCTCCTGGTTGAAGTTAGGCCGTCTAGGGACGAGCATGGTTTCAGATTTTACTCTACAGATTCCAGATTTCAAGCTACGTGGGATAAGTTTTCCAGATTTTAAAAATTGAGGAACCTGTTTCGACGGACAGGTTTCAGGTTCTAGCTAGGTAGAACTTAGAATCTGGAACCTAAAGTCTAAATAAGTTTTTTGTGTTTTTTTTTTGTCTATGTCTTCACATGATTCTGTGGTATTTCATGGCGTTAGATGATAAATGTATAATCTGGAACCACTAGTCTAAGCTTTCATTTCATGATTTATTAATATTTCATATTTTTCGTGTATCTAAATACAAGTTGCGGTCAGTGGATCAAAGCAGAAAGTGATGGAACTTAGGTAAATCCTGGAACATGTGATAGGGTAGGTTCAAAATTCCAAAAAATAAGAATGGATAGGTTCCAGATAGAACATATACAAAACATGGAACCATTCACCTCTAGTATTGATTCACGCAATGACTTCTCGTTTTAATTATATATTTGAACCATAATACCAGGAAAACTAGTCTTTTGTATTCTCTTAGCTTGTCAAGTATTGTTGCGTTCATTTTCATTTTGCTTAACTAAAAATGAAATGCAAAAAGAACCTGTTAGACCTTGAAACTTGTGACAGGTAAGTTTCAACTTTCAACTTCCAACACGTAGGTTTCAGGTTTTCAAAAACATGAGGAACCTGAACTTAGAACCACTCACCCTTACGTGTAACCAGACAGGATCGCCCTGAAAACCGGTCCTGTTTTCGGTCCCGATTAACAGAATCCCATCGTTTTTCCGTTTTCCTCTCTTTTTTCTCCTGCCGTGGAAGTTCCATGGGGCAAGAAGAAGGAGAAGAAGAATGCTCCGGTTGTGACGCTGACCCAAATGGTGGTGAGTAATGTACTGTCCCGTATGCTGGGTCATTGCTCGGAGCATGAAGCTGGTCTCGAAAATGGAAGCTTTTATCAGCTGAAATGATCGCTTGTTTTCTGTTGGACAGGGGGAAGAATTTATATGCAACCGGATGATTCCTTCCTCACTGCTCACGCACGGGTGAAGATGTTTCCCTGTCTAACTTCTACTGCGCAACCCAATCCAAGTTCTCGTCCTAAGTCCTCAAATTTCTCGAACGACGGTTGTCATAATTCGCATGGTTGTTCTGTTTTGCTTCCACTGTTGCTGTAGCCGATCGTGACCCTTCTTTGGGCAATCGACTTCATATTCAGACATGCTTGTTGATCTGTTGTTCAAGACAGACAGTGACTGCTCTATGTTGTCACCACCAGCCACTATTTATTTCTCCAGTTTTTCAGTTTGTGGACGTCATATTTCAATTTGTTATATTTTTAGCTTTTTAACAGGTTGGTCTGGTTGTTTGTTCACCTAGGGAACGACCATTGTGCCAGCCACTGAGTCAGTGGCAGCTGAAACGGTATGGGTTCCGAGTTGATTGGTTGGTAGGTAGATATGTATACTGACTTTATAAATTCAAGATCAAACTGGGAATTCATTAATGATGGGATTCTTTAATGCAAAAAGAGATTTCTCTGTTGTTAGTGCTTATTGCTTGTGGATTCTAATGGATAACATCACAAATAAAAGATTTTCCCTCATGCTCCCCTGGTGATGTCGTGTTATGCTCACTACATTCTTCATTGTTTGGCTTGAGGTTCCATTGCCTGAATCATAAGTCCACGCAAAGTTCGATGATATATGCACTCATAACATGGAAGGTTAGGTGACTTAATAAGTACGTGGCATTCTATGCTTTAAGTTTAGTATACACCGTTTGTTCTTCGTAAAAGACGAGATGACACATCATTAATCATTTTCTAATTTGACATTGTCATTGTTGAGGGAACAAAGGTGCAGGCAATTAGATATGGCTGATATCCACACGATTGCTTGATCCTCATTGCAGAACAACAGCTTGATATCGCCTCCTTCGGTTTGTAAGCTGAGCAAGAAGTAGCCACGGGCTTCATGAACTTCTTCCGACATATCCAAAATTCTGTCTGTAAAATCCAAGAGCATCAGGGGACAAAGTTACTGTTAGTTCTGTAATTGCCAGGAATTTCAAGGTAAATTGTTGAACTGAATACTTAATCATACACTCTTTTGATGTGAGAACCGCTCCAAAATACTTTCTTGTGAGAGTCAATAACGGCTGCCTGTGTTTCAGATGGACTGATACTAATCTTTGCCTCTTTTGCCCTGAGTGAACGGTTGGACATTGGTCAATTTACTACATATATGGCACAAAATACAAACAATAGGGAGTCACAGTACAGGCAATCTACCAGAAGGTGTGACTACTGGCATTGCAGTCCCGGAATTCAGCAGCTCTTCAGTCTCTTCCAGATAGGAATTTACAATGGTTCTTGATCTGAGTGTTGCAGCTCCTCTTAAACCTGGAAAAGATCAATTGCATAAATACATCTGTTCTGGCTTTCAAAGGAGCTGAACATGTTTCCATGTAATAACATTTTTGAGGATATGGTAGCTATGGAATCATTACACGTTGCAGCTGTGGCTGTTAGTGTGATCATGTCAGCTGGTGTTTGGTTCGCAAAACCAGAGTTGATGGCAGAGGCAACCTGGTCTCTGGGTGCACCTGCTGACTCCGCAGCTTCTGCACAGACAGCAGCCACCAGACTTGCGGCAAAAGAAAGGACATTTCCCATGTTATTGTCATAAGCCACCATGCTACTACTATTGTGGCAGGTGATATCATCTACGCCTACGATGCTGTTGCCAGTGATGCCAGCGATTGCTGCAGCCAAGCGTGCAACAGATAGGGCGGCATCTACTTTTGCTCTGTGCAATCGAAGCTCCTCTTTCTTCCTGTCCTTGTACCACTTGAGTAGGCTAGCTAAAGGTTTGCCTGTTAACCATCCCTTTACGTCCTTCAAGTTTAGCTGAATTAGAAGCAAAATGTTTAGTAACCTATTATTACTCCAAAAAGATACATAAGTGCTTCACCATCATTACCCTACTCAGATCAAATGTCGGATGCTTCTTATAGACAGCTGGGTGGGGCCTCTCAATTGCAAATAACATCTGTGAAAGATTCATGCACAACAAAAGAGAGAAAAAAGAACATTAGTTGTTCACTTCAATTTCCCATCAACCAACATGAACATTTAATGTCTCTCAAGCCTATCATTGTAGTCTACCCAAGACCATAGGATTAACATTTGAAAATGAACAAAGGACCGTAAAAGGCTCAAACTAATCAGTTGATTTTTCATATTATCGGCTAGAGTCTGACGATTTCCCAAAACTGCTGCTTGGAGGCTTGTTCATGTCCTAGTTAAGATTTCTTATCAGGAAATCTGACACCTTGAGTCCCTGGTTGGTGCTAACCATAGTTGAGGCCAGCCAAATATTAGCAATATGTCGTGGTAGGGTTTTGCCATTGTGGTCGCATGCAAAAAAAAAAAAAGTGTTCCAAGTGTGTAAAAGTTCATCACTGTTAGAGATAATGAACCCATACACCACGCCGAAAATTTTTGGTGTATTTGAAGTTGTTCAGGATTCTGAATAGAATATATTGAAGGGGTTTCGTGATAAAAATGAACTGACAAAGGATTAGATGTTACCCGTAGGCTATCCACTCTACTGACAGCACTCTGTTTGCTTTGACTCCGATTGTTTCTGTTGCTTTCAGAGTTTTGTGCGTGCTTCCTTGTAGTATGAACATCGCAGAGAAAGGTGCTTTCTTTTGTTTCCGCGGTTTCTGATTCTCCATCGTGATCTCCCGTTTTATAACCCTCATTTAGCTCCTCATCAGGCTTTCCTTGAAAGCAGCTATCCTCTAGAGGAATTAACAGATTCTGTGAAAAGAAATCAGTGAAATCATTTACGTGATAAGGACTGTATTTTGAATTTTTTCCCCGCTGGATGCGAAAAGAGTAGAGCAATTCTGAAACATTTTTTAAATGAGAAGGACCAGCCCCACCCAGAATGATTTGGGTGCTCTCTTTCATGTATCTATACTCATTTCTCATTGGAAATGTCTGAGATTTGTTTCAAATGAGTGAATCATGGGGAGTATTCTCACATTTGATGAGAAAATGCTTAGGAAGTCAGAGGCTGCTGGGCTCCATGAGCGAGACAGATACTCCATTGCACTAATTGGGCTGCCAAGGACGTCCAGAGACTGGCAACACAATGAAGGTGGCTCTCTTCTCGTGTATCCATTTCTTCCTGTCCAGAATGCATCCGGCAACTCCTGTTGCTGACAAAATTTATGGAAGAGAAAGAAAAATAAGGAAATGTCGAAATAACTATGATGTCTGAGAGAAACAAGTAGCCATCAAATGTCAATCTTTGCACTTAACCTTACCGTATAAGTTGGCAATTGGTGCTGAGTTTTGAGTTTAACTCTTCCAAGTCTATTGCTTCCTCGTACTTCCTCCATTTCAAGGTTAAATTCTACCATCAATAAGATTCCATCAGTCTTTGCTTATTAACCTTTCAGGTTTGCAACAGGCCATGCGTACCACTTTTTAATAATCAGTGAAGGTCTATGCAAGAGGAATTCCATTTCCACCATGCCCAATAGTTGCATCACCATCAGGGAAAAATAGAAGGAAACCCACAAAAAAGAAAATGATAGGTGCTGTACCAGATGAGGACTGTATGTGAATTCTACAGCGTCGGGCATGCCATCATTTTGTCGAGGGATTGATGTAGAGTATGGGCAAGCAGCAAAAGATGTACTCTGCACCAGTTGAACTTCGGTAGAACTAATTATGGCACAGGGTAAGGTGCAGCTCAACTCTCAGCAGCCCAGAGATATTCTGCAGAACCAGTTTTCACCTGATAAATTAGGCTATTTCCAAGTTTAAAATGTTGCCATTAAGGAGGAGGATTTGCTATAATATATTATTACATCCACTGGAGCCTATTCCCACTTTACAGTTGGCATAAAAAATTGGTCTGATGCTGACTAGTCTATCTGCTGCTGATTTCAGATTTAGTCACATAGAGTATTAATGAAATCAAAAATATATTAATGAAAGTGTCGTGTGATCACTTGAGCTCTATGCTACAGAATTGGAAGTAAAGAAATAAAGGATCGAACAACTGAGGATAAACTGCTCACAGTGACAGAACCGAAAAATGCCAGGTGAAGAACTATGAAGCTAGGCACTATTCCTCAGGAGTCGTCAAGTTGGAGAAGTACAACGGAGATATCATGTAAGTGGAATGTCTTGTGCCTAGAAATCCTGCATAAAGCTTCAGCTGTCTTTTATAACCGTGTTTAGGCATTCTAAATGGGGAAGGCATGTGGAAGGCACTGGCTATTATTAAACACATGGATGCAGTGGGGCTTCTCCACCTCCCCCAAATCAAACCAGCATCCCATTTACATCTAAAACCCAACCATGAAAAGATAAATAAATGGCAAGTGAGGATTAGCATTTGTAAAAGAAGATCATGACATTTTTAGAAAGACTCGCGATGTCAACATTGCACAGTTTTCCATCTGAGAGAGAACTTCAGCTTAAAGTGGAAAGTGTCATTTCCTGCTTCCAGAAATGCTTGGGACCACCTCAAGAATGGGGATTTTGCACACTAAACAGACGGCCACTTTGTCAATAATATTGTTTTGACTATTTTGTCTATTTTAGTGACTACTACCGATCTCCGAAGTTGTACGTGATCGACATGCCAACTTGTGCAAGCATTGGGATCCATCCAATACACATTGAACGGGGATTCGTGCACTGGCTAGTGCAGGGGTTTTCCCTTGACTGATTAGCTTCTTCTGGCTCTCCAATGCCCAGCATCATCCTCCATCGAGGTTTAGACTATTAAATGCTCTTTTATGAAGTGCGATCAAACCACGTGCCGTAAAGATTGGAGAGAATTGGCGGGGCCGAGCTCTCTTCCCTTGGCACGAAGAAAACAAGATTGATCGATATCAAAATGTGTATCGAGTATGTAATGGAATGGTTGACATGGTCCCTAATTGGTTAGCTTGTGAATCATCTTTAGTAGGGGATAATATGATCACGTTAGTAAGACTTGATAGAGAGCAAATATCTCCTTCTGGGGACCACGACATAAACTCCTCGTGGGTCTCTCTCTCTCTGGCCATGTGCATAATCCTACGTTATCTTCTAAAAGAAAATGGGCTAATATATGGTGGAGAAGAGATTACCATAGGCCAAGTACTCAACATGTCTCCCACACCCAACGGAAGATTGCCCTCTTTGGTCAACCTTAAACCCATAAACCTATGTCTGCAAATTGTACTTCTGCAAGATGAATTGTCTCCTTCTGCATAGAAAGCATTCCAAATTGCCAGGGTCGCGATCTTGTGTTCCATCCACTGGGCCTTGGGGCGGATGCTCGCTCATGCCCTCATCATCTTCCTCCTCTCAACAGCTAGTTCTTTTCGTTTTTAATCTTTCTCCTGTTTTGTCACTTGCTTAGCCTAATTACACATCCCATCACAAAAAAAGACCGGGCAGATTGGCTCCTCTTCGACTAATAGAATTCCACTTCTAAGGTACTAGTTATTAAAAATTTGATCTTGCGTTTACAAGAGCTATATGTATGTATGCATGTATGTCTGTATGTGTATATCTGCGCATATGAAATATGGAAAACAGAGTGCAAACAAAAAGGAAAGGAAAAAAAGAGACATGACTTCTCTTCTTCGGATATCTGAAGTTGGGAAGGGAGAAGGATCATACTAAGTTGAACTGCATTGATTTGTCCATACTTTACCAAGATTATTGTTTTTTTCTATGTGATCAATTCAACAAAATTACATGACAACCTTTACACATTTTGTCCGGCTTAGTTTCCTGTCATATTCAACATTGAAGTATGGTGAAGTGAACACTTGGATAAAATGTCCAAGTGGTATCAAAGGGTATGTTCTCAAACTCACTGGTTAACTCAACAACTTCTGTCGGAGCAGCTTCACATTAGCAAATAACCAAACGATCAACTACAAAACTTATTTCATAGGGGATTCTCCATCATAAAAGTTCCAAATACGATCTTAGAGCATACAGAACCAAGAATAGTACAAGGTGCAAACTAAGACTCGAAAATCAGTTCACTCTGATGAATGTCAGGGAATAAATCTACTTTTTCTATACATCTGCAGCTTTCCTCATTTTGAAATGAGCAAGAAGTTAATGTTCCCAGCTGCTTCGGAACTTACACTGCAAATCATGAACGCTATCAAAAGTTTCATTTACATCACCAGGGCTATACACCTGTGGACAGATCTTATGTCCATTGAGGCAAGAACACTACTCTTCAAGTTTTTCTTGCATTACATCGGAAGAGTCCCTTGGGCAAGATTAATGCACAACAAGTTCGCTTTCTTTAACACCCAGCAATTGCCAAGACCTTGACATCCAATCACATTTTTTCCTTCAGTTGTCCAAACTATTCCTCTGGAAAAAGAAGCCTTTCCAAGCACCTATTTGGCAAAATATGAACATTTCCAGATCTCTTGCACAAGAGATTGTTTCATCTGTTCTCAGCACTGAATACACTTCGTATATAGGAGATGCATGCCTAAAATAACTGGAATTGTGGGTTTTTTTCCCAGCCAGAGGCAACCAATTGTCCAAGGCTTGAGACATATACACAGATGAATGCTTCTTGACTTCAGAAGATAACTGGTCCTGATAGGATGGTGACTTAAGTCTCCTCCAGCAGTCGACTCTTCTTATGGAAAATAAGATAAAACATGTGTAAATATTGATGCTCAAACAAAAAATCACCTCAACCTGGTGCTTCTTTGATTTGATCACTCACATTTGGAGTTGTCCAACAAATTCATGAGAAAAAGAGGGCCCAAACATGCATAAATTCTTCGCCTTGCATACTCTATATCCTGATCTTATTGTCATATTAAAGATGTTCATTAACCCTAGTAGCAAGAGTCGGACATAGACAATGGAAGATCTCTCTCCAGCAGTCTGAAGTTAATAGAAAGAGTCCTGAGTAGCATGAGTCAGACAATGGAACTCATCCTCCAATAAGATAACATGTCTAAATGATCCACTTTTCTCACGGAGATGTATCAGGAAAATGAGACCGGCTTTATATTTTCTCCTCAATCTTATGCATGACCTTCCTAACAATTTTTCTTTTGCAGCCTCTCGGCCTTTTCTGTCCTCCTAAGCTCAACCTTTTTCATCTTGTTTAGTTTCTCTTTTGCCCCTTCTATATCAGCTCGAATAGCTTTGTCCCTCCTGTCATCTGACAACAAAGCCAACCTAGAAAATTTCTTGGGGCTAATCACTCCAAGCCTCTCAGTTATGTCCTTAAATGCGGGAACGATGCCACGCCTTATGAAACATCCATCAATAAGTTGCATAGAATTGAACTCAGGAAGAGAAGGGGCATCTCTTAACTCCAGGTCCAAGCAAAATGGGGATTCCTTCAACCACATCCTCAGAGAGTGGGCCTTGGCTACAAGAAGCCCGGTCCTGGTTTTACATGGCAGGAATGGAGATCCCATCTCCCACAGAAAAGCCTTCAGAGTGCTGTTAAGAGAAACCAGGTTGTACTCTGCTGTGCCTGTTATCAAAACTACAGATTTTGGGGATTCAGGGTATCCCTGCAGAGATGCATCCTGCGATAAAAAGCTCACAAAATATATATGAATAGACAAAGGAAACTTCATAAACACCATAGCAAAAATTGGCAATTGAAACTAGTCTATAACACTATCCCACATATTATTAGACAGCAACTTCACTGCAACAACAGATATAGCGAGTCTTCCACAGCCTTTAGAGGGGTCGAAGATAACAGAAACTCTCAAGCTACAAAAGAGAGAGAGTTTAGTTCTTCTATGACTTTTGTTTTATGTGTATTTACAAATAGTTTTCTGTAGAGTGCAGTCTCGTGTCAGATCAGTTTCTGATACTTAAACATGATAACAAGAAATGTCAGCAATAATGCACGTACAGATAGGTATGCAAAACTCTATGTGACAAGTTTCGAGTATCTTTAACTATGCGAAGCCATATGCGATGAGTTTCAAGTATCATTAACTATCATTAACTATATTTCAAGCAGGTGTCAGCAATCTTCTGATTTTACAATCTCTATGCATCAAAGCAGGTACATATATATTTAGTATAAATAATAGTTATCTGGAAGAAGCAAAGAACGACACAGATTCATATTTGCATTGGCATACACTTTTCAATGTTGTAGATTGTGAGCTGTATAGCAAAAAGCAATAAAACAGAGAGAGAGAGAGAGAGAGAGAGAGAGTGCCTGCATGTTGTCAAGCCATAAAGTAAGACCGACAAGAGCTGAACCAGCAGACAGCTTTCTAAAATCAGCCCCCCAATCCTTTTCAGCTACTCTGCATCAAATAGACAATATGGCAAACTCCTATCAGCAGAAAGAAATTTAACTAAGTCCAGACCTGTTGTTCACATGATATCTACTTATACAACATTGTGGAATATATTCAATACATCAATCGATTCAGCCACAAGTTTTAACCCCCGTATCCAGTCACGTGTTAAAGGTTAAAACTACATTAACCAAAATACTGGCAACACCTAGTAACCTAGTTTTATTCTCATGGATGAAACCTAATTATTCTAAGGACCTGAAAAACAATTCTGCTTGACCTATATGTTTGATGTTCATGGAAAAGGAGATACTAGAAAAATTGATGACCGTACAATGCACCTGAACACATCCTGGCGGTAGATACTTTTCTTTATTGCCAACTGAAAGACCCAGGAAGCAGTGGCACGAAGCTCAAATGCCCACAGAAGATCCTCTAAAGCGTTGACAAAATTAAGAGCAGCATTGTCTTCCAAAGGATGCAACTTCTCCAGAAAAAGATCTACCTCTGAAACTAGGGACTTGCCCTTTCCTGTGAGAAGCCTATGAAACAAAAGCAGCCAAAGCATAACATTTTTAAGTTCATAAAAGGGACAGACCAAAAAAAGAAGTTCATAAAAGGGGAGAGTGAAACCTAAAATTGTCATATCTCATATCCCAAGATCGATTAAGTAATGATTACCTGATGGGAAGATCGAATCCAGCACATTTCAATGCATTCAAGAGATTAATGGCTTCACATGCATGCTGGGACAAACTCGCAGCCCTCACAAAGCATGTCCATATCCTGTGATCGGGTTCCACACCCTCACTCTTCATTTTATCAAGCTTTTGAATGGCAATGCTGTAGTCACCATTTTTCAGGTAAGCATCGATAACTGAACTGTATGGTAATGTACTCAGACTTATTCCATTTACTTTCAAGTTGTCAAGGACTCTTTCAGATTCCTGAGGATGTCCAGAGCTTCCATAAGAAACCATAAGCAAGTGCATTGTGGCGATTGTCGGTTCTATCCCAGCCTCTTTCATCACTAACAGCAAATTTTCAGCTTTAGAATGATCTCCCAAGTCTCTATAGAGTTTCATCATAATGTGATAAAAGGAAAGATCTAATTTGTACCCTTTCGAATGCAGCTCCATGAAAAGTTCTTCAGCTTGTTCCAAGTGATGCTGCTTGGCAAAGGAAGATATCAAGCTCTTGTACGTGGATAGCTTAGGTTCCAAGCGGAGCCTTCTCATTTCATGCATCAACACTAAACCTTCTTCAGCCCGACGGTCTCTGCAGTACATTACGATCAAAGTATTATATGTCTCTTCATCTGGCTTAAGGCCAGCTTCTTGAATTTTCTGATACACTTGAACTGTCTTTTTGAAGTCCTCAATCCCTGTGTACAATTTAAGCATAGAATTCCATATCGAAAGATCAGGTTTAAATCCTGCATCTACCATCTCGGACACCATGGCTTCAACATCCCTTACTCTTCTCCCTTTGCATAACAATCCGATCATAATCCTGTAAAGATGCATGGTAGGAACATAACCCGCTGCCTTCATTCCAGCATATATCTTCTTCACTTCAAATACATTTCCAGATCGAGCAAAAGCATCAAGCATCAAAATAATAGAACTCTTGCTTATCTTGAAACCCATATCTTGCAACTCCTCGATCACTACGTAAAGTTCATCCAACCGCCCATCAGTGATCAAAGCTTGCAAGAGACCATTGATGGACTCCAGTGTAGGAGCAGGGCCATCTCTCATCAATGTATTGAAAATAGCCCTCGCGCGCTCGTAACAGCCACTGGCAGCGTAAGCATGTATCAATGCATTCCAAACCTTACGATCTACTGAACGTCTCATTCTAAGACCTCCCACCAAACTTTCTGCTTTCTGCCACAGCTTCACAACACCATATGCTTCGATGATACTAACATGTATTGAGTTATCATCAAACAAAATACCTTTTCTTTCTGCCTCATCAACAAAACAATGGGCTGTCTCGGGGAAGCCCATTCTACAATATACAAGCGCCATGATCTCATACAGCCGCTTTGATGGTGCAACGCAATAGAACCTCATGTCCGTAATGACCTGAGAAGCTTCAATAAAAAGTTCATTGTCTAAACAGCATTGAACCAAGGACTCATAAAAGATATAACTTCCACTGAATGAACCATATGCACTGATTTCACTATACACTTTCAGGGCAGCATCTAGTTTGCCTGCCTTGCAAAGCATAACCACCAGTGCTTCACTAATCAGTGCGTTGGATCCAGCATGCTCCTTCAAAAATTCAAGCAAGTTTATACCCTCTGAATGCCTGCCTGATGAGCTATATGAACTCAATATAGATAATAGATCATTGCGATCCAATTCATGCCCATTACCGATTGCTAATCGTAACATAGTAGCAGCATGATCATAACATTCCCCCCTCACGAGAGCTGAACAAATGACTGATGGTTTCATACAGCACAATTCTTCCATATCTTTGACCAACTTGTCGATATTGTCCACATCGTTCTCTCTCCTAAGACTACGTAGCATGACCTCATAAAGGGCACGATCCGGCCTGAAATTACCAGATAGCATTTCCTGGTACAACACCATTGCCTTCTTTGTCTCATTGAACCTAAAGAGTATGTCCAACATAACCGAATAAGCAAGATGATCAGGTTTTATCCCAGCCCTACACATGCAGTTGAAGGTTTCTTCGGCCTCGACACGCTTCCCTGCCTTGGCATAGGCACAGATTAGGGCACTATACGTGCGCAACGTGGGTTTAATACCGGCATCTAACATCTGAGTCATAATATTTGCAGCTTCCGTTATTTTATTTGCTTTTCCAAGTGAATCAATCAGAACAGTGAAAGTAACAGCATCGGGGTTCCGGCCAAGCAATTTCATGTCTTCATAGACTTGCAAGGCCAGATCAGTCTGGCCCTGCTTACCATACATGTGGATGATTGTGTTGTACGTCATTTCATCTCTCCCAAACCCTTTCTTCACCATTTCCTCACAAATCTCCTTCACCTTCTCTACTTTCCCTTCTCTTGCAAATGCATACAACAAAGAGTTATACGTCACTGCATCAGGGAAGAACCCCTTGGACTCCAGTTCCTTAAACAGCTGTTCAGCCTTGCTCGATTGTCCACATCGACCGTACACTGATATAACGGCATTGTAAGTCCACAAATCAGGTTGACAATTATGCGCCTCCATGTCATCATACACTTTCATTGCCTCCTCCAGATTAGACCCATGAGAACACGAACTTATTAGAGTGTTGTAAGTTATTATGTCAGGCCTGAGACCCGACCTCCTCACCTCACCTAAAAGCTCAACAGCTAAACCAGGCACCATGGAATTAGACTTCAAGCGGGCGTTCACCAAAGTATTGAAGCTCACAAGATCCGGCTCGCAACCTCGTTCGCGCATTAAATCGAGCAGTTCTTGGACCTTACCAAACCTCCCGGTCCGAGCATACACACCCATCATTGCATTATAAACCTGAACGGTAGCACCCACAGAATTCTCGGCCCTGGTGAAAATCTCGACAGCTAATGCTTCTTGGTTAGCCTTCCCCAGCACCGACAAGATGGTGGCGAGCATTCGAGCGTTGGGCGAATACCCATGCCGCAAATTCAGCCATTCATAGACCTCCAACGCACGTTGCCAGCTGCATTGGCCGACCCATTTGACCACAAAGCAAAAGTCAGTGGGGGTCATCTGAACCGGCCGATCATCCAACACATCGGCCACGAACTCCTCGGGCTTCAAAGCAAGTATTCGATCAGTGTAGAATTTGACCCTCTCTCTCCAGTCTTTGGCCCTCTTGAGAGCCAACTTGTTCATCTTCTTGATCTTGTTCCTGCTGGGACGGCCTAACCCGTCCTCCGAGAGCGACTCTTCATTCACGTCCAACGGCTCCACCCCATCCAAACTTCGCCCCTCCTCCTCGCTCGCGCCACCCGGAACATGCTCGAAATTGGGTTTGTCAGTCGAACGAGAGAGCGAAGGTGGAGCGACCAAGAACTGAGGACGAGGAGTTAAGCTCTCGGGGAGCTTAAGGTGGGGCCATCTCACGGACGGGGAAGCTCGGCTGTAGGTGAACTTGGGAGGGCTGTCGTCGGCTTGGTCAGGGTCAGTAGTAGTGAAGGAAGAGGTTGAACAAGAGCAAGAAACACATTGGGTCTTGGAAGCCGAATCGAAGTGGGTTGCTGAGGATGAAGGTGATGCGAAAATCAGAAGGCCAGTGCAAGCAGCAGCTGCAGTGCCCATCAATGGATGCTGCAACTGCTTTACAATCTGGGGTTGGCGAATTCAATTCCCCCGCTTCAGTTTCTTCTCAAAGTAGCGGGACGCCGCGTTATGTTATCCATCCAGAATCCCAGATGAAGACTGAGCAACACAGATAAATCGGGCAAATCTTTTGGGCTTTGAAATCATGGGTTCGCAGGAATCTGTCCACATCTTGAGATATTTATGCCCGGACACTTTCAGGGTTACCCGAAGAGAAATCAGGCCCATTTGCTTATGGCCTGGTACTTTGTCCTGTGAAGTGAAGTGAACTGAGCAACTGAATTAGCTTTGTAATTTGTCCTTACATCCTCTAAATAATTATCTCTCGTTGGTCGTCCTTCGAAAGACAACGCTATACGAAACACGAAAATATTAGATGGCGAAGGAAGTATGAAGCGGGCACGTCCAAACATTTCATACGGAATACCAGGGGAAATACAGCAATCCCATAGGTACAATACATAGCTCCTACTTCGACAGGGAAGTAGTAGTTCTCGCATGCTAACAAAGCTCAAATCCACAGCTTCAATACTTAACAATATATTACAGCTGCAAACAAGTTATTCTTGTTAAGGATGCCATCGAGGTCGCTTACATACGATATATAGCGGTTGAACTCGGGTTCGATGTTAATGGTGAGGAGGCTTCTCAAGATCCTCGAGGCTAGTGGGGCGGAACCAGGCCGTCTGCTCCAGCACAGAGCTCTCAGCATCCCCGGGCTTTGGAAGCTCGCCGTGGGCTCGGAGGTGATGGTCAATCGCAGGCCCAAACACCCCTGTCTTGGGGTGGGGAGCCCAGTACTTGTCGGATGGAGCCTCTATCACTTCATCGGGGACCACGTTCGGTGTAAATTGATCCTCGGGGTTCTTGTCATACACGGACGTGTGAACAGCTCTCCTACAATAAGCACGCATCGACCCGTCGATCCCCATCGCTTATTGGCTTAATTAACATGCATCAATACTTACACCCCACACGAACACAAATGCAAGCTTTGAAGTGCACATAAAACTTTCAACCAAAAAAAAAGGGCACGCAAAACAAGATTAACACCATGTCAAAATGAAATTTCTGGAGTGGCTCGATAATATATGTAGCTGACTGACAGGATTTTCTAGTCGCCCGAAAAGTTTTGTCTGCTTTGATCATTGGATAGATACTTTCTTGTTTCTGTGGCGGGCTAGTTTGGTGGGTAAGAGATTAGACCGAGAATGAAGGCACATCAACATTCCAGGAAAACAAAAGGGGGACCAGAAGAGCTAAGAGACAGGTCCAAAACTAGCCAAAGCACGCGGAGCGCTCGAGGCAGGTCACGTCACATTCGCCTTTAGAATTAGGATAAACTTATGTGTCCCCCGCTCGATCCGTACTTTGCTCGCCTCCGCCATATAAAGCTGTAACACGTGAAAAAAAAAGCCTTCATCATCGAGCGTCTGTCTCTGTAACCGAGAACTGCATCCTCTTCAAATTTTCGTTGTTGTTTAGTGGGGACAGTGTGCCACACCGGTCGATTAGGATATCGATATTACGTGGTTGAAAATGGTCAAATGGCGAGTCACGACCAACCACTATCGTTTCTTATGGATTTAGTTGATCTACAATAAAATAATATAATAGGTCCTCTTCGAGGATCAAAGCCCAGAGGCGAAGCTCACTGTCGCTACACGTAGATAGATAATCCAGTCTCATCTAGGGATGCTGACATTGCCCACCTCCTCTTGATTTCTTGCTTTTTTTTTTTGTGATATTTTTTGGTCTAGATTAACCCGTCTTTATCGGTTTCGAGAGAGCGACCTGCAGCAATACAATTACACTAAGTGGGTATGCCAATTTTGACCCTCCGACATTAGAAAATGACAGATTTGACCCCTCCATGGAACCAAGGGCTGCAACGCGCGCAGTAGCCGGAACATCTTAATTGACTTCCGTGGCGAGATTACCAAGAGGTTTAGGGGTCTGCGGGTAGAGTTTTGCGGGGATAATCGAATTAACCAGGGTTGTCTCCACACAGGAATATGGGGATCGACTCCAAGCCAGGACAGTGGAAGAATGCGCACAATCGGAGTTGCTAAAAACAGCAAGCAATCACCTAGACCTCCTCTTCCATCTGTACGGGGCCAAACTGGTGCTTGAAGAACACTGAGGTCAACAAGCCATGCGTTTCTTACAATAAGAATTTTCTCTTTCTTTCGTTTTTTTCTTTAACACGGATCGGGAAATATAAAAATCGTCACCGGGAGATAGTCAAAAATGAATAGGCAAATTTGATATGGTTGAGCAGACTCTTAGCTAAAGACAAGACCTCGCTTTTCCCCAGGTCAGTTAGCAATGATAAGCTAAGAGATTTAGGCTCCATACAGTTTTTGTTTTGTTTTCTGAATTTACACGATGAACAGGATAAGGAGCAAGATGAAGGAAATATTTGTAAAGACCGCCACGAGAGAACAACACCCCGAATCTCCAGCAGAACTCGAAGACACTTAACTAGTTACTACGTTGGAAAATGAAAGAAGACGAAACGTTGCCTACGAGTTCACGACGGAGAGAAGTAGATATACGCGTCAAACGGAGAACATGAGAGAGAGAGAGAGAGAGACAGAGAGAGAGAGAGACCTGAGAGGGAGAGAGGAAGGAGGTGGGAGGGCCTTGTTGGGGCTCCAGATCTGAGAGACGACTCGCCTGCCGATTCCCGCGATCCCGGAACTCCTCGAACTGGCAGCCATACAAAAGCTCTGCGCTTCTCTGCGTGCTCAAGAAGAAGAGGAAGAAGAAGAAGATGATGAGGATGGATGCAAGAAGATGGGGAGATGGTGAGTGATGATCAGCTTGATAGCCCACTAGGGAAGCAGCCTTGACGGATCTCGCAGAGACACAGAGAGAGACAGAGAGAGAGAGGGATGAAAGCCTAAGAACCCTCCAACTGCCAATACAATAATAACAAAGGTGGCCGCCAGGTCCCACCCAACCCCGGTCCCCGTACTACGGCTATGTTTTCAACGGTACCGTCCGTCCCGCTTCCCCTTCTTTTCCGTCGTCCCCCCGTTACTTAACGGCAAATATGATATTAGAAAACAAGCACTGATTCGGATTTCGTGTTTATTTATTTAAAAAGAATCACTTGGGAGAGTGATTTGTGCTGTTTTGAGAATGTGCTGTTGACGACGTCTCTCTCCAGGGGTGACGGCGTTACTCAGTGGGGAGTTTGGGTGTCTCCGTCCCCCTAATACAATTTATTTTTACCGCACTTGATTATAATTGCCATGTTTTTTGTTTTTGTTTTTTTTATTATCGTAGTATCTTATTGGGACTCGGAGTCGGAGACACGTGTCGCGATCAAGAGATTGGTCGGCTTGATGATTGTCCACTATACTGTGAACTTGAAGATAGCATCTTCTTTCGTCTCTGTATATCTTGCTATCCGCGTATTTATTAATGTTTGTTCGGCAAAAAGATAGATTGTTTATTCCGCCTACATATCACGTTAAGGCTGCGTTTGGTCGTTCGAATTTTTAAACAGGATAGGATAAGAAATCTTGGGATTTCTTCATATCATATCCACTGTTTGGTGGACTACGGATTTAAAGTCGGATAGGATAAATTTTTTTTTTTTTTTTGCTATTCACGGGTCCGGAGAAGTCGGTGAAAGAAAAAAAGCCGAAAATTTGTTTTGGTGAAAGCGCACAAGGTGTGGGAATGAAGATGACGGCGAGTGGAGCGTAGATTTCTGGAAAAATAAACATTAGAAATTCTATCCAGGTCTATCCCACCTCCTCTCGGATTTTTTTATTCGGGCTATATCCGGTCTATATCCGACCTTATCCTATCATGGACTTCCACCAAACACAGGATAGGATAAAACATATCATATCCTGGCTTTTATCCGGTCGACCAAACGCAGCCTAAGTGGTTCGTTAGAAATCAAATGGAGAACTCGAGGAATTAAGGAAATGGCAAAGTATGTAAACAACGATTGGTCTTTTTCCTTTGGAAAATAGGACATCTTCAAATTCATCCCCAGTCAATCATAAGACGAGTCAAATACAGAAATCATTCTTTCACGAGTCTCCCAATCTTAATGTCAGCGACATAGCTTCAATTAATAAATAAAAGACGAATTTATTTTGATACGCGAAACTTGCTCAAGGTAATTGTTGAATACTTAAAAATAACAAAGATAATTACGACGCACATAACCTCGATAGGATTGATCAGAGTAGTAAAACCACCTGGCTCTACGTGCACCAAAATGCGATGATTAGAGTTACCATATAAATGACCCCTTCATCACAAGTCACGAACGCAAACTTAGGATGAGTTTGGCATGATTTTGAAAAAATGATTTCAGACTGTCGAAAACCGTTGATCGAAAGAGTTGCTAGACTAGTAAAATTATTCTAAAGCGGTTATGAGCCCAAATCTTACCTATTCAAAATTCAAAACGGCTCTGTAAATTTTATCTTAAATTCGTCCTTAACTTGCTAAAAAGTTGGTCTAAAGATAATATATAAAATCTTACTCGAATAAAAAGTTGTGCGTGGAATGAGAATCACAGCCCCTGAATGGAGAGATTAGTGATTATTCCTTCCCTGAAGAGTTCCTCCAATCCCCAGACACCAAAAACTGAAAAGAGGAACAAGAAAAAAGCAATCAACGGAGCACATGCTGGCTTTCCCTATTCAAGGAAGTTCTTCTTTCCACCAAAGTAATTGCATTTCAATTCCTCACGGAAACGAACCACTTCCACAGTTGCCTGATAAAATCACTTGATGTGGAGTGCAGCGCCGCGTGGCTGACAAGGGGCAGAGGGACAAGTCGAAGGCGTAATTTAATCAAGTTCCAAAGTCACTACTACGGGATCGGTTTCTCGACTAGCCTAAGGCTTGAGAATCAGTGAGTTGCGTGTTCTCGCATGAAATGGGACTTGCTTTGTGCTAAAAAAGGTTTGATTCTGTAGTCCAGGGCACAGGATGTCAAGATAAAAGGAATATAGATAATAGATCATCACGATCCAGTTCGTGCCCCTTGCTGATTGCTTTTCGTAACATGGTAGCAGCAAGATCATAGCATTCCCCCCTCACGAGAGCTGAACAAATGACCCGACGGGTTCATACAGCACAGTTCTCCCACGTCTTCGACCAACTTTGTCGATATTGTCCACATCGTTCTCTCTCCTAAGCTAAGACCACGCAGCATGTCCTCATAAAGGGCACGATCCGGCCTGAAATCACCGGATACCAATTTCCTTGTACAACACCATTGCCTTTCGTCTCATTGAACCTGAAGAGAGTATGGCCAAGCAATTTCATGTCCTCATAGACTTGCAAGGCCAGATCAGTCTGGCCCTGCTTACCTTACATGTGGGTAATCGTGTTGCACGTCATCTCATCTCTCCCAAACCCTTTCTTCACCATTTCCTCACAAATCTCCTTGACCTTCTTGACTTTCCCTTCTCTTGCAAATGCATACGACAAAAACCTATACGTCACTGCATCAGGGAAAAACCCCTTGGCCGCCAGTTCCTCAAATAGCTGTTCAGCCTTACTGGATTGTGCACACTGGCCATATACTGATATCATGGCATTGTAAGTCCACATTTGACAATTAAGTGCTTCCATGTCATCATACACTTTCATTACCTCCTCCAAACTAGATCCACGTGAACACAACGCACTTTTAAGATTGTTGTAAGTTACTATGTCAGGCCAAAGACCGGACCTCCTCACCTCACCTAAAAGCTCAACAGCTAAATCAGGCACCGTGGAATTAGACTTAAAGCGGGCATCCACCAAAGTGTCGAAGCTCACAATACCCAGCTTGCATCCTGGTTCGCGCTTTAAATTGAGCAGTTCTTGGACCTCACCAGACCTCCCGGTCCCAGCATACACCCCCATCATTAAATTATAAACTTAAACAGTATCACCCACAGAATTCTCGGCCTTTGCGAAAATCTCGACAGCTAACGCCTCTTGGTTAGCCTTCCCCAGCACCGACAAGATGGTGGCGAGCATTCGAGCGTTAGGCAAATACCAATGCCGTAAATTCAGCCATTCATGGACCTCCAATGCACGTTGCCAGCCGCATTGGCCGACCCATTTGACCACAAAGCAAAAGTCAGTGGGGGTCATCTGAACCGGCTGATCGCCAACACATCGGCCACGAACTCCTCGGGCTCCAAAGCAAGTATTCCATCAGTGTAAAATTTGACCCCCTCTGTCTCCAGTCTTTGGCTCTCTTGAGAGCCAACTTGCTCATCTTCCTGATAATGTTCCTGCTAAGACGGCCCAACCCGTCCTGCGAGAGCGACTCTTCATTCACGTCCAACGGCTCCACCATATCCATACATCGCGTCTCCTCCTCACTCTCACCAACGGGAACGAGCTCGAAATTGGGTTTGTCAGTCGAACGAGAGAGCGAAGGTGGAGCGACCAAGAACTGAGAACGAGGAGTTAAACTCTCGGGGAGCTTAAGGTGGGGCCATCTCGCGGGCGGGGAAGCTCGGCTGTAGGTGAACTTGGGAGGTTTGTCGTCGGCTTGGTCAGCATCAGTAGTGAAGGAAGAGGTTGGAGAAGAGCGAGAAACAGATTGGGTCTTGGAAGCTGAATCGAAGTGGCTTGTAGAGGATGAAGATGATGTGAAAATCAGAACGCCAGTGCAAGCAGCTGCTGCAGTGCCCATCAATGGATGCTGCAACCGCTAATGCTCGTGGGTTGGTGAATTCAATTCAAACGCTTTAGTTTCTCCTCGCGTTATCCATCCGGTTAGAGGTGGCCACGGGCCGATTTTGGCCCGGAACCGGCCCGGTCAAACCCGGGCCCGGCCCGTTGACCGGGCCCGCGGTTCGGAACCGGAACCGGCCCGTGGCATACGGTCCCGGTTCCAGTTCCAGAAAAATTTGAACCGGCCCGGAACCGCCGGTTCTGGGCCGGTTCTGCGAAAAAAAAAAATTTTTTAAAAAAAACTGCAGGCTGCAGTGCAGGCCATGCTACAGCGCTGCAGCAGCCTGCAGAACGGGCCAACGGCCCAACCCAAAAAAAAAAAAAAAATTTTATCCGCAGCACCTTACGGCCCGTTGGGGCAACGGCTACGCCCCAACGGGCGTTTTTATAATTAAAAAAAAAAAAAAAACACATAACCGTTGCAATTTTGCAACGGTTATGTTTTATTTTTTTTAATTCTAAATTTTCTTCTATTTTTTTCCTATAAATTCTCTCAAATTCTCACAATACACACACAATTCTCTCAAATTCTCTCCAATTCTCTTCTCTCAAGTCTCAAATTTTCTCAATACTCGAAATTCTCTCAAATTCTCTGAAATTCTCTCAATTTACTCAATCCACGCAATTCTTTCTTAATTCTCCCAATTAATCTGCTCAATTCTCTCAATCCATTCGAAAAATGGCAAGTGGAAGTCGAGTGCCAACTGGCAAAGGTAAGAATATCGCGACGGAATCCCATCATTCTTTTGATTCTCGTGAATATGCAGATTTTCAAGATGATGAAATCAACATTTTTCACGATGTGGAGCGCGTCCCGACGCAAGAAAGTTTTCATCCTCCTGCTGAAATATCTACAACAAAGGAAGCGGAACGGGAATTTACATCTGACATTTGGAATCACTTCACGAAAATGGAAAGGTTTGATATCGGTCAAAAAAGGTATGATATAATTTGTAAATATTGTGGAAAAATATATAAATATACAGGTGGACAAGGATATGGAACATTTAAACGACATCTTATGAGCAAACATCCAACCGAAACGGGAATCGATATCGGGCAACAACAAATTTCCTGGTACGTCAATCCTAACACTTCCCCTTTATTTCGTTTTAATGAAAAAACTTATAAGGAAGAATTAGGCAAATTTATTTCCGTTG